CCATATGAATCAGGGTTGTATCTGTAACCACGTCCCTGGCCTTTTGTCCAATACGGCAGGCCACTGACATGTCTTTAAGATGTTTTGAAATGTCGTCGCCAAACAGGTAGTTTGGGGCCACATGTGCTGAAGGAATACACAGTGCTCGAAACTATTCTTTTAGATGTGGCTTCATAAGTTCCTTTCTCCTCAGAATGATTTCTCTGTTTGCATGCGACGACACAGTGAGGGCGTCACTGAGGTTATTTACGATGTTCTGATACAGTTCAGTTGACACATCACGTTTCTTGTTAACGAGTGAGTCTAAAGTATTCACTATGGAAGTAGCAGTCTTGATGATTGCAGTTTGAGTTCTCTGCATTTTGCAATCGGAAGATCTCACATCAGGGGGCAAAGAGTCCCAAAATCAATTTGTTTACCTCGGGCGTGTTGAGGTCCTTGCAGTTACCGAGTTGTTTTATCGCTTTTTATTTTGACGCAATGGAGGCATCGTACATTCTGGTAACAAGTTCTGCCAACCTCGATGGAATCTCCATCTGTGTTTTCAAGGAGCAAGTTTGTTTTGATTGCATTGAAAAGACCATCGTCAACTGACATGTCTTGTGAGGAAGAGGAAGTTGCATTCACTGGCGCATGCTCAGTGTGGTCATTCAATAACTGACTAGCAAAGTCAATCGAACCTTTATTCCTTAGTTGCGTATCGGCGCCATCAGAGTAAATTGACTCCACCTCATAGGGACGATAGTCTTCGTCATACATCTCGCAATCATAGGGCTCATCGTAAGAACTCATTGTTTCAAGTTTGTTTACGAAACCTGACATGCGTTTGCTCAACTTTTGAATTTCCGACATCATCGTGGCAAAGCCACCTGCGTAGGAATCAAGATCTTCATTCCTTGTACCGTCTTTGGAACACCCTGGCTGTTCGACAGACTTTTTATCAGTCATTTTACCACCTTTGTGGTGTCTTGAACTAGCACGTCATTTGTGTCGGCTTTATCGGACATATTGTCAGTTCTGGGGATTTTCAAATTCAATGCCACCTCGGACATGCCTATGGAAACGGTTTATGGTTTATGGTTTATATCGAATTCAATTTATGATACATGACTTTCGAACGGTCTATCCACTTATGCATATATCACAATTACCGGTATGTGAGTTTTAAATTTCAGCAACGTAATTATACATAATTAAACCAGAGACAAGAAATTATTCTTTCTCTACGAAGAGCATGTCTGACGAGATCGCTCTGAGCACTGACTCGCACATGCGCAGATCAATCTCACGTGATACCGAACAGTACGTGATTAGCTGATAGAATTTACGGTGAAACCTTGCATTACATGTGCTTCGTTCCGGGGCAGGACTGAAGTCCTCGAAACTCTCAGGAGTCAAGCTGCCAAACACCCATCCAAGGACTCTCAGCACCCAACGTTGCTAAACTTCAACTGATTTGTGACCTGAGCTCAAGGCACATGCCAACACACCACCACTTTACATTCTGATATAAGTGTTCTTTAATAATTCATGTTATGTTTCTCACCATTTACATGAGTAAATGGCCACATTGTATTCTTGTTAACAGGATACATTTATTGTGTAAAAGTAAAAATATATATCTGTGGTTGTATAGCCTTGTGTTCTTTTTCCAAAACGTATTTCCTTACTTCTAAGCAGTGGAATCCCTGCGCTAATTGAGAATAAACAATTTATTCATCACTTAATTGTCTGGTTCGTTTAGTGACCGCCGTCTCAATGTGTCAAAATGTCACTAATTGGTGAACATGTTTCACTTTGCAATTTGTGTCATGACCTGAGATGTTCACTAAATTGGTGAATATGAAAATAATTAAATGAAAGAATTAGTATATTTAATTGTTCAATGGTGATTAGTTATCATATGACACTATATAAAGGGTTGAATGACAAAATGCTTCATTGCAAAATGGCAAATGCACAGGTTGACATCGAGCTCATTCCAAACAGTCGTGATAGCAGAAGCCGTGTGTGTCATATAATAAAAAATAACCGATAACGATTACGAGCACGCCCGCGAGGTGATAAGGGGGTTGTAAGAATTTAGGCGACTATAACGATCTGTACTAGAAAACCGACGTACTTCTGCTCGCCGATGCATTCGAGATATTTAAAATCGTGGAAATAGCGACATAAACATAATACCTCGGTACTGAAACAGTAAAAAAGGCAACTTTAAATCGCTAAAACTGCATAAGAAAACGAAGAGCCTGCAACTTCGATTTTGCGCATGCGCACATGGAAGAGGAGTCTCGATCGCATGTTGACATTTTCCAGCTTGGACAAAAGTTACATTCCTCTTTAAGTATTTCTGTTATGTTATTTGGCATTTATCATCATCATATTTGTGTGCACACTTGTTTAGTTTACTTTCCATTCGTATGAAACGACTGACAGCAATTATTTCGACATATTTAATACTTTTTCTACCCGAGGCGATTCGTGGTTGCTCGGAAATTGGAAAGAACCACGGATCGTAATGCGAATGTGCACTAGAGGTCAAAGTTCGCTGATATGAAAATGTTGCAGTTTCATAGTTTTTCGTTACCGTTTTTACTGTTTCAGTAGCAAGGTATTATGTTTATGTTGCTATTTCCACGATTAATGGGCTTTTTCTGCGTTTTTCTGCACAGTGGGAACGTTTTCTTTTGTAGGCCTGCTGTTTATCGAGAAAGGTCCGCGTGGTGGAATTTCGATGGCTGCGAAGCGATACGCTAAAGCCAACAATAAATACATGGAAGGTTATGACTCGAGTAATCCAGCCTCGCTTATACTCTATCTTGACGCTAATAATCCATACGGCTGGTATGAGTCAACCTTTACCCACTGGGGTAATCAAATGGATTCCCCCGATGTAGACATCAACGGTATCACGCCAGACTCGAACAAAGGTTACATACTCGAAGTCGACCTGGAATACCCCACAGAGTAACACGAGTCACACAACAGTTATCCGCTCGCTCCCGAACGATTAATGGTTGACAAAGACTAGATGTCAGGATATCAACGAAACCTGTTAGGAAACAATAAACTGGCTAGCGCGGCAATATTCGCATCAAACTTGATGGATAAAATGAAAAACATTGTGCACTATCGTAACCTGCAGCTGTACTTGTTGTTGGGTATGAAGCTAAAGAAAATACATAGGGTACTCGAGTTGGATCAAAGTCCTTGGATGGAACCTTACATAAGAGTGAACGCGGATTTACGAAAACGGGCCACCAGTGATTTCAAACAGAATCTATTTAAGCTCATGAACAACTCGGTATTAGGTAAAACGATGGAGAATTTAAGAAAGCGCGTGAATGTGAAGTTAGATCTCACGAGCAGGATAGACTTAGCTAGCCCGGCCTTCAACAGATGTAAAATATTCAACGATGACAGTAGCGTTGCGCATGGCCAAGAGTCATCTCATATTCAACAGACCAGTGTACGTTGGTTTGCGTATTCTCGATCTCTCCAAACACTTAATGTACGACTTTTACTACAACGAACTCAAGAAGCAATACGGTAATAGATGCGAGGTGTTTTACCGACACAGATTCGTTGTTGATGCATATGGAACTTCAAACCGCGGACGTGTACGAGGGCATGACGGACAAAATAGACATGTACAATATGAGTGACTACCCAAAAGACCACGCCCTACACAGTATGATGAATGAAAAGGTACTCGGGAAAGTGAAAGACGAATGTACCGGGCCCGCGATCGTCGAGTACGTAGGATTAAGACCTAAAATGTATTCCATCAAGAAAGCCGACAGGGGCGAGATAAGAAAGGCTAAGGGTGTGAAGAAATACGTTGTGTAAGCAAATCAAACACGAACAATTCAAAGAGGCAGTGACAAGAGAAGTGACAAGCACAGGATATACGGTTTAAGGTTGAACAAAACCTTAAAATCGTTCAAGGTCAATGTCACTAGTACATGATCGATTAATTTGAGAAAGAGGTTTTTCAAAATCCAGCTCAAACAGCGCATTAGATATACCTTCAATGAATACCGATATCATCAGGCCACTGGACTATCCGGACCATTAGACTAACGCTTAGTCTCTGATTATATATAACTTTGATATTAACAAACAAGCCCATTTAAATTGAAAAGGAGCCCCAGGGAGACCAGAGATTCAGACTGATGAAATCTAGACTTGCTTCATTTGGGGCTTTAGCACTACAGAGAGGGCTCGGCAGTAGGGAAAATAATGTGGTTCAGGGACTGTGAGACAGACTATCCAGACCATTAGAATTCGTCTTTACGCGGTCCGTGCCCAGGCTCAGAGGTCAACTGATCCCATTTCACTTTGCACAAGGTGTGGTCGTGTCTGGGGACGTTGCAATGAACGTCTAGCCAATGTCAGTCTGAGACTCATTTGGCTGCAGATCAGATTTTGTGTGGCATCAATTAGGCTGAGTGAATTCAATTCCACATTATGCACGGACACGGGCACCGGACACCATACTGACGCAAGTCGTGTGAGTTGACGTTATGTCTTTCAGAGCTACAGAACTCGGGCTCACATTAAGTTTGCAGTGTTTCGGCGAGTATTTTCAGCGTTTTGTTTTGATAATGTCTGCAATGTCAAACTTTCAAAAGTTTACTTTCTTTTGCCAAGCAGTTTACATGAAGTTCATATTCCTTATAATAAACTTTTGAAAATAACATGTGTAGAAGACTTGGTGGCTATTTTCTGGGACGAGTAAAAGCAATGCTGTAAAGACAATTTATTTCAATAAGCAATCGATCTCATTCATTTTACTTGGATACCATGTTATTACGTTGATATTTAATGTTCGGTTTCTATCTTAACTTGTTCGGTTTAAATACAATCTAAAACTAACGTCTCCTTACAAATGACATACACGGGTTATATTTACCATTTATTGATAGTTACGCTTCATGAAATCCCAAAACAGCCAAGCACTCATGGGTTTGCCTGAGAAAGAATAAAATAAGTTGTTATCCCGAAAAAGTGTCATGTATTAACATTTCTTTTGGGTGAATATGTGCTGAACACTACCACCACAACCACGTGTTCTAACGCTATAAATATACATATATATGTATAGGACCTTTTCAAGTTCAAGAGGCTTATTTAGTGTTCTTATGTTAGTTATGTTGGTTATTCATAAGTGCTTGTTCCGTCTGTCGTAACTTTGGCTTGTCCTGTTTCTGTAGGATATGCTGGAACTGGTCCAGGAGGGTAAGATGGTGGAGGCTGTGCCGTCCCTGCAGGTTGAGTGTAGTGTGTACCTGGAGCAGGCTGAGGCGGGTAGACGTATCCTGCATTGTATGCACCGGAGGTAGTGTTTGAACCTAGACAGAAATAGACACGATTAGCCGAACATGTAGTGTAGTAATCAGTTGGTTAGCAAGCCAAGGACATACGACATGTCTGTGTCCGACTGGCACAGTTCTGGGTGTCCTTGTACAAAGCAACCCCCTAGCGCTAATAATGTCGTATATCTATATTAAGTTATGAGAGTTAAGGTCACCTTAGCTCTAGGATCGCTTTGTACAACGACACCCTGGTAACTAGTAGCCTACAAAGGCACTGTGCAGCAGAGGTTTGTTAAACACTTTCCTAGAATTTTATGGACAGTCAGATAATCTTTTCCTTAATCATTATCAATATTTATCATCCAAAGCAGTGTTCCACAGGAGATATTGCTTGTGTGAGATTAAACGATATCTCCTGTGAGATTTTGAACAATGCTATGGCGTCATGAACTTGATGACGTCACAATTCTATGACATCGCTGCACTGCAAGTCTAATGGCAGTACTGCATGTTCAGAGATGTGCAGTTTTCATTCAAAACTAAAGAAAATGATTTTTGATGATAAAGATAATCTCACCCTCGTGATATTCAATACATCAACACTCATTGATTAAAGTAAAAATATCCTCGGCAAGTCTCGGATATTTGTAACTTTAATCAATTCGTGTTGATATATTTGATATCAGAAGACACTTGGGTGAGATTGATGTATCCATCTACTGTCTTCTCACTTTCACACAAACACATGGTTCTGCAGTAAAACTAACTATCAGTTACAAGCGGAAATCGTGAAGATCATAACACTACAACATAATGTAGTTGAAGCATGCTGATGCTCATCCATTATACGCGTGCCCATAATATACTTTAAACTTCACTAAGTGTTTTGTTATGAGAGTGGGTTTTTTTGTAATTTGCATTATCATTGATTAGGTGATAGTTATTATGGGTCACAATGTTTAACGTTTTGAGTGTGGGTTTTGGCTCGCATCATGTATGTTCAATGGCAATAGGATTTGTAGCGGCACGTCTTTTTGATAGCGCTTCAGAGTTGCTTCCCTTGGCAACTTGTTGGCTCGTCATGCCGTGTATTCCACATGATTCCCTAACGTTTTGAGAAAATAATGATGGAGCCACTCTTTGCTAGAATGCTCGAGAACTGTGTAATAGCGATATAAAGCCTGGTTGTTGCGTTGTGCGACAGGACTTATAACATCACTGGAGTTATACACAGCTGTCTGCCATCGTCGAGTTTGCCCAACATCGTCAAGACTGACCGTGCTTGCCTATTCAACTGTTGTCACTGTAAACAACTTTCAATCAGTATATCTGTTCTCACTGTGAATGTCAAGAATCTGGGGAGTTAATATCTTATATTTGTGACCCAATATTTTAGATTAGTGATTCAACTGAATTGTACTAGAAATCTGTATTGTCATTCATGGTAGCTTGCTCATTCTTTGTTGAATATATTATTGAATATATTGGACTTATTTGTGTTCTATTTTGCTGGTTCAAAGGGGACTCTTCAGCCTTTTGTTACGACATATTATTAGCGGTAACAGTCTAAACACTTTAAAGAAGGTGTGATCTTTAATGATTGTCCCAAATGAAATATTTGAAAGATTATAGTTATTGAATGGAAGTTATTTTTTGTGGGAATTCTGTTTTGTTTCTTTCGCGATCAGAACCTAGCACTTGATTGATGGCGAGGAATGCGATCTCACACGAGTACTGTGTTCCTTGCGCGGAGAGATACGGTGACCTCAGTGGGGAACTTTCAATAGTGACGTGTAAGATTTGATTAAAACAGTCTATGTTGTGAAAAAGGTATGCAATAAATACAGAACGTCGTACTAGTGCATTAGGACCTTCCGTATTGAACTCGAAAATGTCATATAGGACAGAAACAACTGGTTCTCTTTATTTCTCTAATACCATGACATCTTCTCATGCAGTACACAAGGTCCCAATGCACTGTTATGGCGTTATATGTCTGTCTCTTTGTCTGTGTGTCTGTCTGTCTACCCGTGCTAAAGCTGCTAACAATGGTATATGTAAATTACCAGTGGTTATTACTGTAAGCGGTTGACCGGTGGTAACAACTTGACCTTGACCTTGAGATGATCGACAGCAGCAGCGTACACAGCACATGACTAATCCAACAATCACGACGATCGTCAACACAACAGTGCAGACGATCCCGAGAATCAGTGCAATTGCTGCAGTCCGTGTTTCCGCTGCAAGAAAAAAGTTGGGCAATATGTGAATACCACCTGCGTTTTGGCTTTATCGCAGAGAACATATTAATGGAGCATTGCTACCATCAGTTCCAACCATACTAGCTCACTTCACACAACCCACAATAATTAGTTCTTAAGATTTTCTAGCACCCAGATCCATCGCCGAGATGAAGAATAGAACATGCTAAGTGTCAAGAGCCAAATCTGTCATGAAATCTTAGGCCTACACCGGCTTCATGCCCACTTCCACGTTACCAGACACAATAATGTCTCTCAAGGGGATTGACTCTTGGATGGCTATTGAACATTGTGTCAATATCCGATCAAAGATATACCTGATGCTCTAGTTAAAGTTCTACTTTATCTTGATTTGTAAGTCCGAGCAGAAATTCTGATTGATAGTGTGCATAAAGAAACACTCCGAGAGGGGTGTGGGGTGGGGGAGGGGTGTGTGGTGGTGCTTCTTTTTGTGTCAATCAAGGAAATCACAATTGTGTCATGAGCAGAATCAATAAGATTGACAGAAATATAGACCGAAAGAGATCGAAGTAAATCGACCTTGAAAGTTGGAAAATGAAGTCGAAAATGTGGTATCAAGTTTTGTAGAAATACACTTAATGATCTTGCTTACAATGTTTGTCGACAACATCTTTCTCTCTTGTGTTGACGATTGTATATCTTGATCCTCTTCTATTGCAAAGTACACATTATGATCAAACGATAGCAACTTTAATAAAAGCATGCATGTCCTTTTATAGAGACTGGTTTACGAGAAAGTTAGTTTAAGTTCTTCAGTTGAGGAATCTAGCAAACGGTCACACTGATGTGGCTTGTTCATGTACATCAATGAATGATTGGAAGAAATAGGAATAAAAAGAATGTTCAAGTGGATCGGAGCGGTTTGGTTTGTCAACTGTGATGCTTATCAATGACAAATAGATGGAAAGTGTGGTTTGAATTGGTTATAGCTCACGTTAGCCAGATGTAATCAAATAATCAATTTCCCATTTCTTCAACATATGCTGTTGTTTCTTTGCTATTTTAAGGACACCTTGACATGCAGACATGCTTGGTTTCTGTTACAATAAGACTTTGGTAAATTGTGATTTAAATAAATTTTAACCTAGAATCATTTTTGGGGTAAAGTTTAACTTTAAAACATCAAGATATCAATAAGTTCTCCCAGTACCAATCAAGTAGCGCACTTGTGATGGATACACTCGCTATTTTAAGAATACATGTATCTTCACTGTTTGATAGTGATTCTGAAGTACATGTTTATGATATTGTTGGCTTCGTGGACCAACAGTAGAGATATGTTATGGTTTAGGAAAGTTTTCTTCGGCTATTTTCACATCGAAATGAAATGGTCAAGGATGAGGATCTAGAACTGACCTGCTACAGCAGTAGTCCCCGTAGCATGCACAAATAACATCCATAGCCGCACCACAAGTTCGAACCACCATTGTGCTGAAAAATATATTCAGGTAATTACGATTGGGTGAGGTGAGGTGAGGTGAAAGATATAACGTCGTCGCGGTAACCTGTATCGATTGTATCGATTGGACGTGTAACTAATACATTTAATAAGTTAACATAGTAACGTTATTTGACCTAAAAAACAAAATCGTTTTAGTGTCATTAGTGACATACTAGGCCTGTTTAAACGTGTGGGAAATGATGTCATTTTAGATAATTGTACATAGGGTACAAAGAATACGTGCCCCACCTACCTGAGACCAGATGTCAAACAGCAGCACACTTACTCCAACGAAACAATGTATGTTTATAATGTCTTCTTCTGGTATGCTACAACAAATATCAACAAATCCTTGATATGAAACAGCCTAATGCACCTATAACACTATTGTAATTGTAAGCTGTGTCTGCGAGGCGGGTGTCAGGGTGTCCACTGTGACAGGGAAAGGACGCATGATCTTATCAGCTGGCAGAAAAAAACGTTCCAGTGTGATAAACGTAGGTTGAATCAATGCATACCTATGATACCATGAGTAAGTGTATGTTGGGCGCAACTGCAGACTAGTGCAAAAGGTATTCGGCAAAATTGCCGCCGCGGTATCGGGTAAGTTTTCAGTACGTTGTGATCTCCGTTCTCGCATTGGTGATTTTCGAATAAAATATCACAAGTAGGTAAGTATACTTACTGAATATTGTATAAGGTGTCCTTTGAGTCGAATTACTGTCATCACACGTCTTGGTAGAGTTGTACAGGGACTGAATATATTCAGGTGGAATAGTTTCCCAAATTCGCTGAGTTTCCATGAAAAGTTCAACGTTCGATGTGATCAATTGAACTCGAGACTGAACCTTTCTTTTGATGTATAACCAAATATTTTCGATCACATTAATGTCAGGTGATCGAGCTGGCCAGCACATGCATCTGATTTGATTATTTTCTTTGTAGTCATTGATGACCAGCGCACGATGCACTGGGACATTGTCATCTTGGAAAATATACCCATTTGGGAAATGTCTTGCAATAACCGGCCATAATTTTTTTCTAGGATGTCTTGGTACTTGTTGGCATTCATATGACCATCTACAACCGTTAGTGTCCCCACGCCATTCCAGCAAATACAAGCCCATATCATAACCTGATATTTTCTGTTGGTTTCTGCCTCCATACGTATACACGTGTATCTTGTCCAATAACAATATTACTTTCATAAAAAAATATAACTTTTTTCCACTGTTCATTCACTGTCCACTTTCTCTTTTCACGACACCACGGAATTCGCTTTTTACGATTGATCTCTCGAACAACAACTTTCTTCTTTGAAACCTGACGTTTGAAGCCATGTGAATGAAATTGATACTGAATTGTTCGTTTGCTGATAGGAACTTGCCTGTTTTCATTGAAGTTTGAAGATAATTCACCAAGAATGTCCCGTCTATTAAGTTTCACAAGTCTCTCTAACACACGGTAATCACGATCACGGTGTTTGCCCCTCCACTTCGTGGTTTGTTCTCCGTCGAACCCTTTGTTAAAAACTTCTTTATCACATTGTTTATTGTACTACGTGGTTTCTGCAATATTCTACTGATAGAACTGATAGAACTGCCAACCTGATACAACCTTACCGAAGTATTCTTAACACCGAGCGACAATTCGGCGCTTTTTCGACCCATGTCGTCTGCATCAGGTAAACCGGAAGTATTCATAGCAGACGATAACATAACTAATCCTAATCTATCTATATGCGCGTTTGCAACCGGATGCGTAAGCTTGAAGCGGAGATATAGTCATCCAAATATCAGCGTAGATATGTCATAAAGACTGAATTTGTCAATTTGCCGAATACTTTTTACACTACTCTCTAGATGCATTGTGTTTAAAATTCGTGTCTCAGAAGTTGTGCCCAACGTTGCTCGTCATAAAACAGCATCACTGACATTTTTTCCGTTTAGAACAGTTTCCTTTGGACAGAATATTTTTATTTTGCAACCTCACGCTCCGACGTCGGGGCTTCAAATGAAATTTAGAAACTATCCGTTCTGTCTAACATTCATCTAATGTCCAAACACAGTACGTTTATCTCCTAATTATTCAAAGTGCGACAATGCGACAAATGGTCCAAATGTCGCGTGTTTGCACTGTCGCATTATAGTTAATTTAGCCACTTTTTGCTTATTTTTGTAAGGGCGACAACGCGACAATGTCCCCTCTATGAATCCATAACAGAAGGCTTACAATTTGGTTTATTAGACCAGTGCAAAGTAATACACAGTCGTGACTATCCTTAGAAATAGATTTCGGTTGGTGTGGAGGGCACATTAGCTGTGAAATTCAGTGATGAATACGCTAAGCATGTCACCCCCACCGGTTGCACCCGTCATTCACACAATTTACCTGGGGTCACTTGCACAAAGTGATCTAAGTGCTACAGTTATTGTAACTCCCATTCTCCAACATAGGCTTAAGATAGCCGTAGCGCTAAGATCGCTTTGTGCAAGAGTATTTACAGTAGTTTCATCCACATAACGCTGTGCAGTCAGATTACCTTGGATGACAAGCAGATCACTCCTGAAACGTGCGTTGATGGACCCGCCAAACCATTACACTATCACCACCAAATCGATTTCTCTGTCTGACAGATGGGCCTGCATAACGTTCCCCACGACGTCTGTAAACACGCTGTCTTCCATCCACAAATTACATCCACATTGGGCTGAAGCACAGGGCCACGGTATTGACGTCGACAGTTCAGTCCGGCCTGTCTCAGGCATCGAATGGCTGTCGATGGGTGGATCCTGCTTCCATGGCTACCAATCGTTGCTGCTGCTGTTGTTGTTGCCGTTCTGAAGCGATCTCGAAGGTGCGCCAGTCGCATCTGTCGATCTTGTCTGACCGTCGTAACCGGAAGTCGTCCTAGTCGAGGGCGGTCGGCAACGCTCCCTGTCATCTGGTGACGACTGACAAGAAGGCTAATGGTGGACTGGTTGACATTAAGGCGCCTAGCAACAACATTTTGTGAAATACTGGCTTCAAGGAGTCCCAGAGAGTGTGCACGTTGCTGCAGATTCAGTCGCGGCGTTTTAAAGACTGTGAGCTCTATATAGCTATACACGTGTATTATATGGGAAAGGCCTCACGAAGTGCACGTGCATTTTCTTTATCAGGATTGCCTTGCTGTGTTTCAACGAATGATAAAAAATGCGTTTTCACGAATGTTTCTGTTTCCGAAAGCATGAAGTGGATTTGAACTTGAACAACTGTTCCTAATCAAGTCTTGAACATTCATTTAAAATATCCAGTGCATCAATAGTACTTCTCACTTATGTTTCAAAAAATGATCTGAAAAAAAAACTTATGCGTTTTCATTGCGGTCAGTATATAAATGTTAATCACAAATAGAACAAATGTAAGCGTTGCAACTGGTGATGAGTCTGTGGGGGTTTCCCTGGAGGAAACTGGTATGCATGCATTGGTCAATAATTCAATATTTCATACACTTTGGTTAGTTTTGTATATGTTATGAGAGTGTGTTTTTTCTTGTAATTTGTAATATCACATTGATTAAGACTTAGTGGTAGTTATTATGGGTCACAATGTTTAAAGTTTTGAGTGTGGGTTTTGGTTCGCATCTCACATCATATATGTTCAGTGGCATTAGTATTTGTAACGGCACGCCCTTTTTATAGCGCTTCAGAGTTGCCTCCCTTGGGGCAATCTCTTTGTATTTGTTTTGGCTTCCTTCCATGTGTTTACGATGGCTTTCGTGAACGTTCCGAGAGAATAAATGATGGAGCCCAGCTTTGCTAGAGTGCTCGAGAACTGTGTAACAGTTATATAAAGGCCAGTTGTTGTGTTGTGCGACGGGACATGACTGGTTATGACTGGATTTATACACATTTGTCTGCCATCGTCAAGCTGACCAATATTTCAAGACTGACCGTGCTCGTCTATATTCAACTGCTGTCATTGTAAACAACCTTCAATCAGTATATCTGTGCTCACTGTGAATGTCAAGAATCTGGTGAGTTAATATCTTATATTTTCGACCCAATATTTTGGATTTGTGACTCAACTGCATTGTACTAGAAATCTGTATTGTCATTCATGGTAGCTTGCTCATTCTTTGTTGAATATATTATTGAATATTTTAGACTTGTCTGGGTTCTACTTTGCTGGTTCAAAGGGGATTCTTAAACCTTTTGTCACGGCAAATTATTAACCGTAACAAAATTTGGGGCTCGTCCCGGATAGAATTCATTTGACATTTGAGACCTATAGAGGGCTTCGGGCTTTTCTACATTTCCCACAATGCATTCCCGGCGGCCATTTTGGAAGGCTTTGTTTACGCAGCTCATTGTTGTTGATCATTCATCCAGAGATAATGCCGACTACGTGTGCTATTGTTAACTGCAAATGTCGGGGTGGGAGAGATAAAAAGAGCTTTTATCGCATTCCTAAAGTTATTTCTGGACAGGGGGAAGCAGCGGAGAAGAAGATTGAACGGCGAAGGAGAGCATGGATTGCTGCAATCAACCGATCCGATGTGACGTGTTACGAACAGCTTCGTGTTTGTTCGGATCATTTCATTTCAGGTAAGCTATATAATTAACATTTTGTAGGTACATACGAATCTAAAATCTTCACAATTCAAAGCCCCATTTCATATTGAATTGATGTGCTAGGTCTAGGTCGAGGTCGAGGGTCAGTCTTGGTAGTAGGAAGCCATGAACACTAAATGTTCATAGGGTATGCAGTATCTCATGTAAAGTTGATATTAGTACGAAAGTATTTATTATGAATTCAGTGTCTATTGTTGTTTTATCAGAAAAATAGTAACATATTTGTTATGGTTTATTTAAACTTAAGTACAAAAGAAACGCTACAAACAAAAAAATTATAAAATATGAATTACTAAAAAAAAAGTTTTAGTTTCCAGGTACAGGAACTATATCACCCGAACACATCTTAGGTGTTTACAAACAAAAATTGGAACAGAATCCTTGCTTTGTACACTTCCAAACAAAAACATGAAATGCACGTTTTTAGTCATTAAAATACAATTTTCGTTCGACTGGGGTATAAATTCGATGCAGAAGGCAAGCACAGCATCATTCCAAACTCAAAACGGCACCATAAGAATGCCGAGATTGACAGCAGCAGCAGAGAAAGAGCATTGAGAATGTTGGGAGATGGTCGCCACTCACGACCACGTCGCCAAACCCTCGGCTGTCACCCGCGTAACAGTGTCCAGACTCGTCCAGCGATATCGACAGACTGGCCAGACTACTGATAGACCCAGAACTGGCCGACCCAGGGTTACAACACCACGCGAGGACCGGTACCCGCGCACATTGCACTTATGCATAACCGTTTCCCTGACGGTGACGCGCTAATCCTCATCGGCAGCCGGCGTTGGCGTTAGGTCGTCGTGTCAGTCGACACACAGTGACCAGGGCGGCTTAGAGCTTTTGGCATCAGGGCTTACAGACCGTTCCGGGGACAGGGGGCTGACCCAGGCACATCGACAGAGACGACTGGAGTGGAGATTTTGCAACCTCCGGCGAAGTACGACGATGGCAGGAACGTCAATGGCAGCGAGTGCTCTTTAGCTGACGGATAGAGCAGATTTCTCTTGTACCGAAACGATGGCAGGGCACGGGTTTATCGTCGTACTGGAGAACGACAGGCCGCCTCGTTGCGTTCAGGAGGTCGTTCTCTATGGAATGGGAAGTGTGATGGTGTGGGGAGGCATTTGTGGAGAACAAAAGACGCCACTGGTCATCGTCAATGGCAACCTGACGGCCAGACGGTATATCGATGACATTCTTAAGCCCACAGTACTGCCATTTTATGCGCAATCGCCAACAGGGCATCCTGCTTCAGCATGACAATGCAAGACCCCATGTGGCAAGAATTACACAGAACTTCCTTCAAGCAAACAACGTTAATGTTCTTCCGTGGCCAGCATGCTCCCCTGACATGTCACCAATCGAGCACTTGTGGGACGCTCTTGATCGCCGCACCGTGTTAGGCTCCGTCAACATCCCCAACAAACCGCCAAGAACTCGCTGACACCCTCGAAGAAGAATGGCGGAACATTCCACCTGCTGACGTCAGACGACTGACGTCATCAATGCGTAGAAGGGTCTATGCATGTCTTGAGGCGCGAGGAGGCCATACTCGCTACTAGAGTTCACCATAGTCATTGCTATAGACTTTTCTTTAGCAGAAGTTTATGTGTAAAAAAATGAAAATGAAATTGCTGAAGTGTCGTTAAAAGAATCCTCTGTAACACTGGTACCATATCGTTATTTATAATTGTTGACAATCATCAAAAAACTTTTTATGTCAGTCGTCTCAATAAACTTTATTGCATGTTTCTAGTGTTTGTGGTTTCTTCACAGGGTAATTTTGAAAAGTTGGTAGCGTTTCTTTTGTACTTGAGTTTAGTATCCTGTTTCAAAGCACAATGTGGAAACAGTATAAATTGATATTGAATCATGAGTTAACTTGTCTTCTTTTACAGACAGATGAACTGTAAGTAATGACATTGTGTAATGAATAATTCATATATTTTCAGGAAAACCACATCAATATGATGAATCACATCCAGACTTGGCTCCTAGCAAGCATCTAGGCTATGAAGGGACAAAGTCACCAAGTAAAGCAGCTGTACGCCATGAAAGACTGCAAAACAGAAAGGAAGCTGCTAAGAAAACAGAAGCTGCTCTTAGTTTACTTGAACTTAGTGCATACATGGAAAATGAATCTGACAGAGATTTGGCTGAGCCCACCCCTGAGTCACCTACTGTTGAAGAGGAACCAACCGTCACAGAGAAGCTGGAGCTAGCTAATCAAGAAATAAGTGAATTAAAACAGGAAAATAAGCAGCTGAGAGAACAAAACGAGTGTTTAAAGAACATTGTACACAAAATGAAGGCCAATTCACCAGAGGACTTTGAAGATGACAATGAAAAGGTGAAGTATTATACTGGATTGCCAAGTTATGGCACTTAATCATCTTTTGGCCCCTGAAATGACAGAAAACAGAAATTCATCTCTCAGCAAATTTCAGAAGATAATCATAACCCTAATGAGACTTAGACTAAATTTGCCCGTCAAAGACTTGAGTTATCGTTTTGGTGTATCTAAATCTACATTATCCAAGGCTTTCTTAGATATTTTGAACTTAATGTATGTGGCATTACAACCTTTAGTGCGTTGGCCTGATCGTGATGAACTTAGGGAAACAATGCCGATGGTGTTTCGTAAATACTTTGGAAGGAGAGTCACCTGCATTATCGACTTCTTTGAGATTTTCACTGATCGACCATCCAACATGACTGCAAGGGCACAGACCTGGTCCAACTACAAGCACCACAACACAGCAAAGTATTTGATAGGAATTACTCCTCAGGGAAGTGTAAGCTTCATATCGGAGGGCTGGGGAGGACGAGTAAGTGACAAACATCTAACAACCAATTGCAAATATCTAGACAATCTAATGAATGGAGATTTGATACCAGCAGATCAGGGATTTGACGTCCAGGAAGTGGTTGGCGCCGAAGTGAAACTTCCATCTTTTATGAGAGGAAAGCAACAGCTGAGTGCTACAGAAGTTGAGTCAACAAGAAAAATTGCTATGTGAGGATTCATGTGGAAAGGGTCATTGGAACTGTGCGTCAGAAGTTCATGATTCTTGGAGCGACGAGTCCGATTGATTACCTCATTTCGAAAGCTGGTGACAAGTGTGCAATTCTTGATAAAATTGTGTTTGTATGCTGTGCTCTTACCAACATGTGCCCCTCTGTTGTGCCATTTGACTGACATTAACAGCTATCAACATGTGTCCTGTTGTGCCATTTCTCAAACATTAACATTCACATATTAAATTTCCTTTAACTTTTACCTTGAGTTATTATGAGTTACTATTCATTGGCTACTGGTATGTTAAGCCATTAAAAAAATGAAGAAAAAACAAAAAACCAAAACAAAACAAAAAAAAAGATAAAAAACATGTCTGCAGTTTATCCATTCTGTGTTAGGTTTAATCACAGTATTGGATAACCCAAGCTGCACTGATGAGCCCTGGGAGGGCGAAACATGTTAAATTTTCTGATTGAATCATATGATTTTAGACTACAGAAAATCTTTTTGTGAACACATTTGTGAGAGAGACAGGTATGTTTAATATTGTAACTGTTTTCCAAAATGACGACATATTTCACATATTTAGTCAATTTGATGTTGTCTATTTGTTGTTGTTGTGAGGACAAATAAATTGCCCAGAAAAAGAAACCTTTCTAAACAAAGTTTGAGTGCAATGCAAACATGTTTCGCCTTCCCAAGGCTCATCAGTGCAGCTAGGGTTTCCCAATAAAATAACTGAGAAAACTGCAGACATGTTTTGGGTTTTTGATGATTTTTGTGTCAGAACAAACACATTATATCAACAGTGATCAGTGAAGTCAGGTAGGGAATGTGGATTCCAGGTATTTTCTTTTATTTCCTTTTTATACTCCTCAAGAAGTTACGCTCCAAGCAGTCCGGACAAAACCAATCTCCCTCAGGTTCAGCTTTCAGGTTCACACATGACAAATGAAACCACTCAAAGGGCTTGTTGGGACAGTCTTCAGAGTCACAGCCAATCATAATACCGCCTTTTGCACCATCACAAACACAGAACAGTTCCAGGTTTTCCTCAGATGCGTCCAGTCCAGGTGAGGGTTTGGAGGACTTTGATACAGCTGCTGTCGTAGCCTTGGACTTGGATGTCTTCTCTTTTGTAGCTGGTTTTTGCTTGGTCGCCTTTCTATTTGTAGACTCTGGCTGTCTAAGGGGCTTCTTCTTCGTTGATTTCTTTCCCGCAGATGAGATTGTCTCCTCTTCACTTAATCTGTATAATTTACCAACAAGTTCCGGAAGAATGACTGTGGCAAAACATCTTGACGATCGATCCAGTAACTTGTTCCACACTTCGCTGTTGGGCTCAATCCGTTGAAGGAAAATGTCTTTTGGAGTCCATACAACAAAATCACAGTAGTCTACATCAGCAACATGGATATGAGTCTGAACTTGGGAATAATATGCATGGGTTTCCTTCAATTTAAGTCCTGCATTGGTATTCTCAAGACAAGATCCTTTCTGAGCTCTGACATTCTCATCTCTCATGCAATATAGACACTTCACTTCAACACATCCTCTTCCACAACAGTCACATTCAACTATGCCATCTGGAGAAGCGCCGAGGTGAGGATAGTCTTTGTTGAGAAACAGTCCACAAGGTTGGGTCTTGAAATTAACATGATTTTCCAAGGAAATACCAGTGTAGTGTCTCCTTGCAACATCTTCATGATCACAACCCCATTGCATAGCAGCATTTGTAAATCTGTGTTCATGTGGATAACAAATTTGTTTCACTAAGCTGTATGATGGTTTGTCACATGATGTCGCACAAGCAGCTTTTATCCTTGAAGATGTTATTCGTCCTGTCCAGAACCGAAACCACAAGTTACAGTCAGCTTGTTGCCTGGTAGCTGCCTCAACATTGATGGCTTCTTCCTCTGTAAAGGCAATACTGGGAAGTAGTGTACCGCAATGTTCCACTAGTTCGTCACGAGACATTCCTTCACACTTGTCATCCCTCAGTTCAGATAACACCTTGGGGTACTTGGCCTGAAGACTAGTTGGCACATAGTCTGCGCTATACTCTTTCTTCACTGCCAAACAAACTGGTTTGTCTTCCTTCAGTGTCTTGAAAAAAGTGTCATACCTTGCCTGGGAAATGTTCACTGATAGCTTCTTCGCTGAGGTCTCATCCCTAATTACTTCAGTGTGGGTGGAATCAATTTGTTTATCAAGTTGTTTTTTAAGTGTTTTTGCTGATGTAAAATCAATGTCACGTAGTGGAGCATACTGAACACTTGTCTTTGAAGCAGGTAACATCCAGTAGGCAGGTTTCTGAGTCACTGTACTGGCCTCTCATCCTGACTGTTGCCTCTACATAAAACAAAACTGATGCCACGTGAGAAAAACTCTCTCCCAATTCTGCCTTACAGTCACAGTGAGCTGGCGTTACCTTAGTTTGCTTATCCGTGATTATCCAGGGTGTCAAACTTGGGTCAGATAATTTCTGAGAATGCATGACTCTTGCCTTGATAACACGATGTCCACTGGGCTGATGCAGATAAACAGAAACGTCACGAACCCATCCACAAACAAACCGGTCATAGCTGTCAAGACTCGTGAAATTCTGAAAGTCTTTCAATGTGTAAAATGGGCTGGGTTGAAAAATCAAGCAATTCACCAAGTCCGGGTATGAAACTTCTGGGAAGCTGTCGTGATCTTTACTCCACTCAGACGTGTCGATCTGGTAAGGATCTTCACCACCAATTACACATATTTTCTCCTTGTAACGGGTAAAAGCCTTCTTGTCTAATGACTCGGAATACTTCTTCATGCTACAAAATCAGGTGAACAGTTATTTTCCACTGAATACTTCGGAAATATCACGTCTGTACTGGTAAGCGCTATAATGTGAGAATGACTCTGCAATGAAGCCTTCCAAAATGGCCGACCGTAAGGCCTTGTGGGATACTGTTGCTATTTTTAGTAAAAATGACGAAGCCCTCTATTGTGAAATTAATTTCAAATTTCTGCAATTTTGCAATTTTGTGAAACCAGCAAAATGGTGTTTGAACTTTAGAAGTTTCTTGAATCCCCTATGCCAGAGACTGACTGACTGAGTTTAGTTTTACGCCGCTTTTAGCAATATTCCAGCAACATCACGGCGGGGGACACCAGAAATGGGGCCTTCGGTGTGACGAGCCAACGCTTTTAACCACTAGGCTACCCCACCGCCCCCTATGCCAGAGACAGTTGGGGATTTGCTCATATCAGATTTATTGCAAACTCTTCACATTTCAAACTTGAGGCCAAACCTGCTATGAGGAAATTTCAGATTTTGAAAATTTTGTTGAATCACTGTATTGATGAGGAGTTTTTGAACATGAAGTTTTGGAAATGGTGAAAGAAGAAAATTCAGAAAATTTGGAGATGAAAAAACTTGAAATTCAAATGCAAATTCAGAAAGAAGGAATAGATTATAGAAAAGGAAAAGAAGAATGGGGATTCTTAAACCTTTTGTCATGGCAAATTTTTAACCGTAACATATGCAACAGAGACCAAAACACCAAATTGTCGACGATTGATAACACTGAAAGCGTTCCGGGCGACTCGCGACAGCTGAGAAGAACCAGGCGCTAGGAAGACTTGAAGCTGGCCACACTGCACAAGCCGTTGCCAATCACTTCCAGCAGTCTAAGTAAGCTTAGGCTCAGTATTATTTGGTACACTGCTATACTGAGTCTTACAAAACCTAGTAGAAGGTCGCGTCAGCTAACCTTTTGGGAGCTATGACCGTCAATCAAACCTAGTCTGCTGACACTGATCTATCAACAAAAATGAAAATCGCTGACACTGATCTATCAACAAATGAAAATCCGCAGAAAACACAGATATTTGACCTGCAGTATTTTCGCTTATTGGTTTATAATGACATGGTTACAGATTTGCTTATATTTTCGCAAGATGACATCCTTGAATATTGACAAAAACGCTATTTACAGCGACTGTTTACTCATTACGTGTATCAGTCGGAAGCGATCGTGCGGAAAAATAGCATTCGGAATCGTTCGAGTTTTTGAGGTAAAGGTTCAAACGGTATGTGCGAATGTTACTTTCGCGATTTGGTAAACTGATTGGTCAGTCCAAAGGTTAGCTGGCGCGACCTTCTACTAGGTTTTGTTAGACTCAGTATAGCAGTGTAACGAATAATACTGAGCCTAAGTTTACTTAGGCTGTCACTTCCAGGTCAGCGTTCGGACCATCTACAGGCTGCAACACCGTTTCCGGGCCACCAACACCACGAAAGATCGCCCCCGTACTGGCAGACCAAGAGTGACCACAAGACGACAAGACTTCAACTTCTTTATTTCTCCTACAACCATCCAGCGGTGGTACAAGAGTACAAAAAGCATCGGATTACTTTTAAAAATGACGAGATGGGGCACAGTTAGCATTTAAAGTGTGATAGTATACTATTAATAAACATCGATAGCATTTTCAGTTCTGCTGTTTTCTCTGTACACATTAGTTGTTTGAATGTAACCAGATTTTTCCAGTTAAGGTATTGCGAAGGAATATACTTTCGTCTACTATCATTAAAGTAACTACATCTCAGTAAATAATGAAGTTCATCAGCTATTGCGGGGAGTTGTATAACTTACATGTTCTATTTTCTCTGGTTATGCCCTCCCAGCTGCCGGTCTCGATGGGTAGAAGGTGGTTAGTTGTTCTGAATTTCAGCATGGGGATATAAACATTGGCTTGAAGAAAAAAGTAACGTTCAAATATTAAAGAGTCTTTTATAGTCCTATAATAAAGAGCCTTGGGGCTATTATTCATTAAAGACCACCAGCTCTGAGTAAATTGGTCTTTTAAAACTAGTTCTACCTTTAAGGCCAGCCAATCAGTGTTAACACATTCTGGATTTCTGAAAATATTACTAAGACCTAAATGATTTAACGTACATTCAATAAAATTTAACCATTTATCTTGATAGCCATAGTGCTGTTTGTGTAGTGTAACGAAGTTGTGTAAAGTGTGAGATAATTTAAAGTTTGATATTTTAGGTACAGCAAGAGTGTGCCAATATTTAATCAATCGCTTTACAATCTTAATGTTGTGCGACAGCATGTACTGCGTATCAACTGCAGATGGCAGAATAAGAATATGGCGACGACGTGGCCAGCGTCACTCAAACCAATGTGTTATGGAAAGAGACTCATGGGGAGGTGCAACCATCTTGGTATGGGGTGGAATAGGCTTGAACCAGAGAGTGGGTCCTGTGGTGTTCCAGAACCTTGGTCCAGGGAGAGGAGGCGGCATCACAGCGGTGCGCTACATCGACCAAGCTCTCAGACCCCACGCCATACCACATTTAGCACGTCACCGGAACAACATTTTCTAGCATGATAGCGCCCGGGCCCATACTGCCAGAGCTACACGGAACTTCCTACAACAGAACGGTGTCAACATTATGCAGAAGCCAGCCCTTAGACCTGATTTAAACCCAATGGAACATCTTCGGGATGAAATTCAGAGGAGACTGAATAATGTCATGCCAAGGCCGAACACAGCCGATTTATTGCGCCAGGCCTTCCTCAGAGTGTGGTTCCAGGTGCCAATGGCCTTCGTCAATCGAATCAATGAAGTCAAGGGTCTGAATGTACTGCAAACGTTCACGTAATGTCTTGAAATTGTTATTCATTGATGTGTCAAGATATTGTACACAAAAAATGTTTTTGATCCGCTTGTTATGCCCATTTCTGTAATGATTTGATTACAGTGCCTATCTAATTTTGAATTCGTACTGACGTGTTGTTTTGCTGCTGAGTATATATGTATAGGACCGTTACAAGGCTTGTTTAAGGTTCTAATGCTGCTTGCACACAGTCTACCCCGCCTCTGGGGGTGTTGGTTAAGTCCTGGCTCCCTCTGGCGTAGCTTTGGCTTGTCCTGTTTCTGTAGGGTATGCTGGAACTGGTCCAGGAGGGTAAGATGGTGGAGGTTGTGCCGTCCCTGCAGGTTGAGTGTAGTGTGTACCTGGAGCAGGCTGAGGCGCGTAGACGTATCCGGCAGCGTATGCCCCGGGGGTAGTGTTTGGACCTAGATAGAAATAGACACGATCAGCTGAACATGTAGTGTAGTAATCCTATCAGTTGGTTAGCAAGCCAAGGATATACGACATGTCTGTTCCCGACTGGCACAGTTCTGGTAACAAATAGTCGACAAAGGCTGCTTTGCACTGGTTTGTTAAAACACATTCCTAGAATTTTATGGACAGTCAGATGATCATTTCCATTATCATTATGAATATATTTCCATCTACTGTCTTCTCACTTTCACACAAACACATATTTTATCGTTCGTGATCACACTTAAGTCTAGTAGAATCCATCGTTGACAGTATGGTACTGAGACATGTAACCAGGAAAAATCGGGGAGTCTTAGCTTTTTAGCAAACTTGATGAAGGCAATTCTGAAAGCAGCCTGCAGATGCAGTGTGTTGGGGTATTACAATCTACTGTTTTACTATCGTTTATGATTCTGCAGCAAAACTAATTACCAATTACAACCGGATAACATAATGTAGTCTTAACATGCCACGAATCAAATGTTCAAATACGCTGATGGTCAGTTACTATGCACCTGTCCATAATATACTTTAAACTTCATTTTATACTACATTTGAAAGACGGTGTAATCTTTAATCAGTGTCCCAAATGAAATCTTTGAAACATTATGGTTATTGAATGGATGTTGTATTGTGGGAATTCTGCTTTGTTTCTTTCTCTATCAGAAGCTGCCACTTGATTGATGGCAAGGAATGCAAAATCACGCATACATGTGTGTAATACGTTCCTTGCGCTGAGTAATACTCATGTCACAGCGGCCTCAATGAGTAAGTTTCAATAGTGACGTGTAGGGTTAGAGTACGAGTCGTCTGAATGTTATGTAATAAATACAGAACATCACACTAGTGACATACACTGTAACAACGTATGGATTTACAACTTCTTTATGTATTTTATCTACAACACGCCGTTTCTGGGCTACGTCTTGCCCCTTCATTGTGTTGTAAATAATAGAGAGGTTGTAAATCAATACCATACATTGTTCTGTTAACTTCTGAGTGAGTGAGGGAGGGAGTTTAGGTTTACGCTGCACTCAGCAATATTCCAGCTATATGGTAGCGGTCTGTAAATAATCGAGTCTGGACGAGGCAATCCAGTGATCAACAGCATGAGCATCGATCTGCGCAATTGGGAACCGATGACATGTGTCAACCAAGCAAGCGAGCCTGACCACCCGATCCCGTTAGTCGCCTCTTACGACAAGCATGGGTTACTGAAGATCAATTCTAACCCGGACCTTCACGGGTAATGTTAACTTTTCAAATGCCCATCAAGTATCTGTCATACTCGATATTGAACTCGAAGATGTCATAGTAGGAGAGAAACAACTGGTTCTCGTTGTTTCTCTAATACCATGACATTCATTCAATACACAAGGTCCCAATGTCCCGGTATGGTCCCGGTATTTACCCATTACAAAGATGATTATAGTGATATATGTACAGTACCATTTGTAGGTAATACAGCAAGCAGATGACCGGTGGTAACAAGTTGACCTTGGTGACCTTTAGATGCTCGGCAGCAGCAGCGTACACAACACATGACTAATCCAACAATCACGACGACCGTCAACACAGCACTGCAGACGATCCCGATAATTAGTGCAACCGTCGCAGTCGTTTCGGCATTGTTTCCGCTGCAAGAAACATGTTGGGCAATATGTAAAACCGCCTTGCCATTATCGCAGAGAACATACTAAGGGAGCATTGCTACCATCAGTTCCAACCATGCTACCTCATTCTACAAAACAACACACAATAATTAGTTTTTAAGATTTTCTAGCATCCCGATTCATCGCCAAGATAAAAAATATAAGATGCTGAGTGCCAACAACCACATTTGTCATGAAATCTTAGGTTGACACCGACTTCATGCCCATTTCCGTTCCTACGATTATGCATCTCAAGAAGACTGGTATACCTGATGCTCTTGTAACACTGGTACTGATGTGGCTTGTTCACGTATATCATTGAATGATTGACAGAAATAATGCCATCGCTTGGATTGGTGACTAGGGAACTAGCTCATAATTTAGCCGAACGTTGACAAAGACGAAGTAAAGCTTGAGTTCAAACTTCTTTAGTTGGTTCCACAACACATGACAAACAAGTATACATGAATGAGGTGAACGAATTCCAGCTCAACCCCAGGACGTTTCCTACGAGCGGCATCATCCTGTTCGCGGTCGTCCCTACACAGACAGTCGGTGAGGTGAGGTGAAATTAGGTTTAACGTCGTACTTGAGAATATTTCGCTCATATGACGACGTGCATGCGTGTGTACGTGTATGTGCGGCTGCTTGTACTAGCCCAGACTGAAGCCGGTTTTATAGTGCTAGCCCACTGAGATACAATGCGGCAGTGAAGCATGAATACCCCACTCAGACGCATTATACTGACTCCGAGCCGACCAGTCCTTGTTGAACCCATTAATGCCGAGCGCCAGGCGGGGACCACAGACAGTCGGAATACCAGACTCCTTGACAATATGGATGTGAGGGAATGTGAAATGTGAAACTGTGTTTGTTCAGTAAAGGGGCCACCGGCCCATTATACACGTACATGTACATACAACATGATGTATAAGATGTGATGAAGCGCCGTAACATATCACATTGCATCAATTCAGTTGAAAAAATGTAAACGTTTCTTAAAAGCTAGAAATACATATTTAGCTAAATTATTAATAAGAGGAGCATTATAAGACGACAACAATTGAAAAAAATTATGGAGAGATTGAGAAGAGTAACAATATTTAGGGAGCATGTCTTGACGAAGATGATTATAAACATTACATTCTAAGCAAAAGTGATATTCATACTCAATAATGGGTACAGTACAAAAAGGGCATAATCTTTCGCTCGGTGCTAGGCCGATCTTTGGTCCTTAACTCGATTAGGAGTTGATGATTAGCGCATCGGAGCTTACAGACTGCATACAGTAAACTGGTACAGTAATCAGCAATAAATAATCCTCACATTTAATTTCACTTTTAAAAAATTTATATAACCGAAGTTTGGAATAACTTGATATGCTTTCAAAGAAACACTGGTTATCAATAGCAACACACCTTTCCTTTAAACTTGAAATGAAACTGTTAATACAGCCTACATCTTGATTCACCCATACATAGCCGAATCCGTAACTAAACAATAATTTTTTAGCATCTAATGCCCAACACTTCGTTCCAGCTTCTGCCAAACTATATTGAAACTGATAAGCTTTGTTTAAAATAACATTTTCTTCTTGGAACAACAACCTTACCCAGTATTTAATAATCTTAACGTACTGATGAACACGAAGAGAATACCTACCAAGTTCACCACGAGCTACGAAATTAGGTGTTGTTCTACCCAACTGTAAAACGTCTTTACAATAGTTATCATTAACCCGCGCAACGTCACTTGATGGATGAAACCCCCAGATTCCTGTGCCATACAGAAGAATAGGTAGAATTATAAAATCGACAATCCTGTGAGGGAAATTAAGATATATATGAAAGTTAGAGCGGATAATTCTTAGAACTTTTAAGGCCTTTTCGTCTTTTGGTAAATTGTGGAAAGGACCTTCTGAGAGATGTACTATGAACCTGAACTTGAAAAATGTACCCCGAGATATTTATAACTACTAACAACCTCTAACCGTTCACCATGAAAGAGAAACTTATCATATTCTCTAAGCTTACCAGCCTTCCTAAATACCATTACGTTAGTTTCTATATTTACCTTGAACTGCCATTTATCACAATAATTACTTATCGAGCCTTTTTGTAATCCTATAACTGTACTGTCCACAACAGCCATGTCGTCAGCAAACAATAACATAAATATCTGCAAAACTCTATACTCCTCTGATCATCATCACCAAAAAAGTCAATAATTTACATACTGAGAAAATAGGAAGGGTAACAACTGACAGCCCTGTCGAACGCCATACACACACTCAAAGAAATCAGTAAAGCCTTCATATAGTGAAACTCAAGACTTTACATTAAAATACATAATCTTTAATCAATCGAAAAACTCTACCCTTAATATTAGCCTGGCACAACTTCAATAGAAGACCATCCCTAAAGACTGAATCAAATGCCGCCTTTAGGTCTATAAATGCACAATATACTCTACCCTTATGAAGTGTTAAATATTTAGAGATGACAGTGCCCAACACAAAAATATTGTCAGTAGTTTGGAAGCCTTTCCTAAAACCCGCCTGCTCTGGAATAAGATTTCATAACCTGCCCATATAACCAATCTATTACAGATAACTTTTGAAAAGATTTTACCGGATACCTCCAGTAAAGTAATAGGTCTATGGTTGGAGGGTAAGTGCTTATCGACCTTTTTGTGGATAGGTATAATAACGCTTTTAGACCAAGCCTTGGGGTAAATACCTGTAACCAAAATGGAAGTTTGGGAGCATTTTTGAAGAATTCGATTGGTAAACCACTATAACTTGGCGCCTTACCACATGCCATGTCGGCAATTGCATTACTGATTTCTCCACAAGAGATGTCACGATCAACAAGAGATGTCACGATCAACAAGAGATGTCACGATCAAGGAAGTCTACAAAAAGGGTATCATCAATTGATTGAACAAAGACTATTACAGAGAGATAAAAAACGTTCTCTTCCTGGGAAACATTAGGTCCATTGAATAATTTTTTAAGTTTTCAGTCCAAGCACTATTAGTATTTTTATTGGATATAGGGTCTGTTCTTTTTCTCACAATAGACCAGAAGTATTATTATCATTTAGAGTAAGGGAATTCAGCAGAGATTGCGTAACAGAGTCAAACACCGCAGTGTGCTTGGTTGCGCAGAGCTGCTTGTACTCAATCAATCTTTATTTACTCTAAGTTACCACCATGAGTAGTTACACAGAATAAACATAATATTTACAACAAGATGGCAAATAATTTCTTCAGAAAATGTGATAAATTCGTAATGATCTTAATATTCCCATTACACATTAGTTTCTTACAATTTACTAAAGATGGACATTGGTAATAATACTCATTAATCAAACTTTTACGTTGAGTTGATAAAGCAGTAAAATCAAATAGATAGTGGAATTCATCACCGATAAGTTACACTTAGTACATAATCTATCTTGACGAGTAATGTTATAATATCGTCCCTTTTCTACTGGTAAATTGTGGTTGCTTGTTCTAAAATATAATATTGGTTTATAAACGTTTTCATTCAATAAAAGATATTGCTCATTACATGCATGTGGAATCCTTAATGATAGAACAATAAAAACCTTTAGATGAATTGTTAACATCACTTCGCCATGACTGTAAAAATTGATATTTTAACATGTCACAAACTGTTGCAATTATCCATTTTTGCAGTAATTCTGAGGAATATCGAAAATGAGTGGTAGACTACATGTTACAAATATAGTTTTGACGTACTTCAACCAAGGATATGATATACTCTTGTTTATATATATAATTAAGCAGAAGTGGCGCAATTTTATTGTTTGGTTGGGGACATAATAATTTAGACCAATATGAGATCACACGTTTAGCCACTTCTTAGCGCAGTGGGGATCTGCCGAATTCACCGTAAACCATAAAATTTGGTGTAGACATCTTTAAACCTGCTGCCAATTTTAAGAACTTCAAATGAACACGCTCGATAATAATAATGTTTTCAAACCCCAAAATTTTGCAACCATAAAAGCAGAATCGGAAGTACAAGAAATGAGACAACCCAAAGGTAGATTTAAGTTTCTCGCACGCTTTAATAAGGACATTGAAGCTTGTTACCCATATCGGCCAATAGCCATTATCATCCTATGAAATGTAATTCCAAGGTATTTTAAAGTATCTACAATATCAAGCGGTTCCTGTTTATAAAAAAAAAAATAGTTTATTTTTGGTTTGCAGGCCCAGATCCAAAAATAAGAATTTTAGTCTTTTCATGGTTAACTTCCAGTTTCCATAAATCACAGTAACGTGAAAACCAATTAAGTTGGGTTTTTGTAGTTCGTAACTACTATCCGCTAGTAGTACCGTGTCATCAGCATACTATAAAACTAATGGTTTAATGTACATATTTACAACATCATTATCTAACTCGAGACTCAAACCATCACACTGACTAGTAAGGTAATCTTCAAGATCATTCAAATACAATGAAAACAATATAGGCGAGAGATTTTCGCCTTGGCGTACCCTGAAAGACACGGAAAGAAATTGGATTGTATACGATTCACCGCTACACAAGATTTGATATCGCAATACATATTTTGAATAATTTCCCATTGACACCATGACGTAGTAACTTTATCCAAAGACCGGTTCGCCACACTTTGTCAAACGCCTTGGAAAAATCGACAAAGGCACAGAACAGCTTTTTATGTCGATTTTTCAGAGAATTGATAAGATTTTGTATAACGAACACATTGTCCGTTGTTGAAAAGCCTTTTCGAAAGCCCGACTGTGTATGAGAAATTATATGAAACATTTCGCAAAAACTTGTTAGGCGTTCATTAATAATCGAGGTAAATAATTTGCCAAAGCAGCTGAGAACAGAAATCGGCCGGTATGAATTTGGGTCAGAAACTTTTCCCTTTTTCTTGTTTACTGGTTTAATCACACCTGTGAGCCATGCCTCGGGAAAAATTCCAGAATTTAATATCAAATTTATGAAATCTGTGTAAACTGTTAATAACCAAGGCGACACTGCAGTAAGACGTTCATTTCTTACTAGGTCTAATCCGGGAGCTTTATATGATTCTTTGATCGTTTTAATACCAACATGACTTCATTTTCTGATATCTCGTCATTTAATATATCTCGTCAGTCTGGAGTATTTTCAACTTCAAAATCGTCTCCATTTCCCATCACTTCAGTTTCATTTATCAGTTTAAACTGATCGTATAAAACTTCAAGTGAGATATTTTCCGGAGCAGCTTGTCCTTCAGTCTCATCAGTCGATTCTCTGTCTCTCTGTAGACACGTTTTCTTGTGGGTGGGGCTGCTCCAAATTTAAGTTGAACAATCTTTGCCTTGTCTGCAGTGTCAATCTTCCTAATGACTTCAGTGAATCTGAAGATATTTGGATGGCGATGGGGCTAGGTCTGGTTGAGTCTGCTGTGAATCCCACCAAGTTGTTGGTGCGGGGTCCGACTGTTGATAGTATTCCTTTGCGTGTGGACTTCACACACTTCCAGTGTATGCAAGTGTGTCGGACAACATTCTTGTTGTAGACATACCCGTCTAACAAGACTTGTGAGGTTCCTTTCTGCGAGGTTACAAACTCTACTTTTCTTATGCCAGCCATTTTGCATATTCCTACTACAGGTTGACATTGGTTATATACTACAGTTTTAATCTCTAATAAAGTGAGAAGACTCAATTTGTAATATCAACTACATTTTTGACTGAATTTTAAGTGTTTATTATCTAATTAATATTTATTAAATGTTTAAAATTATAACTGTTGCATGTCTCCACTGAATTGGCGATCTTGCATTATGTTGTTACTGCATTCACATACAACTCTTTCGTCTTACCAGGGATACTCTACAACAGAGTCTCCTTGATCTTACTTAGTAAGTAATAAGTTGTGACTGAACCTGTTTATTGGATATTTACACAGCGCACATATCCACCCAACTAATACATGCTAAAGGCGCTGGTATTGTTTCCCTCAATCATTGGATGTCAATCTCAACTGCCTAGGGAACATAGAACTCTTGCTGCCACAAGGCACACCGAGTTATTGCTGCTTCCCTATCCTTACGAGGTGCCCATTCACAGCTGGGTGGTCATATACCTCTACGCCCAACTACTCCCTCTATAATCCCACCCCTAGGCTGTTCCATGATATCCATAGGTACGTGCATAATTCTGCCTTGACCTTTTGTAGAAGTTTTGGCATGTAGAAGTTTTGGCAGATAACCATGGTAGGCGCGGAGCCGACACTGGGCTACGAGTTGCGCCGACTTACATTCACTGGCATACCAGTTGCCTCCCTTTGTCAAGTCATGTCACCTACACTTAACTTGCTTGAAGTGAAGCGCTTGCACAGTTTAATAGGTTGGCATGAAGAGAGTCATGTGCATTGTTAACTTCGTTTTTGTTTAATAATTCTTTGAAGTTGTCTATGAGCTGATCTGTTATAGAGTCCCACCTATCCATAAATAAGGACTGGTTTTCAGCATTCCATCTGTATCTATCTAACAATTAAAATTTTGTTCAAAGTTTTCGCTGCAATCAAAATTATTCAGAGATAGAGAGAATACAATTGGGAAGTGTGATGATTCGACTTGATCGCACACTGAAAAATCACAGAAAATTTTGAATGTTTTTTCTGGGCAGATCACATAATCGACGACACTCATTGGCTACACAAGTAATTTTACCCACATGTTTGTCGCTGAAAAGACGACCATTGCAAATCCGGAAACCAGTTCTTTTACAGAAATCTAGCAGTGCACGACCTCTACTATTAACACCAGCATCCTGGGAACTGCGAGCTGGTATAGTATCATCATTTATATAATGAACATCATCCACAGCAATGTAGCGAGCATCGTCATTTTCAATGTAGTCTGGTAAGGTCCCCGTTCTGGCTTTAAAGTCACCCTTTAAGATAACTGACAATATGGGTATGCTTCTCTAAATGATAAAATGTCTGTTTCTATAACGTCTAAAAGGTTTTCATGAGAGTCACTTGAGCCACTAGGGGAGTAGTAAACAATGCCTAATATTAGTAGCAAGTTGCTGGTGATGATTTCTAATTTTAACCATAAAACGTTCACCGAGATACTTTTCAAAACTGTTGCTACTGTTGATATATTTTGTTTTATCAATGCTACAATTCCACCCAAATTCCGAATTTGCTCCAGGCTTAGCTGTGAGCACATAGAGTATACAGTTTTTGACAACAATGGACAGGCGACGACTCAGCAATGGACAGATAGAGAAACAATAGCACTTCCTTGACCAGTTGATGTGATGGCAGGCACGACCAAGGGGGATGACCAATTAACGCAATAAATGTCACATACAATAATCAATGACAGTGACAGAGTGGTACAGGGTGGCTGACAAGACGATGTACACTGCGGTAGTGATAAGGATGAAGATTGCAGATTGAATAATTACAATTAAGTCACACATTTCTTGGCTACCTAGTTTTTGGTCTTAAGAAATATTTGGACTATGGCTGTCCTGTATTAGACACTATGACAATAGGAATAAAAAGAATGTTCGATTTCGGCTGAGTGGATGTGAGCAGTTTGGTTTGTCAACTGTGATACTAATCAACGACAAATAGATGGAAGTTTCGTTTGAATTGGGTATAGCTCACGTTAGCCAAACGTAAATAAATAAGCAATTTCCCATTTCTTCAACATATGTTCTTGTTTCTTTGTTATTTTAAGGACACGTAGACATGCAGGCATGATTGGTATATGTTACAATAAGCCTTTGGTAGATTGTGATTTGAATAAATCTTTACCTAAAATAATTTTTGGGGTAAAGTTTAACTCTCCCAGTACCAATCAAATCGTGCACACGTGATGGGTACACTCATCATTTTTCAAACACATGTATCTTCACTGTTGGATAGTGATTCAGAATCACATGCTTATGATATGGTTGGAATCATGGACCTTTCGTAGAGATAGGTTATGGTTTAGGAACGTTTTCTTCGGCTATTTTCACATCGAAATGAAATAGTCATGGATGAGGATCTAGAACTGACCTGCTACAGCAGTATTGATGGCTGGAGTCCCCGCAACATCCATAGCTGCACATAAAGGTCGTACCATTACTGTTGCAATGTGAACCGTCATGTGCTGAAAAGACATATTCAGGTAACCTGGCTTTTCAGGTACGTGTAACTAATACATTTAATACAATTAACTTATTAACGTAATTTGAGCTCAAAAACGATATCGTTTTCTTGAATTTACGTATACATGCCAGGCCTGTTTAAATGTGTTGGAATGATGTCATGTTAGATAATTGTACATAGGTTACAAAGAATACGTGTCACACCTACCTGAGACCAGATGTCGAAACAGCAGCACACTTACTCCAACAAAACAATGTATGTTCATAATGGCTTCTTCTGGTATGCTACAACAAATATCAACAAATCCTTGATATGTTACAGCCTGATGCACTAATAACACTATTGTAACTGTAAGCTGTGTGTGTGAGGTGGTCGTCTAACTCCACTGTGACAGGGAAAGGACGCGTGATCTTATCAGCTAGCGTTCAGTCAATACATACATAATTTATGATGACATAAGTAAGTGTCTGTTGGGCACAACTACATTCATTGGGCCCAATGTCTCTCGTAAGAAAACAATGTCACTGATTGAAACATTTACTTGTTTCAAAATTTCCAAAGTTTATTATAAATGCAGACACAAACAGATTTTATAATTTTAAAAGAAATTTCTGAAGTATTTGTTTGTTATTTACAAATAGACAACATGCCCTTCCGGACGCATAACAGAGCAACTATACTGTACTATATACAGTCAACGTTTAAAATGCGTTGTCTGCATGACATAAACACTTATCTCCTTAGCAGTTTAGGTCCTAAGGTGTTCCACAAATATTTATATTTTGTCTTGTCTTCCCAACATTTATTTGACTTGGCCCAGTGGTTTAAGCTTTCGCTCGTCGTGCCGAAGGCCTGGGTTCGATTCCTCACATGGGTACAATGTGTGAAGCCCATGTCTGGTGTCCCCCTGATTTTGCTGGAATATAGCTAAAAGCGTAAAACCATACTCACTCACACACCCAGTCGCCTAAGGTGCACTGCTGTGTTGCGTTTCTTTGGTTTGTGGAGTCTACTAAAGCCCCATGTGGTAACTGCTACCAATCCTGAATAAACAAAATAATGCACCAACAAATCTCTTAATTACTACCTTTAACTTTGGCATAGAGTAATACAGTCCTGTTTGTTCATATTAATTACGTGAAGCCCATTTCTGGTGTCCCCCGCTGTGATGGTGGAATATTGCTAAAAGCGGCGTAAAACCAAACTCAGTCAGTCAGTCGTATTAATTACACTAACTCTGTTCAAGACAGTAAATGAAAATATATAATAGACAAACGAAGAAGTATGATGAATTCTTTGAACATCGAGAGCTGGTTAGTGGACTGTTACTAATCTAAAGTGACCATCCGTAAATGTCTTAAACAATCTGAAGGACAATCTGACAGCGCATTGCCAGACAGTCTGAGCAGTGTCTACAGTGATTAATGAAAATGAGCCACAAGTGAACGCTTCATCTTAAAAAGAGTATTTTAGGACAACGAAAAGATGTTGATGAACTGCATAACATATATAAACGTGAGTTTCAACTTGAAATAAGACAAGAGTCACTCTCTAATTTGTTCAGCACCACAGTGTACAGGTTTTTCATTTGAGATGGGTAATATATGTATAAGTATTGATAAGCAGCCTTATAGAGCCCATTGAGGTGAGCAGTGTTTACGGGATATATCGCTTTTAAATTAAAAAAAAAGTACATAAGCATAGTGTAAAAGTAAAAAATACAATATCTGTGGTTGTATAGCCTTCTGTTGTATTTCCAAAACGTATTTCTTTACTTCTAAGCAGTGGTGTCGCTGCTCTGCTACACAGCAGTACTAATTCAGAATAAACAACCAGGTTCTGATTTCTTCATCACTTGATTGTCTGGTTCGTTCACAGGCCGCCATCTCAAGGCAGCAGTAATGCTGTGTGGAGTCACGCTGTAAATACACATGAGGTAAATTGCGTGAATGACGGGTGCAACCGGTAGGGGTGACATGCAAACCCTTTTCACGAACACCGATTTTCAGTGGTCCATTCGCATGATTTTCACAGCTAATGTGACCTCCACATCAAACGAAATATATTTCTAAGGATAGTCACGACTGGGTATTGCTTTGTACCAGTTTATATATTGTCTTAAACCTGCTTGTTCTTCCACATTATGTTGAGTCAACCTGCCCAAATTGTAAGCCTTCTGTTATGGATAGTTTTCAAGGTAAAAATGTTAAAATATAAACGAAATCATTTAAAATCTAAACGAATATCCATAACTGATGTCATCATCGTTATATAGGACTGAATAAAGTGCACGTAATGTCATTTTTATTAAAAAAATTAGTTGTACATATTTTTAAATGTTACATGTTACATATCACATGTAATCAATAGGATACTAGTAGATTGACAACTGTATGCTTTTAACACTTTTAGAGAATATTTATATAAAGATGCTAATATCAGAGTCTATACAGCTATGGAAATACATGTATATTGGTCTACAGTCTTTGCTTACATTCCACGTTAAATTTGGACTTATCCGAAGCAAGTAATTATTAATATATTACGAGGCAAATAAAGTGTGTAGCGATGACAAATATTTTGTAAATCTATCACATGAACAGGTTGTAAAAACAATACATTTTATGGCATGATTGTATTGGCAGCAGATTCTAAAAATGTTCTTTTGATCAGGAACTATTCCATACTTTCGTTGTGAAAATTTGTCTGTTTAAATAGAAGCAAAATTATATTCAAAGGATCATTTCGATTTTCCTTTAATCAAAATACAATGTAGTATGATTGGTGGAGTGAGTTTAATCCTTATTCCAGCATCAGACATGAGCCACTCTTCAATTTTCTTTCAAAATCTATTTATCAAATTACAATCCCCAGGTGAAGAAGGTGAAGAATGGTTTCATTTGAAATATTACAATAGCTGTACAGTGATGAGTCACTGACTTTTATTTTATGTAAATAATAATTTGTGCCTAAAATATTGTTAATAATTTTCATTTGGAACCATCTTAATTCCGTACTCTGTGTTCATCTAAATGGTATAATGTTATACATTCTCCAATCTGATTCATCAATGTTAGATTCAAGTATGGTTTCCCATTTTAAATTTGAGGCTGATTTCTTGGCTATTAACGGAAGAAGAGTGATACAAAACAACTTGCTACCCTTATCAGAGTCTAACAGTTTATTAATGTAGTAAGGCACTATAGGCAATTCTAATGATAAGTGATCTGAGATTAGGGTAGCAAAATTACAATTTTTTTGTAGGTGTTTCACACAGCTGAGCAAGATAAGAAGTTGGCATTGCACTGAAATTTAGCTACAAATTCCTTAAAATCAAAATATTTTCCATCATTATCCAGTAGGTCTTTAACCGACCTTACTCCTTTCTTGTACCAATCTGAGTAAAAAGGTGTTTCATCACCAATAATTAGTTTGTTGTTGAACCACAAAGGAAATGTCAGAAATTCCTGTACACATGGTGATAGCTGCAACAAGGTTTCAATGTAATCTGCCCAAGCCATAAGTACATCGCTCCAAAAAGGATTATTCATGTTGTCAGCATATTCTCTTATTTGACTTGGGCCAATTTCAAAGAAACTTACTGGTAACGGGGGTAGATTTACAAACAAAAGATTTTGGAGGTTTGAGTCTTTTGTCAAGAATCTTTTCACCCAAGACAGTTTTTGTGACTGGATTGTTTTAAAGATATGTGGTACTTTAATTCCTCCATCTTTATGTGTACAGTACATTTTCTCTCTTTATTTTGTCAGTCTTTCCACCCCAAATAAATTGAAAACAGTTCCGTTGTAGTTCGCCGAAAATGTTCTGAGTTGGATTAGGTAACATTGAGAAGAGATGGTACAATTTAGGCAAGACAAGTGATTTCAGTATTGTATTTCTTCCCAATGCAGTTAATGTCCGGAATGACCAGATTTTCATTAAATTTAACATGTTTTGTAGTTTATCATTATATTTTTTTCCTACCATCACATCCAAATCTACATCAAAGTCTATTCCAAGCAACTTAAAACTCTCTACCCATTCAAGATTCCATTTGTTACATAGTTTATGTTTTGATCTCTTTTTAGATCCAATCCATATAATTTTGCTTTTTTCAAATAAGTCCTGAAAACCTAGCAAGAAAGTTAGTTCATATATTGCTGTATATAAAGATTTTTCAGTTCCATCCAGAATAATAGTTGTGTCATCAGCAAATTGTGAGAGCATATATTCAATATTTCCAATTCTTACACCCTTAATATTTTTTGTTATTTCTCAGCATAATGGCAAGGATTTCTACACACAGTAAGAAAATGTATGGTGATAATGGGTCGCCTTGTCGACAGCCACGTGATATTGGAAAGAAGAGAGTAGCAAATCCATTCACAAGGATACAAGATTTTATATCTTTGTAGAGTAGTTTTATCCATTTGTATATTACTGGGCCAAAATTGAAAAAACTTAGTACTTTATCAATATATTTCCAGTCAACTGAATCAGAGGCTTTTTCAAAGTCTACTTGAAGAAGCAAGCCTGGAATTTGATAGTTTTCAGTGTAATGCATGATGTCATAGATAAGCTGGCCGGCTTCGCCAATATAACGACCTGCCATAAATCCTTTTTGATCTTCATTGATCAAGTGTGGCAAGACAGATTTTATTCTTTGAGCAATAACAGCTGAAGCTAACTTATAGGAAACATTAAAGAGTGAGATTGGTCTCCAATTTTAAATAAATTGTTTCGGTCTATTTCCCTTAGGGATACAAGTTATAAGTCCTTGTTATTTCGAAAGGTATCTTGGATTTATGTGAAGCTTTTTATTCAGGAAGTCTCTTGATTCCAAATTTAAAAAAATATTTTGTAGGTTTTTCTCCTTCTTCAACCCATCATGCTTTAGCTCTTATGAGGATACCTTTAGTTTTTTCTTTATTTATATCATCAAGTTGTTGGTTGATTGTTTTTTTTAATCCTAGGTCTGTAGTCTCATCCATTTTTTCTTGAACAGAGTCTATTTCTGATAGCAAGTCCTTCTCTAGAGTTTCTCTCTCTTTTTCCTTAATGAATTTTGTATGGTTCCCCCCCACCCCACCCCACCCCGTTTTTCCAAAAGAAGCGTTTCCCAAAGAAGGCTGTCATTAATTGTATAATCATCCTGGTTATTTGAATATAGTAATCTATATTCTTTGTCACTTAAGAGGCTGTTATTGAATTTCCAAAATCCTTTTCCCCTAGTTAATTCTGTTATTAGTGTTAACTTAAATACCATTTCTACAGGTGAATGATCTGATTTGAAAGCTGCGGTGATGTAACATGATTGTACTGATGCAATTAGATAATGAGATATTAGAAAAAAGCCAAGTCTGGACTGTTTAATTGGAGTTTTTTTGTCTCCATGTAAATCTTGTTTTATACAGATTAGCTTCAAGCCAAGGATCCTTTAAATCAAGAGTATCTATAATCTTTAATACTGTTTTTTTGCCCCTGGGTTATTAATGTGCTTGTAATTATAGGTATCCATTTGTTGATCTTGTACTAAATTCCAATCGCCATTTAGGATTGTGTAAGGGTTATCAAACTCCAAAATGATATTGTAACATATGTTATATTTGGGATTACACTTTCTTAGTAAAGTACAAATTCTAGTACTTTTGTTTGGTTGAGCCCCATCCGGGATTCGAACTCACACCCTCAGAGTCAGGCACCTAATCGCCAGGACACAAAGTCAGCCGCCTAACCCGCTCAGCTACCGCGACTTCCACAAAAATGGAAGTCAGGCAATTGGCAGTCTAGACTGTGGACTTTGTGTACCCCTCTGATAAGTGTTAATTGGCGTGACTCCCACGGCCGAAAGCTATGATTACACACTGCCATCCTGGCGATTAGGTGCCTGACTCTGAGGGTGTGAGTTCAAATCCCGGATGGGGCTCAACTAAAAAAAAAAAAAAAAAAAAAGTACTAGAATTTGTACTTTACTAAGAAAGTGTAATCCCAAATATAACATGTTACATTTGATCACTTTCTTAATGGCAGTGTGTAATCAAAATGACATTGTTTATTTTCTTAAAGAAATCTGGATTGTCCCCATTTGGTCCATAGAATGTCAACAGAGTAATCAGAGGCCCAGATAAGCTGCGTATCCGGGTAAAATAGCGCATGGAATTACACATTGAAAAATAATTGTTGCGTACCAATTAGGCATTTAAAATGTTAGATACGCAGAAAGTTTAAAACAAATGCGTACGGAATATATTTATTAAAATCGCTTGAGTAATGTAAAAGACATCGATTGCTATCAAGTTGTACTGTTAGTATAGGACAAGTGTTGTACTGTCAGCATAGGATGAGTGATTTTTAATGAAATCATTTCCATTATATTTAAGTTGGTTTTGATTAACCGCCTCGTTTTCCATTGACTGCTAGTTTACAGTAACATCGGTAAAAATGTGTGAATTTAAATGGCTTCCGTATTTTACCCCATTCCATGTGCATACAACTTCTGCTTACCACGTTCATGAGGGTCCGTATAACCTTAGTGTTTATTATATATATTTTACATAAAAACTGTAATAAAAATTACACAATGCTAGGTTATATTTCTTTGGGTTAAATAATAGTACTCTGTATTATATTTTACTGATGACTGCGTCAGAATTTGTCCCGTTATATTATTGTGCATGTTTGAACTTGATCGCCAGGAAACGTGCACAGCTGATTGCTATTTCCGGCTTAGATACACATGGTAATCTTAATCCCTGCAAATAATACAATGCCCAGCAAAAACAACTTAGAACTTAAAAGGTAAATAAGCTTGTCTAGTGATGTTTAATTGCAAATTTGACATCTCTACTGACAAAGTCGTCTTCTGTCGTTTGTTCACGCTAAGTGATACGATGTTGTTTTCTTACCCCTGGAGAAAAGTTTGACGAAAGCGTAACCCATGGATAAGACAACCGACCCCCTTCTACAGACTGCTTTTTTTGGTCCTCAATATTCGGCTTATAGACGGTAATATACGGTAGGTATGACATAAGGCAGAACATACCTGCTTAGTAAACTTACTCAATGGCACATACTTAGGTGAGTAAACAGACTGAAATACGCACATATTTGAAAGCAGTGGGTAACAGAAAAAGAAATACCCACTCAACATTCATAATACCCACTCCAAAAAAAATACAGTGAGTACAGTACTCACATGAGCTTAATCTTATCTGGAGCTCTGGAGTAACTTTCTTTTCCATTAATAAGTATATCTAAACCCAAGAAATTTCCACTATCATCAGATCTAGAATTTAGTATATCTACATCAATGGTGTCAGAAAACAGGATAGCAACATCCCGGGCATTACTTCTAAAGGAGCTGAAATAACATTTATTGGAACCCCATTCTAATTTCTGACTCATTTTCTGTTCAATATCTTTGGTATCCTGTAAACAACATATTGATGGGTTCCTATTCCTAAGATGTCTGAAAATTTGTCTTCTCTTAAATGAGTCATTGAGGCCTCTACAATTTGCAGTTATTATTTTTAACGTTTCAGCCATAATGATCTAAGTTATAATGAAACTCAATCGTTGAAAGTACGAGTAGAACATGAAGTATCGGTATATACAGAACTGTAACCTAAATTCCTGGATAACCTTGACTCGTGGATAGCGGAAATTATCATGCTAGCTCATAAATTGTCTCGACTGACGTCACAAAGCGGTATTTTTGATGTACACACAGTGCCACGCCTCACTGACCAAAAAGTTCCGAAATTTACATGCAAGTACATTTTAAATATAATTGTCCAGCATTGAGATAAATAGACCCAGATCACCAATACCACCATTAACAAGTTGTGTGTTTACAAAATGTCAAGTAAAAAAAGATACCGTTAGCTGCAACATTCTCACTTCTCGTTGTCTGCTTTCCTTGGTGTCAATACTTACTGCAGTGGGATGTCGTACACAGTGGTATATAAAGTAACTGACTACGTAATCCACGAAACAAGGCGACGTCACATTTTGTGGGCACAGGAATGGGTGATGATTGCAAATGGCTTCCGTAAACAAACGTTTCATTCACGAGTGGAATATTAGGCATTTCCAATTTGCTGAATCAATGAATAAAATAATCAGTGCGTATACAAAATAAAATCATGCATCTAAAATATGAATTTCGCCGTACTTCCCTTATATCCACGAATCAAGGTTACGCGAGTGTAATAATAACAGTCAAGTGCACAAAGCAACTAAGAAAGACATGTGTGTCTCGGTGTTTTCACCATACACCAAAAATGAGGAAAAGGGCAAAGCAACATAATATAGACCTTGACGAACATAGGTCTTGCTTGTCTGGCAGTGATAACTACCATACTGGCGTCAACTCCGAGTTGGTCTCAGAGAAGAGAATGAGATCACATTCTCCCAAAAAGGATAAAACATAAGAAACGCAGGGTAGACGAGTATAACGAAGAATAAATGCCTGATAATAGATATATGTTGTTGTTGTTAATTCTCACCTTCATAACCATATTTACTTGTGACTTCCATAAATCGGCCAGTTGTACTGTAAATAACAGGGGAGGTTACTCCAACTCCTTGACCCTCTGGCTAACCGCTAGTGATATTTTTTCTAAATTGATGTATTTCACGTTATATAAATTAGTGTACATTTCTTATGCGTGAAATATTTTACGATGATGCAATTATGTTTCTAGGTGTATATATAATGATATAAATAAATGTTCAATAATGTGTCGACAGCTCCAGTGTAGAGCAGGCAATGTATTTCTCGCAAAGGTGGGTCACATATTTAACAGTCTACACGGTATACATAAATGTTCAATAATGTGTCAACAGTTCCAAACTTGAGCAGGGAGTATGTATCACGCAAAGGTGCGTCACATATTGAACAGCCTAACGGTATAGCGGTATACATTTTACGGTATACATACATTTTCAATAATGCGTCGACAGCTCTAACATAGAGCAGGGAGTATATATAGCGCAAAGGTGGGTCACATATGTAACAGTCTACACGGTGTATACAAATGTTCAGCAATGTGTCTACAGCTCAAACCTAAAGCGGACAATATATATCACGCAAAAGTGGGTCACATATTTTGCAGTCCACATGATGTAAATAAATGTTCAGTAATGTGTCGACAGCTCCAACATAGAGCAGACAACATATATCACGCATCCGTCGGACGTAGTATTTGTGCCAGTTTGTAAGTCAGTTCAGATGTTAGTCTAGGTAGACCTTGATTGTAGAGATAAATGGTAGTTGTGAGATAGGTAGACCTTGATTGTAGAGATAAATGGTAGTTGTGAGATAGGTAGACCTTGGTTGTAGAGATAAATGGTAGTTGTGAGATAGGTAGACCTTGATTGTAGAGATAAATGGTAGTTGTGAGATAGGTAGACCTTGGTTGTAGAGATAAATGGTAGTTGTGAGATAGGTAGACCTTGGTTGTAGAGATAAATGGTAGTTGTGAGATAGGTAGACCTTGGTTGTAGAGATAAATGGTAGTTGTGAGATAGGTAGACCTTGATTGTAGAGATAAATGGTAGTTGTGAGATATGGGTAGACCTTGGATTGTAGAGATAAATAGGTAGTTGTGAGATAAAGGTGTGATTGTAGAGATAAATGGTAGTTGTGAGATAGGTAGACCTTGATTGTAGAGATAAATGGTAGTTGTGAGATAGGTAGACCTTGGTTGTAGAGATAAATGGTAGTTGTGAGATAGGTAGACCTTGGTTGTAGAGATAAATGGTAGTTGTGAGATAGGTAGACCTTGGTTGTAGAGATAAATGGTAGTTGTGAGATAGGTAGACCTTGGTTGTAGAGATAAATGGTAGTTGTGAGATAGGTAGACCTTGATTGTAGAGATAAATGGTAGTTGTGAGATAGGTAGACCTTGATTGTAGAGATAAATGGTAGTTGTGAGATAGGTAGACCTTGGTTGTAGAGATAAATGGTATTAAAGTTCTTGCGGAGTTCATATGCCTTATTTGCAAGCTTGCCGCTGAAGTTTTTCAGGACAACAGGTAGGTCGCTTCGGATTGTTATTTTCCGTTCGCGAAGAGTAGAAGTGTTTTTATAGACAGCATTCATCACTCACTGTCCATCAAACATGCTGACGAATTTTACCACAATCGGTTTCGGCATTTGTGAGGTTCTAGGATTAGTACTCTGCCTTGGCAGACGATGCACATTCACCAACTGCTTCTTGTCAACACCCGATAAGCCGATAGGAGACCTCTATTCATATCCTCACGCAGATTTAGTGAATTCCTTGCGGAGGTTGATCGTTTTCAGAACTGTTTACATTTATAGCGTCCGAGTTATAATCTACTGTGCGAACAATTTCATCAGTTTTGACTTTTAAATTGTTCACTTCACATTTAATAGAGTCGAGTTTGTCGGTTAGCTCGTTTGTTGGTTGGTTCAGCGAGTCTGTCATAAATTGTTTTAACTCACATGCGAGGGTCGCCATATTCACTTCAATCACCTGGCCTTGAGTCGATTCACTCTCGATTCAGCGGTTTCGCTCCTAGTTTGTAAAAATTCGGCGTACTTTGACTTTTGAGGAGAAAACAGACTACTTTGGTTGACTTTCGATTTGCTATTTTTCTTCTCACCCGCAAGTAATGTCATTGTTGAGTGATTAAGCTGCGACTCGATGTTGAAGGCTCCACAATGACCATACCTCCCTCTATTAGACTTGTTTCTATCAGAGATCGGTGCTCGTTTCGAAAATACGGTACTCTAGTCTCCAGTATTTGACAGACAGACAGACAGATATTTTATTAAAGTCTCACCTCGTATTTACAATATAAAACAATTGATAAGTCATTAAAACAAACTATCCTTTACGAGCCACCCATTGGGGGTTACGACAGACTATATGTACAATGTAAAATACGGCTTAATTAATACAAGGTATTAAGAAGCAATATTTGTTAAATACACACTACACATTCCAAAAGAAAAACTACCCATCATAATATAAAATACTTTGCCGTTTTTCCAATAAAAGTTTGCAGGTTTCGGCCTCGGACATGATAAAACTAAACTTGTCACTATCACTCAAACATTTAAAATCATAACATATTTCTTCACATTTGACTAAAAGACTGTTTGTAACATCAAAATAAAATGGACATTGGAATAAAACATGTCATTCATCCTCAACGCACTCGTTACAATTAAAACACACACGTTGGTTCAGGGGCACGTAGGTGTATCGCCCGTCTCAACACGTAGCGGGGCGACTCCACAGCGGAACATGGGTAGCTCTCGGCGATACGACCAAGAGAGAGGCTACTCTGTAGATACGGCTCAACTCCGTAGGACTGTTTAAGGTTTCAACTTGTTCTTGCCATCTCCCCACCCCATATCACCAGCTACAGCATTGTTCGGCGTATACTTCCTCACGCCCACAAAGTACCTCATAGCTCGGTTGTGAACAGCATTTATGGCTGGGATATGATACGTTCCCCATATTGCAGCACCGTAGTCTATACTAGCCCTTACCTAGTCGTAAAGCTTTGTAAAAGTCCTGTGCTGCATGCCTCCAAGGATTTTACACTTTGATATGAGGAGTCCTAGTGCCCCGCTGGCTACGCCTGCCACCGCATTGCCCATCCAGGTGTAGTTCATATGCTCTGTCAAGAGCAGGCAGAGGTAGTGGTAGTTTTCTACTATCTCTAGGGTCTTGTTTCCACACTGAAAAATCACAACTGTTCTTTCTACTCCGGCTTCTAAAATGTATGACCTTTGTCTTCTCTGGGTTGACACACATCTTGTTTACTTGGCACCACTGACTGAGTCCCTCTAGAAGTATATTCAAGTCAGCTTCGGTCTCGGCAAGCAGAATGTTATCGTCGGCGTAGGCAAGGACGCTTATGCTCTTGTCATCAACTGGTATGCCGATGTCAAAGGCGTTGAGGGTTGATATCAGGTCGCTGATGTACAGGTTAAATTGTAAGGGTGAAAGCAGACATCCTTGACGTAGACCACTGTTGACCCGAAACCACGGCGTCCTTGACCCGTTTATCCGCACACATGACTTTACATTATGGTAAAGCGATACGATGGCATTGAATATTTTCCCTTCAATACCAATATTCTGCGACCTTTCTATAAAATACCTATATCTATACAATCGTACGCTTTCCGAAAGTCCACGAAAGCTGCGAAAGTCTGTTTGCCCATACTTTTCCTGGTCTCTATAATTGACGTCACAGCTGATGCATGTTCTATGGTTGATCTTCCTCTTCTAAAGCCGTTCTGCTCATCACCTAGTATATCACAGTTCTCCACATGTTCAGCGAGTGAGTGAGTTAATATTTAACGTCACATCGGCAATATTGCAGCCATATCGTGACGAAAACAAGCCATACAAGAAAAAGTAGAAACATTTTGAAGATTAAAACCTGTCGACGATGGACAGTAAAAAGACTAGAAAATCACAGGTATAAATATAAAACTAGCCACATGTTCAGAAAGCCTGTTGTTTAGTGTTGCTAGTGTTATTCCTCTGTATGACAACGGGTTGCGAGGATCATCTGTATTCGACTTTGGTATGGGGTTAATAATTCCCTTCGACCATCCAGTTGGAACTTTCCCATTTCTAAAACACAGATTAAAAGAATTGTGTAGAAACATGAGGGCTTCTTCATTCTTTAGCACTTCCACTGGTATGCCATCACACCCTGGAAACTTACCTTTCTTGGGTTGGAGTAGAGCATGACGTATCTCCTGAAGTGTTGTTGCGTCATTAAGGAGGGCGACGTCACTGTGGCGACTGTTTTCCTCTCCATCGATGTTATTGTTAAGAAGGGTGGAGAATGCTGTAGCCCATGTGTCCAAAACAACAGTCTTATCTCTTGATATCGATCCATCTTCAGTAACCACCTCCATAGGAATCTGTTTTCTTCTTGCACTTCCAACACCAACCTTGCCGATCTTCTTCCAAAACTCACTTGATCCTGATTCACATATATCTTCTAAATCTTGCAGGGTCATTTCATATCAAAGGTCGTTGTCATGTCTAACCATGTCCGGAAATGAGGTACATGTACTCAGCGAAATGCACGCTCAACGCTCGCGGTACTGTTACTGAACACGCCTCCCGAACCGATTCAAGGAAACCAGTCTGACCTTTGCTAAATTCCAAGAAAAGCTAATGAGTGCTTCTAAAATGGAATGGATTTTCAGTTTCTGCAATTTGAAATTATGCTCTGAACTAGTACAAGTGTTCTGTATTATGTGTAAATTGTTTTGAATTGAAAGTGTATCAGTTTCTTAACACTTCGGATCAGTAAAAGCACAGCGTGTGTTTGAATTAGAGATTTATAGCATTTCTGCATTAACTATGAAGTAAAGCAGGACAATTATTTTGGATTACCCACATGGTAGCGTGGCTCCTTATTTGCTACAGCTTTGTTCATTGGTCATTTGGGAATTGCCAAAATACAAAGAGATTAAGTATAATTGGGTGACAGTTCATTTTGAATAATCCAAGTGTATATTATAGAGAGAAATATCACTTGCGAGACAAATTCAGGCACAATAAAAAATCTTCACTATGTTAGATGCTTGATGAGCATTTCGAAGCTGGAAGGTAACATAACAACGTATGGTATGGTTTACAACTTCTATGTTATTTACAACACGACGTTTCTGGGCCATTTCATGCCCCTTCATTATGTCAATGAAAGAAAATGATTAACAAGCAAAATATATAGTACGTAAGGGGCACGTAAGGGCCAAAAAATAGCCCAGAAACGCCATGTTGTAAATAATACAGAAATTGTAAATCCATACGATACCTTATGTTCACTACATTACATGAAAAGTCACCGGTCTGATTTGAAATATCCAGGAGCTCCACCTCTACTTGTGCAATATTTAGACACAGCTATAAAATGTACAACGAGCCTTACCCTGACCCAGCCAGTATTGAAAGTTCCAGTTGCATTTTCTTGGGTGTTCAAGGGGAGATCACTCTTGCCTCTCATCTCACATTCAGTCTCAAGTGTCAGTCCTGATTTATTCTTTAAAGTAATAAGAGTTCTGTCGTGTTGTGTATATTATTTTACAGAAAAACTGTATTCTCTGTGAACCTTTAGAGTGTTTTATCTCCTTCAATCTCTGATTCCCGAAATATAGAATGAATGAAAACTCTCAAGGAACATATTTTATTTTATGAAATAACAGCAAACAAGAAAACTGAAAAAAAACTTAACAATATGTACTGAACGTCGTGCACCACTGATGACACTAAGGGTAGTCCTTACAGTTAGTGGTTCCACATCAGGGCGTGACGTACTGAAAAACCGGTCGTACACCAGTTACAGTTTACATTTACACTGGGAAAAGATGGTCTCCTTGCATGATGCCTTCATCCTCTCTGTCCTGATCACAGTGTGTGAGTAGCATAGTTACATACCATATACATGTACCGTATATCAATATTGATCAGATGAAGATGTGTTGAAGTGTTACCGTGCTACATTAAAAAAATCAAGCAATCCGGACTTTTTTATGTTTGACGTACTTGATAATATTTCGCTCATATGACGACATGCATGCGTGTGTATGTGTATGTGCGGCTGCTTGTACTAGCCCAGACTAAAGCTGGTTTTGTAGTGCTAGCCCACTGAGATACATTATACTTACTCCGAGCCGACCAGTCCTTGTTGTACACACACACAGAGAGAGAGAGAGAGAGAGAGAGAGAGAGAGAGAGAGAGAGAGAGAGAGAGAGAGAGAGAGAGAGAGAGAGAGAGAGAGAGAGAGAGAGAGAGAGAGAGAGGTCTATATGACCTTTTCAAGTTCACTAGACTTATTTAGTGTTCTAATGTTGGTTGCACACAGTCTACCCCGCCTCGGGAGGGTGTTGGTTAATCGGAGTTAAGAAGTCGGGGCTCCCTCAGACGTAGCTTTGGCTTGTCCTGTTTCTGTAGGGTATGCTGGAACTGGTCCAGGAGGGTAAGATGGTGGAGGCTGTGCCGTCCCTGCAGGTTGAGTGTAGTGTGTACCTGGAGCAGGCTGAGGCGGGTAGACGTATCCTGCAGCGTATGCACCAGTGGTAGTGTTTGAACCTAGACAGAAATAGACACGATCAGCTGAACATGTAGTGTAGTAATGCTATCAGTTGGTTAGCAAGCCAAGGATATACGACATGCCTGTGTCCGACTGGCACAGTTCTGGTTACTAATAGTCTACAAGGCTGCTTTGCACTGCGCATCAGAGGTTTGTTGAAACACATTCCTAGACCTTTATGGACAGTCAGATAATCATTTCAATTATCATTACCAATGTATATCCATCTACTTACTTCTTACTTTCACACAAACACATATTTTATCGTTCATAATTACACTAGTAATGGTTGCGAGTATGTTGCTGAGACATGTATTTAGGACAAATCGGGAAGTCGAGCCTACAGTCTTAGCATTTTTGCAAACTTGATGAAGACAATTCTGAAAGCAAACTTCAGATCTTTGGACGAGGATGATAGCGGGTGTAGGTATTTCGATGTGTTACATAACTGGTTTTTTTATTTCTGTTTTACTATCATTTAGGGTTCTGCAGTAAAACTAATTATCATGTACAACCGGATAACATCATGTAGTTTAAACATGCGACGAAACAAATGTTCAAACATGTTGATGCATTTATGATGAACGTGACCTATATATACGATTAGGTAACTGACTCTGAGAGTGTGGAATGTCTTTGAATGCAGACTTGATCTCGTCACTATATGGCTGGAATAATGCCGATGTATCGTAAAGCCAAACTCAACTGAGAGTGTGGGTTCGAATCCCGGATGGACTCAACCTAACAAAAGTACTAGAATCTGTGTTTTACTGGGCAAGTGTAGTCCCAAATATATCATAGGCTACATTTGACCACTTTCTAAATGGTGTATTCGTAGTTAGAGTTGTATCTCTGCATCAGACAAGTACAAGTGCAGTACAAGTATTTCCCATTTGACACTGAAAGAATATAAAATAAGAATGGTCCCGCAACAATGCCAGTTGCAACGGGCGACTTTGGTAAAATTAAGAAAGAACAGTTTGTTCATTGAGCTCGCACGTTTGAACCATTACATGCATAACTGAATGTGAATTTAAAAAACGGTTGTGCATATATTGGTAAATGAATATATTATGGAGAAATATATGTTGTTAGAATGAGATGAGTAACTTTGTAAGCATTTGCATTTTTTTAGTTTTACGCTGCTTTTAGCAATATTCCAGCAATATCACGACGGGGGACACCAGAAATGGGCTTCACACATTGTACCCATGTGGGGAATCGAACCCGGGTCCTCGGCGTGACGAGCGAACGCTTTAACCACTAGGCTACCCCACCGCCCCAAGTTTGTAAGCAATCAACTTTATTCCCATAAGAACCACCTTCAAGAGCACATTTGACGTGTTGGTTATTTAACACAAACATAAAAATGTATAAAACACGACAATAATATGACTGTAAACATGCAGAAGTATACCTAACTGGAGGTACTGAAATTTATTATGCTAATTCCAGTGAGATTTCCATATTTCACGACTGACTGATCTTGAACTTGACTTTGAACTTCACTAAGTTTCAAAACATTTGAAAGACCATGTGATCTTTAATCATTGTCCTAAATGAAATCTTTGAAACATTATGGTTGTTGAATTGACATTGTTTTTGTGGGTATTCTGCTTTGTTTCTTTAGCGATCAGAACCTGGCACTTGATTGATGTCGAGGTATGCAACTTCACGCATACGTGTGTAATACGTTCCTTGTGCGGAGTGATACCGTGACCTCAATGAGGACGTTTCAATAGTGACGTGTAAGATTAGATTAAAACAGTTTATGTCGTTAAAAAGTATGTAATAAATATAGAACGTCGTGCGAGTGCATTTGGACCTTACGTATTTAACTCGATGATGTCGTAGTAGGAGGGAAACAACTGGTTCTCGTTGTTTCTCTAATACCATGACATTTTCTCATTCAATACACAGGGTCCAAATGCACTGTTATGGCGTTATCTGTCTGTCTACCCGTTCTAAAGGTGGTAATAATGGTATATGTACAGTACCAGTAGTAGCTATTACAGCCATCGGTTGACCGGTTGCAATAACTTGACCTTGGTGACCTTTAGATGATCGGCAGCAGCAGCGTACACAGCATATGACTAATCCAACAATCACGACGATCGTCAACACAGCACTGCACACGATCCCGATAATTAGTGCAACCGTTGCAGTTGTTTCGGCATTGTTTCCGCTGCAAGAAACATGTTGGGCAATATGTGAACACCACCTACCTTTTGGCTTTATCGTAGAAAACATATTAATGGAGCATTGCTACCATTAAATAAAACAACGATACTAGCTCACTCCACAAAATAATCCACAATAATTAGTTTTAAAGATTTTCTGGCATCCAGATTCATCGCCATGATGAAGACTACAACATGCTAAGTGTCAAGGACCAAATCTGTCATGAAATCTTAGGTTGACACCGCTTCATGCCCATTTCCACCTTTCCAGACACGATTATGCCTCTCAAGGGTATTGACTCTTGGATGGCTACTGAACAATATCCGATCAAATATATAACTGATGCTCCAGTTAAACTTCCAGACCAAAGTACCTTGTCTTGACTTGCCAGAAATTCTGATTCATAGTATGTATGGAGAAACACCGAGAGAGGGAGGAGAAAAGCAGTAAAGCTTGTACAATTGTATAATGAGCAGAATCAATTAATAGGATTGACCGAAATAACCCCCCACAGAGAGTAAATCACAAGTAAATCGACCTTGAAAGTTGCAAGATCGAGTCAAACATGTGGTTCGGTGTCAAGATTTATAGAAATACACCTAACGTTCCTCCTAGGCTGTTTGTCGACAACATCTTTCTCCCTTCCAATATTTGGTGTTAACGATTCTATGTCTTGATCCTCTGCAGTTGCAAAGTACACATTATGACCAAACGATAAAAACTTTAATGCAAGCATGCATTTTATTTTATAGAGACTGGTCTACGAGAAGGTTGGTTGAAGTTCTTCAGCTGAGGAATGCAGCAAACGGCTACACTGATGTGGCTTGTTCACGTGTATCAATGAATGATTGACAGAGATAGGAATAAAAAGAATGTTCAGTTATGCCTGGTTATGTTTGGTTTGTCATCTGTGGTGCTAATGAACGACAAATAGATGGAAGTTTGGTTTGAACAGGGTATAGCTAACGTAAACCAGACGAAATCAAATAACCAATTTCACATTTTTATAGCATATGTTCTTGTTTCTTTGTTAGTTTAATGAAAAGTAGACATGTAGACAAGACTTTGGTAGATTTAATTAAATCTTTACCAAGAATCATTTTTGTGTCAAATTTAACTTTTAAACATTAACATGTAGATGTGTTCTCCCAGTACCAATGAAATAGTGCACACGTGATGGGTACACTCGTCATTTTTCAAACACATGTATCTTCACTGTTGGATAGTGATTCAGAATCACATGCTTATGATATGGTTGGAATCGTGGACCATTCGTAGAGATATGTTACGGTTTGGGAAAGTAACATCTCTAACTGAAGTGAGCAGCGGAAATGTTTTCTGTATACAAGCTAACGACCTCAGTGACATGGTAGTCAGTAACCTCACTGACATTCTTCAAAGCACTGCTGTGTTGTGTGGTTTGGGAAGGAGACCTAAATGTGATAACTCTCATAACTCTACTGTATGGTACGACAGAGAATGTGAAATCCTGCAATCATAGAAATTCAGATTATTAGAAAATTTTAGACTAACTGGAAGTAAAGAGTAATGTTCATGCAAGAAATAATTACAGATACATATGCAGATAGAAGAAGAGAAAATACGAAGAGTTCCAAATTCACTATTAATAGACAGTTCCAGGGAAAGCAAATTATTTGGGCAAAACCTAAATAGATGACAAGCAACAGGTAACACAGTGAATATAACAGAACTAGAAGAAGCTGACCATTGCACTAGACATCCACTGTGAATGTGTGTGTGATGATGACAGGATAAAACAGAACTAGAAGAAGCTGACCATGGCACTAGACATCCACTGTGACTGTGTGTGTGATAATGACAGGATAAAACAGAACTAGAAGAAGCTGACCATGGCACTAGACATCCACTGTGACTGTGTGTGTGATAATGACATCATGTATCTACTGAATAGAGACGTGATGCTCCAAGAAGTTGAAGCAGCCATAAAAGGCATGACATCGGGTAAAGCAGCTGATCCGGACGATATTAAAGCAGAGATGGTGAAATCATGTGCTGATCTTTTAAGTCCACATGTAGTCATTGTATATAATATCATCCTAACCAAAGGAGAATATCCTACTGAATGGGCTAAGGGATTAATCGTACCACTCCACAAGAAAGGCGCCATTAACTTAGTCAACAACTATAGAGGTATCTCACTCATGGACATTTTCGGAAAGATATTTTGTTCCATTCTAAACAACCGTCAACAAACATTTGCAGCACTTAATGACTAGAGTCCTAAAGCTAAAGCAGGATTTAGGAACAACTACAACACAACTGATGATATTTTTACTACGCTACAATGTTTCATACAGAAATACCAATCAAGGCGAGCGGGACGATTTTATTGTTTATTTGTTGACTTTGATTCAATAAATAGAAAACTTATCTTCATTCACTATTAAAGAATGATATCCATGGACGAACTCTTACTGTGCTAAGGAATATGTACTCCTAAAACCACGTGTGCTGTCCGAATAACCAACACCCCAATCTTAGAATACTTTGACTGTCTTAGCGGAGTTAGACAAGGATGTGTCTTGAGCCCCATTTTGCCCATGATGTTTATATCAGAATTGCATTAATGCAAGAAAACGCGGAAATTAGAGGAATATTTGTTGGATCTGAATTTTTAGAATTATTACTTTTGCTTTGAGATGGTGATTTATGTATTTTCGATTACTCTGTTTTTGGACTGCAAGGAAACATTGACATTCTAAACGACTACTGTACAACGTTGGGATTACAGGTTAGCATGGATAAAACAGAGATACTGGTCTTTCGAAACCGAGTTTTACGTCACTATGAAAAATGGTTTCTTCAAGGAGCACAGTTAAAAACTTTTTGTTTTGTTTAAGGATATTTCTAAACGATATCATATTTACTTGCAAATTCTTAGGCAAAAATCTACCCCGAAGGTCTTTATAATAAGCTGGACATTTTAACAAAAAGTGATATTCATCTTCTAAATCTACTTTACATGCAGGACAATTTCTTTGAGATACATCAATATTCTGCCACCTTCCTACGTTATTTTTTAAACGTAAGACACCAGCTCTGAATTTGACCAATACTTTACGGAATTAATATTCCAAATTTGAAGACAGATACCCCTTAGGCTCAAGAAGACTCTTATATTCTGCATATCACGTATAACGTGAACTGTTTTCAAGAGTAGATGTCCAATTGTGGTAAAACATATTGATCAAGCGTTCTTTAAAATCAAGCGTTCATTAATCTACAAGTATCCAAATATTCCAGTTAATATTCTTTTTAAGCTCTTTGATACCAAAGTGAAGCCAATTCTACTTTATGGTGCAGAAGTGTGGGGTATTCAAGAGCGACAGTTGATAAACAAATTTCATACAACTTTCTGTAAATATTGCTCTTGGCCTTTGTAAACATGTTTCTAGCAATGTTATGTTATCAGATTGTGGTAGATATTGTACAAGTGTTGATTATTATGTTAAATGTGAATGTTACGCGTGTAAATGATTTTATATGTCTGAAGACAGGTATCCTAAACAATGTTATATTTTGATGAATTATCTCGACTCATTTGGTAGATATACTTCGGCATCATACGTACAAAGTTTGTTAAATACCAACGGGTTTGGATTTGTGTGGTTTAGTCATGGTGTTTGCAATATTGATAATTTTATATCCATGTTCAAACAGAGGCTTACTGATGTAAAGGGGCAAAGCATATTGATAAGAATTAATTAATCATCGCATTTAGTATATTAAAAAAACCATTAAGTCTTTATTAAATGTAGAGTTTTATGTTACAATTGTACATTTTAAAGAATATAGACGATATTTACGTTTCTTTAGACTTTATCACCTACCCCGTCTTTATAATGTAAGACGTACAGAAGATTATTATGCCCCAACAATATGTAACATGTGTAACAATTACATCCCAGAGGATGAATTACATTTTCTTTTTGTCTGTGATGCATATGTAATTTTACGAAGTTTATATTTACCCAATTTTGATCAATGTCAAGATATCATTAAATTTAAAAAAAATAATGCAATGTAATTATACCAGTATTCTTTTAAAAACTGTGCATTATTAAGTATGCCCTCGTGATCAAATCAAAAGTGTGTAAATAATGTATAACTTCTACATTGCTTTGTCAAGAATAAAATTTGTATCCTACGATTGTACATGGGCCGATGGCCTACTTACAGAAATACACACAGTCGTGGATGAGGATCCAGAACTTACCTGCTGCAACAGTATTGGTTGCTCAAGTCCCCGCAACATTCATAGCCGCAGTAAAAGGTCATACCACCGTTGTTGCAATATGAACCGCCATGTGCTGAAAAGGTAAAACCATCTTTGTCAGTCTTTGTTAGAATGATGATATTTTGGCATGAACATAACGATGATGTTTTGGCATGAATATAATCACGATTTTTGGCATGAACATAATGATGATATATTTTGGCATGAACATAATGAGGTGAGGTGAGGTGAAATTGGGTTTAACGTCGTGCTTGAGAATATTTCGCTCATATGACGACGTGCATGCGTGTGTATATTTATGTGCGGCCGCTTGTACTAGCCCATACTTAAGCTGGTTTTATAGTGCTAGCCGCAGTGAAGCATGAATACCCCACTCAGACACATTGTACTGACTCCGAACCGACCAGTCCTTGTTGTACCCGTTAATGCCGAGCGCCAGGCAGAGACCAACAAGTACCATATTTTAACGTCTTTTGGTATGACGCAGTCTGGGATCGAACCCGCGACCTTCCGCTCTCCGGGCGGACGATCTAACCACTACACCACGGCGGCGGTTGAACATAACGATGATATTTTGGAAAGAACACTGACAAAACGAATCGATGGTTTATGGTACCCTGAACTCATGTGTTGGATTATGAGGCAGTACTTCCAGTAAGATAATGTCCTTGGATCGGTTCAAGATGTTCTTCTCAATGTTAGTACTATAGATAACATTTCATCCACAAGCAACCCGTGAAGCAACCCGTGAAGATCCGGATTAGAATTCATCTTCAGCAACCCATGCTTGTGGCCAGGCTCGCTGATTTGGTCGACACATGTCATCGTATCCCAATTGCTCATATCAATGCTCATGCTGTTGATCACAGCTAGGTCCACATTCGATTATTTTCATACCGCCGCCATACAAGTGGAGTATTGCTGAATGCGGCATTAAACAACCAATAAACACATCTCGTGCACATGCATACATGCTGAAGAAGTTATGACAAAACAAGTTAATGGTATGAAATATGCAGGGCTTGGATCGCCCCTGTGGAATTTAAAAGTAGACGGTATAGTGATAAGGCCTTGGGTGTGTTGAGGTGTTTGACGATGACGAGAACACTGCATAAAATGTTGTAGGTTTTGTTTGCCTCCATTTCCACCCGTTACATTTGACCTGGTGATGTTTACAAATGGCATAATGGTTTACAAATGGTAGATGAATACTCACAAACAATAGCCAGTACAAGAATAATAAACACAGCGGTTAGAGAGAACATCCTGTCGATTCGAGTACCACCGAGATACGTATGCTGTCGTGACTACATTTCTATATAAATACTTCCTGTGTTGTGTCATTGTGTTTAGAAACTCTCGTTACTCTTCCAACATAATTTATCTCTGTGTACACATAAGCTAATATAACACCCCTGTACAAAGTGTTCAATGAGGAAATAATTCAATGACATTTGTTTGTACAGTGTATAGAACATTCTACCAGACCTCGTCGCATACACACAAAAACCGATACACGTGAGCTCATAGCTCGCTCCACAATCAATACACACCATACGGTACACAATAACCAGACCACACATCACCGTACAAGGCCCGACTGGCCCAGTTGTCAAAGGTGTCATAATTCTGCATACAAGGTGTTTTGAATTTAGATTCAGTGCAATATACATTCAGTGTGTGAATAATATATCTAGCAAGTTATTGATGTATTCTGTATCTAATTTTCTTAGTTTCAACACCTTGTGAATTGATATAATGTCTAAATATTTATGATATTTTAAATAATTAAGGAAAGAAACATCCATTCATTCATTTAGACATCAAGTTACACACACATCCTACTGCACACACAACGCATCTTACACACACGAACTGATTATATGTAACATACTTAACGCTGACTCTACACCACAGAATAAACATACATTACACACCGACCTTACACACACGCTTACACACACACACACACACACACAAAAGACACAAAACACGACACGCACACTACATGCTGACCCTACACTAAAGAATACATATGCATGACACTAGACATTCCACACAACTATCGCACACACATACACATGGAACACGCCACACAGGCTACACACAGTCTCTGTGTCCCACAATAGACGGTCCCAATAGACATATGTGACACTACACACCAACAAGAGTTGAGTTGATGAAAAGTTGGGTTTTACGTCACATCAATATTATTCCAGCCAAAGAATTACCGGAAAGCAAGCGATGAGAACGAGATCAACGCTGAATTCATGCACAATGAACATACCAAATGAGTTTTATTTTGAAAACATATATATTCATTACATTGTTATTCATGAAAAAACAGATAATAAATGGCGTAGCAGATTCATATCTGCAGTTGCAAAAAGATATAATTCAAAAGCAGGCAATTTGTTATTCACATTACAGACCGAGACAGACTCCTTCCAATCGTCACTGGGATACTCAGTATACGCATTATGTCTTATCACATGAATGAAACATTTTGACAAATTCTGGCAGTACTATAGAGCGTACTGTTAATACCAAAACGTCAAACATTTGTCATCTTAGCCTATCGTCAATGAGGACAGTGACGGTATAACATTTGTTTACATACTCCACTACGTTTTGTAATGTGTTCCCAATCTAGATCATACAACCATAGTAGTTTGTTTGTTTGTTTGTCGTTTAACGCCGCCTCCAGCAATATTCCAGTTTGTATATGGTGGTCCAGCTATATGGTAGTGGTCCGTAAATAATCGAGTCTGGACCAGACAATCCAGTGATGAACACAATGAACATCGGCAAACGCATCTTGGATACGACATGTGATTGCGTTTTCTGACAAGGTTTGCTGAAGACAAATTCTAACCAGAATCTTCACGGGTCACAACCATAACTAGAAACGGGTGTCTTTTACCAGTTGGGAATGTCAGAGTATCCCCGACTAGTTTTGAAGGGTAAATATCATGACAATTTGAGCTTTGTTTTTGTCTGAGGGAACATACATCCCAATATTTTTAATCAAGCAATCAATTGTTTGTCATGTAACGTTGTAACAGTAATACACTGAAATAATGCAGTGAACAATAGATACAAAGCGTTAAGTTTTATTCATTCCGAAAACATAGAAAAAACAACACACACACACACACACACACACACACACACACACACACACACACACACACGCACACACGCACTTCTAACATATAGTTCCTTTATGACTTTGATATGCTGGAGGTGGCTGACGAGTTACTGTATCTCTTGATATGTGATGGATAATTGAGTAAGTTATCATTGGGGACACCATTAGTTCCCTTTACGTACGTATCTGATATGTCATCCGTGTATACATGTGAAGGCATGTTTGAAACAATAAAATCCTCAGATACCTTTGAAGCCACATTCGGGAAAACTGAAGCTACCGCTGAAACGTTCGTAGAAATACAAGCCCGCAATGAAGCCCTTTCATAGTAAATGTACTTCTTGACTATAAAATCAGTAAATCAGTAAAATGATGGTCAATCATAAAATTGATAACCACAAACGGAACAGAATGCAGAGTGTGCGTTATCACAATACAATGGCTCGTATAGATACATGTAAATGTTTAAGGCAAATGTAGTATTATAACAGCTTTAATGTCACAAATTCCCGGATCTATTGTACGTGTGCTGTGCATTGTACTACTTTTGTCTATATCATCTGCCGTATTAGATCTAAAAACATGCTATGGTTTGGAACCGCATGGACACCACGCATGTTGTCCTTACAGAAATTCAAAAATCCTCATTGATGACTACATTCATTCTTGGACGTCAAAACATATAAACGATATTATGAATAATTGAAGAAAGAATGAAATTATATGACACAAGATATAAGTTTAAGCCCCTGTGCAAGTGATCACATTTTTACATGCAGGTATTAGTATGAAATACGTAAACAGTATAAAAAAGCAAACAGGTATATCATTTGAAATGCTTAAGCTACCAACAACATATATTGTTTATCCCCACTGCAGCCAAAACGTTATACATCCAAGTTCATGGTGAATTGTCTTTCGTATTCATTTAATATCAACGCTGAGGAATTATCAGTCTTGGTTATTTACGGGAAAAGATTCTATTGAGGGTAAAAGGAAATATAGTTGTGAACATTGTGGGAATGCATCGCTGAACATTATTGATGACACCTGGTGTTTCACAGTCATACTGGGTAGTATGCACAATCACATATAACAGCATTGGTGTCACCGCTTCCCATTACAGATGCATGTGGTTTGGTGTGGTGAGTTAAGAGTGGTCCTGAACCGAATTGTCTCTAAAACTGCAGGCTGGTGTACACGTGCTCGTCACCGTCGTTTGTTTTGGTGCGTTCAGAGATGTTTCCCATTTGAGGAGCAGTAGATCCAGCGGGTGATGGTCGATGGGCGGCTTGTCCTTGCAATGATGGGTGGGCTGGTCCTGGTGGGTGGGCTGGTTCTAGTCCTGGGGGCTGGTCTGGTCCTGGTGGATGTGCTGGTGATTGCATTGGTGGATAGGCTTGTCCCTGCATTGGTGGATGTGCTGGTCCTGGTCCTGGTGGATGGCCTGGCCCTGGTTCTGGGGGTGGCCTGGTCCTATTGGTGGAGAGTAGGGTGGTGGAGGTTGTGCCATTGCAACTGGTGGTTGGATGAATGTTCCAGGAGGAGACTGAATCGTGTGGACATATCCAGCATTATATGCACCACTGACCGAATTCGGACCTGGACAAAGACAAAAGGACGTTCTAAGGTTATGCAAGGTTCGACTTTTAGATTGGTCATCATACATCTGTTCGTTGGACTGTTAAGAGAGAAACATGTTAGTGGTCATGATGTACAATATCTGGCCTTTACACTTTCAGTTGCCAAAGCGTCACACAATAACGCTGGTTGGAATCACCTTTTGCGCTTTTGTTGAACACTGTACATATCAATATTCAAGTAATTATGAATGTTATTAGTACCTGCAGATATAACAGTAAGTTGTTGCCCGCTCGTCACTACTTGACCTCGATGACCTGGGGATGACTTGCAGCAACAGACGCAGCACACGATTATTCCTACAACTAGGGCGATGAGGAGAGCGACGCCAACGACGATGCCGATAATCACACCAACGCTTGAAGAAGAACTCGAGCTGCCGCTATAAACGTTGGGAGAAAACAATGTTATGTAGACAATTTCATGTTATCTGGTACACCTTGATTCTTATTTTACATAATTATTTTGCTGTTATTGGTTTAAAACTAATGTTACAAGTATCTTTGACTTGTTCAATCCACTACCAATGCATTACAGAGCTCAAAGATTCGTGATTGACATTTGTCAGACACGTAAGTATTCCTGAAGATTACCTGAAACAAAGTTGAAGAAAAATATAATCTTTGTAAGTTTGGTGCAAATAAAATTAATTATGACAGATTGTGGAATGATAATATCAATATGTAAATCCAAATAAACAGTTAATAGCCTTTGTAACCTTTATACAGTTAGAAATAGATTGAAACACAGAAACATGTGAGTTCATGGATATAATTTCTTTAATTCTTCAATTTGAACAAATTATATCTGTACCAAGGATCTTCAGTGTGTGTGTGTGTGTGTGTGTGTGTGTGTGTGTGTGTGTGTGTGTGTGTGTGTGTGTAAAATATGTAGCATACACATGCTCATACTCAATAAGAAGAATGTAAACATGTTGAGGTTTCCTGTGTGTAACGTTTCAAAGCTAGTTTATCAAGCTTTAGGAATGAGAAGCTGACACTGTTGGGAACGCTTCAGTGCGCAGTCAGTTTTACAGAAGTTATATCTATCACAGTCTACGTCGTCTTTCTCTACATCGCTGAAGAAAAGCTGAGGTCAAAGGCCTTCTAATGTTTGAATAATACAAATATGCTCACAAAATACGAAAGCGGTGGAAATTTCCATTCATATGATTTTTTCATAATTTATATCTGGTTTTCCCAAAGCCCAACCACATGAACGTATTATTTGACAACGTACTAAAATCTGTTGTGGCATTTTTAGGATAAAACTCAAAATATTACTGCATTTAAAAATGATAACTCAGATTACTGTTTGGTTCTGTGAATCTGCAAAATATGACTGCAATGCACTCGGCTTCCTGATACTCACCAGCAATATCTGTAACTGCTAGTTCCACAGCATGAGTATACACATGTCAAGCTCTTTGTTTGAAAACCGTCATACTCGTAACAATATTCATAGCCAGACGCTGGAAAACACAGACATTGGGAGACGTTAGATATGCTGTAAACATATGCGTTCACACATATAAGGTCCACTGTGTTGAATGCATCAATGAATGGGTTATGTTATTGCTGAACGCCATGCAAATTGCCGAAAATATTGTAGAATGAAAATTGGAGGCATTGGATAGTATTTACATATGTAGTGAAAGCATGTCGACATTTTGTTAAAAACATTCAGTTATTCAAATGTACTGTGACATATATATTGTGCTTGCAAACAATAATAATGTTGTATAGTTTCATAGTGTTATTGGTGTAATACTGCTATCAGATGTTTGTGAAGCGTATGCAATTATGTATAAGAGAACAATAGAACTTGACGTAGAACACACGCTTGGTGTACCCACTCTACCGTGCTAAGTACATTTCTTGTAAAATCTCATTTTTCCTTCTACAGTATGGTATGCGTTGGACAATGTCATCGTTAATGAAAAAAATCTATCGCAATTATGCATCTGTATACATGATTAAATGCTTCAGAGAGAAATCGCGAAACGTGTGACTTTTATGAAGTATTAGAACGCAAATGACAACAAACATTCTAGGCAAGAACCTTTATGTTTGTAAAACATCATATTGTTTGGACGTACTGCTGATTCACTTCTGTTTAACGGACGGACGAGTAATCTCTCTGGACCATTGATTCTGCGCATAAAGCTGTGATGATCTTGACGTAAGTTCAATACAGAACAAACTTTATGGATAACAACTTCTAAAGTTTGTTCTATAGTATACATCCCAACTTCTAAAATGCCACTCAAAGAAGTTTGACGTAAGTTGTTTGTGTATCATCTAGTGACACTGCCTCTTGAACGCGCGGAGGGTCTCCTGCCTGTAACTATGTTGGAAACTGGGCACAGTCTCATAGTCTCTGAGCAATTCGTTGTTTTCACATTGATTTTCGACTCGCTGTTAGCATGCGTAGAGCGTGTAATAATATCCACTGGTCAACTTCCGCTTTGGTCGTATTACTGATAATGTAAACAAACTCTAAATAAAAGCTGTCTGAAGATTATTTACGTGTGACAACTGTTCATAGTTGAATACATACATCCACTTGCCCATGCTTTTCAATAATTGATGTCCTGTTTTGGTGGCAACTGCATCAGAGATGTGGTTTTTTAGTTGTGAGAAGGGGATGTGTAGGAAGGACGGTGGACGGGTGGTGGTGAGATGTGAGCTTGTTAACAAACGTTAAGCTATTTATTTAGCTAATCCCGGCCCCTTCCATTCATAAATGAATTGAGATCAGTTAAATTCGACGGGTTTTGATTTTGCTTTCTTTAGAGTGTGTTTATACTAAGGTTATCGGAAGTTGTGGATATATTTTACACGCTCTGCGCATGCAAAATTAATGTGAAACCAACGAATGGGACAGCACCAAAAACCCCAAAATATGACACATAACCAGTGAGCCTGCAACTTTTGATTTTGTGTAGCTTAATGACGATTTGTCGTGAGCAGTCGCGAGGGTCTGCTTTCAGATCAATCGATCTGCAGTTGTGTTATTTACTATTTTTTTATTGTTATTTTGTTAGGTCAACGAACAACGTTTTGTCCTGTCAACAAAATTTCACGAGGGAGCGTTCCCATTAGTACCTGGCGCGACTACTGTTATGACTGATCTACCCCTCCTGCACACACTGGATATATATGTCTACGGATAATGTCTTGTGGAATAATCTTCCATTCGTCCTGCAAAGTATTAGCCATTTGTGCAAGTGCTTGGGACTTATTCTGCCTTTGACGCTCACGTTAGTCGAGTTCATCCCACTGGGACACGATCTTGAAATCTTGTAAGCTATGGTAAGACACTGACTTTTCAATTATGAAGTAAGCGAACAGTGACAAAATGTGTTGTGTGAGTCGCTATATGGCTGAAATAATGACGATGCGACATTACATTTAAACTCACTCACCCTTTCCTCAGCCCAGAAACGTACAGTGCTCCATCGCATTCGCAGATGCAAACACCTCAATACAAGGACAGATTCCGGTGTTCTGGGTCTAATTCCAACCTCTCGCAGAGGTTTCCTAATTGTTTGCTCCGATATCCTCCTCGAACCTGACACGTGCCCTGCAGTCTTGGTCGCAGTGGCATGTCGATGACGTAGACGTAAGGTCCGGTTGATGTTTTCTTGTGTAGGAGTTTTGACTCTTGGTCTACCAGTTCCCGACGCTCTGGGGTCGTCATCTTGAGCTTTAGTTGACTATGCTGACCAGTTGGCGCAAAGAACTGCCCAAAGGATTTCTAGGCAGGGGACGCCAAGAAGATCTTCCCGGCCGTGGGCCTGCCATAAATGAGATATGGTACACTGGCTTACGTTGAAATGATGTGCAGACTGGTACTATCCAGCTTCAAAGCGTCCTCTGGCGATGTTACGATTGGCAGCGTTCAGTTTCTTCACTTTTCCCACTTCCAGTAAGTCGACAAACATTTGACAAAATGTAGACAGACATTATACTGCACTTGATTCACGTACACTCTGCATTTATATTTTCCATGACATTTCCGTGCATTCTTATTCAAATTGCTGTATAAAGCCACACACGTTTCAGACGGTTGACTTTACGCAATACAATAAGAGTGGCACTATTTGTATTCATATCTTCCTTAAGTGGCATTTTAGAAGTTGGAAGTCATCTATGGATGACAACTTCTTTATTTCTTGAGCACGACGTTTCAAGTATGAAAACGATACAAGAACCTGTATCAAAACGTCGTGCTCTAGAATTAAAGAAGGTGCCATCCCCACATGTTCACAATGTGTGAAGCCCATTTCTTGTGCCCCCCTCAGTGATATTGCTGGAATATTGCTAAAGGCGGCGTAAAACCAAACTCACTCACTCACTCACTCAAACAACATCAAAGAATACACGGCACGGTACATTGCAGCTGTAACACTAATATTCAGTATTTACATGTTTGATATTTAAGTCAAACACAGTATAGGTTTTCTGTTTGACACTGGCTTCATATTCAGCTTAATCCTGACCAAGATTGTACACATAGAAACGTTATAATTGAGCAGTATTAATGCTGGGCCATACCGTCGTTGAACGAACGTGACAACACCCAACACGGCAAATAAGGAAAACTGTGACAGATTTATTTGCATCAACAAATCACAATAGAAGTGCCTAAGTAATCAATTATAATATTGTTTATTGGCCCAGGTGGACAAACATACATTTAAAAGGTATATCAGGTGTAGGAAACTACCTGGATGCACTGTCGAGAGTCGATGTATATAACACGTTAATAACAATTAAATACATGATATTTAGCGGAGATGTTGTTCATAAGACTTCATATAGCACCCTGTACCTGTATATATTAATCAATGTTCAAGCTGCAAAGTTATACCGCAATGACATTTTCAATGTTATACACAGAAAGATTCACAATAACTGGTTCCACTTCATTACTGCTATTCCATTATAATGCAAAAGCGTAATAACTGTATATATATATCAATTATGGGTAGTAATTCACAACATATTGTTATCAACGGTAACTGACTACGCTAATTAGGATGTCTCTCCAATGGTGTTTGTATACTAAGTAGATATATCTACTACTGTATACAAAGACACGCAAATCTGAGAAAACAATCACTTCTTAAATGAGAGATAAATGGAAGCTAGTTGTGATGTTTTCCAAATCTAAAATTCCCAATAGTTCTTTGTTGAGTTGGTTTACAAATCAGTCGGGCGATGGGGAATACGTGGTGCTGAAGGTGTTCCTGAGAGGCAAATAGAAGTTGTTTTTTTATTCAGGGGCAAGGAAAAGCCCTGAAACGTTGTGTATACAATACAAAGAAGTTAACATGCATACTATTTTGTCTTAAACGTGGTGCTGAAGTTGTGATACTCCTTAAACCTGCATGTACTTATAGTAGAGTTATAGACTCATCCCAACAACATACGTTCAACATACCAGCTGTATAATACTTTTTTCTCATATAGAGCTCCTCTTTGTGTTTCTCTCAAGGTCTGCTTTAGATGTCTGTTCATACATTATGAACGTGCAAATAATGCATATATACTCAGTTGAAATGGGTTCTGTACAGTTTTCTGTCAATAATTGATTCTGGACCAGACAATCCAGTGATTGACATGTACATATTCATCAACTAAGTCAGCAGCCTCATCACCCAATCCAGTTAGTCGCAACAGGCGTGGCTTTCTGAAAACCAGTTCAAACGCCGATCTTTCAAAGGGAGAGTGCAACAGGTTATACTACATACAGCCGCATACCATCACTGTTATATAGGCTGGTAAACATCTGTGTAAACAGCCAGGTGCATCAGGCGTGACAGCGGCGTAGTTGACAACATGTCTGGCCTGATCATTCGCAGTGAATGGCCAACGTTACTGGAAACATCTGACTGAAGTGTCAGTGTCAGTGTTAGAAAGATATGATACGAGTGAGTGAGTGAGTGAGTGAGTGAGAGTGATTTCTGTTATATAGCTGCTATCCTAGTGTGGACAGTATATACATTATATCACAGCATACTAAATTAACGTAGGTGAAGATACTGCTTGATGCAGAGTGATCGGTTTGGTGAAAGCGTGGTATGGTATTATTAAGTGAGAGATCTAGAGTTACTTTGGCTTTACGCCGCTTTCAGAAATAGTCCAGCAATATCAGAAATGGGCTTCACACATTGTACCCATGTGGGGATTCTAACCCAGGTCTTCGGTGTGACGAGCAAATGCTTTAACCACAAGGACCACCATCACCCATGTGGTCGTATTGTGAACCCATCATGGGTTCTTGGATGAGAACTCACTATAAGCAAACGATGACACCACAAGGGGGGCACAACTCTGTCAACCATGTAACCAGTTAATTGAAATATCTGAATTCTTGAATTTGCAATTTGCAATTTGCAATGAAGTAATATACTTACAACTGTATTAGACACAGTGAAACGCGGAAAGCCCGGCGAAACATGCACTACTATCACCGGCGGTCTCTTGTTTCAATCACATGTTTAATCTTTAAGCCCGTACTGGTATGTGAGCTTTAGTGAGTTTTTACGCCGTTTTCAGCAATAATCCAGCTATATCACGACGTGTGACACCAGCAATGGGCTTCACACATCGTATCCATGTGGGGAACGCTTTTACTACCAGGCTACCCCACCGCCACCCGTACTGGAAGGTTACATCATTGATATGTGACAATACCAAAGTTTGGGTAGTAAGGCCCGACGAGCATCATATGTGTCCAGGATACATGATTGAGAACTACATAGTAATACACACCTGCCCCCCTCATACAGTACACGGCGGGTAGCCAGGACAACGTGACATGCAATATTTGATCTTCTTCTTTCTAAACTAGTGTCTATGACAGAGATCACAGTGACAGTATGTACTTACGACGCAGTTTGGAGTCACTTTGTGTAAGTAGACACTGTACACGTAATTACTATTATGACCAGTTGGTTACAAATAGTGTTAATACTTACAAATAGAAGCTAGGCAGAGAAGAATCCACCCAGTTTTCAGAGACATCATCTTGCTGCAGATCGACAACATTCCGCTACACGGAACAGTGCTTCTGACTTGAAAGCTCGTGTTACTGTTTTTGTAAGGAGACAGTGGAGCACGACTTGAGCGTGTTACTGTTTTTGTAAGGAGGCAGTGGAGCACGACTTCAGTCTTCAGTCTAAATATACCACCCTAAACGCATGGCTGTCACAATACTGAACCAATAACACGTTTATACATCCTCCTTCCTTGGCTAACATTCAGTGCTTAGTCATCTCCCTTGCAGCGTGAGTGTCAGTTTTCCCTATTTTATACAAGGTAGAATGTGAATCGTGACCATCCTCATCTGAAGGGGCAGTGAATAATCGGGATGCTCGGTTAGCTCTGTCGCTTAAGAGTTGCCTCCCCTGCCTCCCTGTACCGGAGACTTTTTCCAAAGACGTTAAAATATAGTACTTGTTGGTCCCTGCCTGGCACATACCGGTGAGGTGAGGTGAAATTGGGTTTAACGTCGCTTGAGAATATTTCGCTCATATGACGACGCATGCATGCGTGTGCATGTGCGGCTGCTTGTACTAGCCCAGACTTAAGCTGGTTTTATAGTGCTAGCCCACTGAGATACCATGCCGCAGTGAAGCATGAATACCCCACTCAGACGCATTATACTGACTCCGAGCCGACCAGTCCTTGTAGTACCCATTAATACCGAGCGCCAGGCAGGGACCAACAAGTACCATATTTTAACGTCTTTTGGTATGAAGCGGTCGGGGAACGAACCCGCGACCTTCCGCTCTCCGGGCGGACGCTCTAACCACTACACCACGGAGGCGGTCCTTTCTGCATCAGACTAAGTTGTGACAATGTTGACCATCATGTTTGTGGTCAGTTTACGAGACTCATTTTCAACTGAATACATTTCTCTCGTGACGACTGTAGAACAAACGAACAAAGATTTAAAAGATACTTTACTTTGTACATTTTATACATTCCGGGAACACAATCGTTGCCAGCAATTGATTGCTTAAAGATTAAATGGCATCAACAAGAACATGGCATATTTCATATGCAAATACAAATGGATGAGTACACAGGAACGGAACAATCCTTCACAATGAGTGTTGTAACAATATAACATATAATATTACAAAGATCGAAGTAAGTTGTCTGAAAAACTACATTCAGAGGGCACGGTAGGGAGGCCGAGTGGTTAAAAGCGTTCACTCGTCAAACAAAAGACCCGGGTCCCCACAATACAATATGTGAAGCCCATTTGTGGTGCCCCCCGCCGTGATATTGCTAAAATATCCTGCTCCAAAACACACTCACTCTCACTCTCACTCTCTCTCACTCACTCACATCGATGACCACTTCCAGCTTGTCCGAGACCATGCACAGAGGCCTAAACTTGGAGAATGATGTTTCTGTTAAATAAATTTAGATGTATGGTACAAGGTAAAAATGGCTTCTTTCCTTTTATTTCCAGATTTACTATCGTTTTCACTAACAAAACCTTGAGTCAATTTGTCCAATTTTGTACCGTAATTTATCTAGACAATGGTGGTGATCACTGACGCAGGGCCGTTTCAGATTCATCCATATTCAGAAAAGAAGATCTGTCACACTACACAATCATTAAAGCCTTAAGAGTATTTACATCAATGTAGAAACCTAATTCAGAGGGCAGCATAAAATGTTTAAACAAGGTCGTTGTCCTTGTAAAAAGAATGAACAATCTGTTCATATGAATATCTATTCCTCGGTACAAAACCTACATATACATATACCTATCACTATGTATTGAACTCTAAATTGTTGATAGTCATCATGGCAGCCTATGATGATAGATATGCTTGTGGAGATGGTGTAATATTATTTGATGCTGTATTCACAAGAGGATGCAAAACAAAGATGAAGGTAAAGTAATAAATGGATGATACAGAACGGTCATGGTGTTGATGAACATGTAATTCCTCCTTCGGAGATGTGTAGACAACATATATTTGCGAGCTAGCTGTACATACTTTCAGACAAACAATATAAAAGTGGTAAAATATAAACCCAGGAATTATACATATGACACACATGATGTCAGGAATAATATATACTAAACGCCAAAAGAAACGCTACCCTCCTTCCTTAATGACGGAGGTACCTATCTTCAGCTGGCCTGTCTGTCTACGGTGACCCCAGTCTGTCTGAAGCCCTAAATAAGTCTTATAACCGTGATACGGTGGCATCCGAGGGCGTTGGCAACAGCATTGTATGTCGACCCCATCTGCACCATCCCAATGGTTCTTTCTCTCCCTTCAGCTGTTAATCGTGGCATATTTCTCGTACTTGTGTATCAGATCATGTATTCTAGGCTCTCTTTACACCCTATAGAATCATTCCACAAGTAAAATGGATGTAAATACTGCTTGAATATTGCTGCGTTTGGCGATTGATATTGCTATGTGTAAACAGAAAATGGAAAAGTGTTACTTTGCAAGCCAAAATATTAACAAAGATAATTTTAGATGTTCCTAAACATGTTTTCACTATATCAAAGACACGTTTTACTTGTTTTAACTAATGTAAATCAGCAGAAAATGTTTTAAAAGACTGAAATCAAACGAATGATTATTTTACAATTTTACAGACTCTATAACAGTTGTTTCTTGTTATAGTAGTTGAAAAATGGTGACTTTAAATGGTTTATCATTGTCCCAAAGCAGAATTTTATTTCAACCTTTCTTGTGTACATCAAAATCATTATTATTGGTTTATTTCGGCACAGACGATTATAGGACAATTTAACTCTTCTGAAAAAGATCCATTTCACCTAAATATGAATGCATTTGAGAATTGTTCTTTTCGTGATTTGCATAAAGCTGTGCTATTAAGCTTTCTTGTAAACTAAAACCTTCTAACATATCTTTGTTAGTTTTTCAGTAATTCATAAAGGTAGGAGGATAACGTTTCTTTTGGCGTCTAGTGTGTATTTGATACACATGATGCCTGCACCGTGTGCCTTTGTAAGTGATTTTGTTGAAAAAAATATTTTGTTTTAACTTCATTAAAACAATTAAATATGGCAAATATGATGCATTCTATAATGGTCTGTGTGTTTCATTTTACAGGATTTTACTGCGTTGTACATGTTTATAACGATATATATATATTTTTAAAGTTGATACACTTACTGACATGGTATATTGACATGCTAAGATTGACGAAATATTGCATACTACTACTTACCTTCTACTTATCTGAAGCAAAACATGTAGTGACTGAAGTGGGTTAACGTTTTATGTCATACTGGCAATTTTTCTGTCATGACAAACCAAAGCCTGTAACTCACCATAACACTTGTTACGGTGACGTTTATATGTGAGAAAAAAACGTATTTATCATATATCCGTAACTGTGGTAGACCTTGTTGCAGAAGACGTGGAAGGGGGTCTATGTGTGGATGAATGGGACTGATGAGGAGGGGTGGGGAGACGTTTCATCTCTACTGGAGGCAGGTAATACGGGTCTGGTGCCGGCGGGGATCGGTAACCTTTATCTGGATAGGTATCCTCGTCTGAAACTAAGCACGTTAGACAGGCGTTATTACATTTATAAAGTCTTTGAATAGCATTTAGAAATGATGCACAATAGAAAGAGAGTTTTGTGGATGGAAAATTATTTATTATGAGGAACAACGTTTCTGAGTTTCCTTACTCCTTCATCAGGTGGACCGCCTCCGTGGTGTAGTGGTTAGAGCGTCCGCCCGGAGAGCGGAAGGTCGCGGGTTCGATCCCCGACCGCGTCATACCAAAAAGACGTTAAAATATGGTACTTGTTGGTCCCTGCCTGGCGCTCGGCATTAATGGGTACAACAAAGACTGGTCGGCTCGGAGTCAGTATAATGTGTCTGAGTGGGGTATTCATGCTTCACTGCGGCATGGTATCTCAGTGGGCTAGCACTATAAAACCAGCTTAAGTCTGGGCTAGTACAAGCAGGCAGCCGTACATACACATACACACTCATGCACGTCGTCATATGAGTGAAATAAACCCAATTTCACCTCACCTCACCTCACCTCACCTCACCTCACCTCACCTCACCTTCATCAGGTGAATGAATGGTATGAGACAGAAAGCATATATATGTACATGTAAAAGCAACAAAAGTAATAAGACAACAAAGATGCAGGCTAAACAATGGAAGCCAACAGTTAACTGGCGTTGATGTGTGATTGGTGATTGTATTTTTTTTTATATATTTACATAGACCATGTACAACAGCTTACGTTGACGTTGAGGTCTTTGACGTTACGAGTGTGTTGACGTTGAGGTCTTTGACGTTACTAGTGTGTTGACGTTGAAGCCGGTGTTCATTAGCAAACTAGAGTTTATCACAGGGTCAAGCTGTTATAATGTTATTTGGTATGTGGTTGGGTAAGGTGAGGTGAGGTGAAATTGGGTTTAACGTCGTGCTTGAGAATATTTCGCTCATATGACGTCGTGCATGCGTGTGTATGTGTATGTGCGGCTGCTTGTACTAGCCCAGACTGAAGTTGGTTCTATAGTGCTAGCCCACTGAGATACCATGCCGCAGTGAAGCACGAATACACATTATACTGACTCCGAGCCGACCAGTCCTTGTTTTACCCATTAACGCCGAGCGCTAGGCAGGGACCAACAAGTACCATATTTTAACGACTTTTGGTATGACGCGGTCGGGGATCGAACCCGCGACCTTCCGCCCCCGGGCGGATGGTTTGGTAAGATTGTAGGTCAAATGCAACAGATAATCATATATTTCTTGCTGTAACAATGACTGTCGGGTTGAATTAATATCTGAAGTCAAGATTCCAGGTCAGTGTAGGTACGGTGCCTGAGCATCGGTTGTCTGGCATCGGCGGCAAGTGTGACCAGAGTGACGGCTTTGGACTACCATCATAATATCAACCATCCGGTCATCTAGTCAAAACGCTTATTTACAGACAGCCGTTAAATACCAGGAATACCTGGCTGAGACTTCAAGAAAATAACGTGATAAATACCTGTTGAGTGATCGTCTTCGTGGCTGTGTGTCGACACTTTTTCATTTTGTCTCCGTGCTTTACGACGTCGGAAGAGACAAAATAAGACCACACCCACGATCACAGCAATCACGGCCAAAATCCCCACCACGAGTCCAACAATAAGTCCAGTATCTGCCGTTCTGAAAAGAAGACCAAGACATTATCAGTGACATATTGGCAGCTTTATAATACTCACTAATCCGTTTCATTGTCACCCTAGGAGCTTCATCTTATGTTGTGTTGCCAAATACATGTATTGTCTGAACAGCATATAATGGTGTACTCACAGGCCCTCGTGTCTTTGCGAGGATTAAAGATTTTTTTTTAAATATATAAATATTTGAGACTAAATCTAAAATATATACAAGCTGCTAAAAGTCATAGAAAAACGTTTGCACTAAAAAAGAAAATTAAAAAATATATGTCTATACACAATTTAACTGCTATACAGCAACCATTGCCTTCTAGATAGAACAAGGAATAAGGTTTTGGCAACACTACTAACAACTTCATTATTTGACATTAAAAAACAATATTTCTGTTCTTCGGTAAGATTGAAACATTCACCATAGATAGTACAAATATTGTCTGTCAGTCTGTCTGTCTGATAACGTGTCAAAGATTGATAACGTGTCAAGGACGGATAACGTGTCAAATGTCATCCCGCCGCAATGTAGCAGTGAGCTTAAATGTTTTTAGAAGGAATTCAGATTTGGAATATGATATATTTCTTGTCAAGAATGGCAATCAACTTAAAATATAAGCTCAAAAAGGATCTATTCATGTTATAAGATGTATCTTAATCCCGAACTTTACTTACACGGTAACGTGTATGACAGAAGATATTTAGCTAAGCTAAGAGTGAGTGAGTTTGGTTTTACGCCGCTTTTGGCAATATTCCAGCAATATCACAGCGGGGGACACCAGAAATGAGCTTCACACATTGTACCCATGCGGGGAATCGAACCTGGGTCTTCGGCGTGACGAGCGAACGCATTAACCACTGGGCTACCCCACCGCCCCAGCTAAGCTAAGAAATGGGGTGGGAAAAAAGTATTACTGCTTTAACAGGCAGCCCTCGCTCAAAGAAATGTCATGCTGACATTCTCTATAAAATGTTTTTTTCAAGTTTCACAGCTTGGGTCTGACCCATTTGTTTCTTGCAGTAACCTATGTGGTATCGATATAATGGTGAAACATGACATACAGACTGAGTTGTGTTTTCTGCCGCTTTTGGCGGTATAGCAGTAATAAACATCAACTGTATAGACCAACCCCCAAAATGAAAATGACAAACATGAAGCACTCGGTCATTCATTATATTGTATACGCTCCTCGCGCATCCAAGACACAGGTACACCTTGTTCTCATGCGCCTTATCAAGTTCATAAAGACCTTGCATCGTATTCTATTCCTCTACACGCACACGTCAAATCGCATGAAAATTGCTTAACTACATACATTTCAGAGCTGTTTAAAAAGCAAAGCGACCTGTCGACAGATGTCCGTTGCTATTTTTAGTGATGAAACGCTAATGTCAATACATTTAGCCATATTTTCCTGACAATATTACTTTTTGCCTTATGTCTATTTCTTACATTTTATAGTGTATCGTCAATATTAATGCAGAAAAATCGTGTATCGTATCGTCACATGAAAACTCAAGATACACCGGTGAGCCGATGTTGTTTCACACCTAAGGGACGCAACTCTACATTGGCTTTGTCACCGGTTGACAGCCACCATAAACAAACGTTGTGTGACTAATCAAAATATATGAATGGCGTCTCGCCAGTGAAGTACGAGTATAAACCAGTGTGTACTAACCCTGGTTCGCTGCAGCAGTAGGAGGATGTAATACCACAACAATTGAATTCGCAGTATCTCTTCGCTGGTTGTCCCATCGGACGCTTTTGTGTAACACATTTCCTGCGCGTATGCTGTAGAGTAAGAATCGGATGATAAATACATGTTTAAAATTTAGAAATTGGCGAATCAACAGAAAATTAGACAAAGGGCAGTAGAACATAACTGCGTGTAGTGTTATTGAGTGAGGGATTAACATAAAATAATAAATAACGACTATTCCAAGCAGGGAATACCGGCTACAGAATCGCTCCCAAAAACGATGAACGTTTACGCATGAATGATTAGTGTGATCAAGGTCGAAATCCACATCTATGTTCTGAACATACACCTGAACACGTTAGAATGTAGATGTACTTACATATAGCGATTAAAGGAACAATGACACATCCACCCTTATAGGAACTCATCGTGACACCGTTCAACATGGCCGTTGTTGACCTAATTAGGTGTGCAGGTGTGTATATCGTGCAGGGCACCCGGCTTGCCTGTGTTGTGGAACACACAGAGCGTGACGCCCTAGTTCAGGCGTAGACATATGTAAAGCAGTCCTCTACACACGACAGGGTCTGGACAGTTGACTGTGCAAGCTATACATTCAAGGTGCAGGAGCGTATCAGGGAGTGCTGTGCTGTCGGTTTCACATTTGGAAAAATAATGGTATACGCGAGTCAACTGGTAGCCGAGAGCCGTGATTGGGTTCAGCAGTCAAGACATGGCCCTACATCAATGTCGAACTGAGTTATGGTATAGAGTTACTGGTCTATTTTCGGACGAGGTATTTACTTAGTTCGGAGTGTTACACTGGGACGTTGTCGCTGGATTGTTCGGGTAGCCATTACCTGGCAAACAACGATAAATCAGACAACTGTATTTGGTCGATAGACAAAGATGTGTTTGAAAACTGCAGTCCTGTTTCCTAGTACAGGCAGGCTGACGAGTCTAGTTTTTTTCCGCGTATTGGATACTTACAACTAGCCTCTGAAATATAATTGTTTTGACAGAAAAACATTTTAATTTGTCTTAATTTAATACAATGAATGTGAGTCCAAAGGCTGTGCTGTGTTTCAGAGCTGCACCTGGTTACCAGGCCTCCTAACTGGTACTGACTTACAAGGGCTGTATTGGATACATATCTTTCAGGGTCTGTATGACAGATCTCTTGCATAAGATGAAGATTTTTAAAAATCCCCAAACCAGCACATGAAAACGAAGAAAAATCAAACATATATATGTACTTATAAAACCCACCAAACTCTCCATGCAGGTACACTATGACCAAGGTAGGGAACTACATATGATCCCATGACAAGCTGGTATTCTAAGAATAATGTCTGTTCATCCGTCGAATGTGAGCTTGGCACCTAAACGTGGGGCTTTGTCAACAAATAATATGATTTAACATTCATATGTGAGTTTTATTTGAAACTACGTGTGTACAAATATAGTTCAATAGACGCCATGCATATCATGCTGCTAAGGACTCACAGAGTAGCGAGCCAATGGATCATGAACAGATATTATGAATTGACGCAACAATAATTATCAGGATTAGGGAATGATCAACATATGACTTTGTGCGTGTATTATGTTAAATCATAGTCAGTTAGTTCCTGACAGATATGACGTCTAAATAACTTGTAGATCACATAATATTTGAAATGAAAGATCAGCAGATGAGTGAAGAGGTGTATGTGTGTTTGAGTGGATGAAAGAGAATTAGTGAGTAAGTGGGTGATTAAGTGAGTGAAGTGATGAATGAGTTGGTGAATGAGTGAGTGGATGAATGACTCAAGAAGATTGATGATTTATAGACACTTTGAACAGTATTTCAGCTGTATCAGTCTGGGGTAGTAGGGCCGCCTCGCGGTGCCACAGGTCATGGTGTGTGTGTGTGTGTGTGTGTGTGTGTGTGTGTGTGTGTGTGTGTGTGTGTGTGTGTGTGTGTGTGTGTGTGTGTGTGTGGGTGTGTGTGGGTGGGTGGGTGTGTGTGTGTGTGTGTGTGTGGGTGTGGGTGTGTGTGTGGGTGTGTGTGGGTGTGGGTGTGTGTGTGTGGGTGGGTGTGTGTGTGTGGGTGGGTGTGTGGGTGTGTGGGTGTGCAGTGATGACAGATACACGCAACATCATCAAGAAAATCCTGAAATTCGAATCCACGATCAGTGGGACCTCACCATTAACCACGGGACCACCCGTATCCCCACAATGATGTACAGTTTATTGATTTAAAGTCTTCCCTCTCACATAGCATGACAGTAATACGTTGTTCGGAACAGTTAACTGCATCACAACAGATACTATAAACACATGGATGTGTTCTGCTTTCAGGCAGTACACAGAGAATCTGTCTGTGGAGGGCACGTTCTTGGTGCTGGTTGACACGATGACTCTGCCGTCGGTGGGTAGGCTGTTCCAGCCATTACTTCAGCGTATGATGGGGGTGGCTGTGCCATTCCTGGGTAGTAAGCAGGAGGCTGGTCAGGGTAGGCGTGGCTTCTGTTGAGTGCAGGTGGAGGCGGCAGCGAGCCTAGGTGAAGACAACACAGAAGAAGGACTTATATTGACAGCCATTACATGTGTTATATTGATGTTTTAAGCCACACAGCGATATTACAGCAATGTGACGACGGACTGTAAATTGTCAGGTCTAGACATCCGATATTGCAAGCTCTAAATATCCGTATGCATAGTCATTATTTAAACATGACATTGTCAATGAAACATATTTATAAGAATTACACTCGTTACAACTTCGAAGATCCCTTCAGAAAGTTTAGATGTGGCATGAATAAACTGAATGTACCAACCTATAGAAGATCCAGACATGATGATGTCAGTATTGCCATGTGTGCTCAACAGTGTTGAGGATGAGTACCATGTACTATTACTATGCCCTGTTTATTCTGATTTACGCAGCAGATATATACCCGAACTTTATTATGTAAACCCCAACATACAGAAGTTTGTAAATCTACTTATAATTAATAACCAAAATGCAAATGTTAGCTATATTTGTTAACAAACTACATAAGGTTTTATGATGCTTATACCAATGTATTTTTCATGCCAGTGCTCCAAAGAAAATTATGTAAAAAATATCATTGTACTTTTGGCCTCATGGCCACTCTACGAAATACATCTGTCTGTCTGTCTGTCGAAACTTCGCTCAAATTACATCGGAGCACTCGTGGTCCCTGCTTATCAAATCTGTCCAGGAGAAAACATTCCGTTTATCAGGTAACATATATCTTATATGTTTCTATAAAGAGGATTCTACCTGTGGATATGACGGAAGGTCTGAGGGAGGGGTTGTTTTCATTGTGACGTTGTTTTCTTGACCGGAGACAATAGCAGCAGCGGATAAGTACCATCAAGGTGATCAGCCCAACAGCAGCGACCCAGCTGTACGACGTCGACGTGATGCTACTGCCGCCGTCGCTGTAGCAGTCGACTTCTTGTCAATTATTGGTATATATTGTGCATAGTTGTAAGTATGTATGTGTGTGTGTGCTTGGGTACGTGTGTCTGCGTAGACTTGAGCATAAACATATATGTCAGTGTAAGGATACCTCATGTAAAACATGATGCAGTATTTGACATCTGTCATGTACAACATGATGCAGTATATTGACATATCTCATGTACAACATGACGCAGTATATGGACATCTGTCATGTACAACATGATGCAGTATATGGACATCTGTCATGTACAACATGCTGCAGTATCTGACACCTGTCATGTACAACATGCTGCAGTATATGGACATCTGTCATGTACAACATGATGCAGTATATGGACATCTGTCATGTACAACATGATGCAGTATATGGACATCTGTCATGTACAACATGCTGTAGTATATGACATCTGTCATGTACAACATGCTGCAGTATATGGACATCTGTCATGTACAACATGCTGCAGTATATGGACATCTGTCATGTACAACATGCTGCAGTATATTGACATCTGTCAGTACAACATGCTGCAGTATATGGACATCTGTCATATACAACATGATGCAGTATATGGACATCTGTCATGTACAACATGATGCAGTATATGGACATCTGTCATGTACAACGTGCTGCAGTGTATGGACATCTGTCATGTACAACATGCTGCAGTATATGGACATCTGTCATGTACAACGTGCTGTAGTATTTGACACCTGTCATGTACAACATGCTGCAGTATATTGACATCTGTCATGTACAACATGATGCAGTATATGGACATCTGTCATGTACAACATGATGCAGTATCATGTACAAACACCTGTCATATACAACATACTGCAGTATATGGACATCTGTCATGTACAACATGCTGCAGTATATGGACATCTGTCATGTACAACATGCTGCAGTATATGACATCTGTCATGTACAACATGATGCAGTATCATGTACAAACATCTGTCATGTACAACATACTGCAGTATATGGACATCTGTCATGTACAACATGCTGCAGTATATGGACATCTGTCATGTACAACATGCTGCAGTATATGACATCTGTCATGTACAACATGATGCAGTATATGGACATCTGTCATGTACAACATGATGCAGTATATGGACATCTATCATGTACAACGTGCTGTAGTATTTGACATATGTCATGTACAACATGATGCAGTATATGGACATCTGTCATGTACAACATGATGCAGTATCATGTACAAACACCTGTCATGTACAACATACTGCAGTATATGGACATCTGTCATGTACAACATGCTGCAGTATATGGACATCTGTCATGTACAACATGCTGCAGTATATGACATCTGTCATGTACAACATGATGCAGTATCATGTACAAACATCTGTCATGTACAACATACTGCAGTATATGGACATCTGTCATGTACAACATGCTGCAGTATATGGACATCTGTCATGTACAACATGCTGCAGTATATGACATCTGTCATGTACAACATGCTGCAGTATATGGACATCTGTCACGTACAACATGCTGCAGTATCATGTACAAACATCTGTCATGTACAACATGCTGCAATATATGGACATCTGTCATGTACAACATGCTGCAGTATATGGACATCTGTCATGTACAACATGTCATGCAGTATGCAGTATATGGACATCTGTCATGTACAACATGATGCAGTATCATGTACAAACACCTGTCATGTACATGTACAACATGCTGCAGTATATGGACATCTGTCATGTACAACATGCTGCAGTATATGGACATCTGTCATGTACAACATGCTGCAGTATATGGACATCTGTCATGTACAACATGCTGCAGTATATGGACATCTGTCATGTACAACATGCTGCAGTATATGGATATGGTACAACATCTGTCATGTACAACATGATGTACTGGCATGCATGCAGTGACGACATCATGTCACAACATACTGCTGTATATGGACATCTGTCATGTACAACATGATGCAGTATATGGACATACGTCTTGTACAACATCCTGCAGTATTTTGACATCTGTAAGTACAAACACCTGTCATGTACAACATACTGCAGTATATGGACATCTGTCATGTACAACATGCTGCAGTATATGGACATCTGTCATGTACAACATGCTGCAGTATATGACATCTGTCATGTACAACTTGCTGCAGTATCATGTACAAACATCTGTCATGTACAACATACTGCAGTATATGGACATCAGTCATGTACAACATGCTGCAGTATATGGACATCTGTCATGTACAACATGCTGCAGTATATGACATCTGTCATGTACAACATGATGCAGTATATGGACATCTGTCATGTACAACATGCATGCATGCTGCAGTATATGGACATCTGGACATGCTATCATGTACAACGTGGTACATTTGACATCTGTCATGTACAACATGCTGCAGTATATGGACATCTGTCATGTACAACATGCTGCAGTATATGACATCTGTCATGTACAACATGATGCAGTATCATGTACAAACACCTGTCATGTACAACATACTGCAGTATATGGACATCTGTCATGTACAACATGCTGCAGTATATGGACATCTGTCATGTACAACATGCTGCAGTATATGACATCTGTCACGTACAACATGCTGCAGTATCATGTACAAACATCTGTCATGTACAACATACTGCAGTATATGGACATCAGTCATGTACAACATGCTGCAGTATATGACATCTGTCATGTACAACATGATGCAGTATATGGACATCTGTCATGTACAACATGCTGCAGTATATGGACATCTGTCATGTACAACATGATGCAGTATCATCTGTGTACAAACACCTGTCATGTACAACATACTGCAGTATATAGACATCTGTCATGTACAACATGCTGCAGTATATGGACATCTGTCATGTACAACATGCTGCAGTATATGACATCTGTCATGTACAACATGATGCAGTATCATGTACAAACATCTGTCATGTACAACATACTGCAGTATATGGACATCTGTCATGTACAACATGCTGCAGTATATGGACATCTGTCATGTACAACATGCTGCAGTATATGACATCTATCATGTACAACGTGCTGTAGTATTTGACATCTGTCATGTACAACATGCTGCAGTATATGGACATCTGTCATGTACAACATGCTGCAGTATATGACATCTGTCATGTACAACATGATGCAGTATCATGTACAAACATCTGTCATGTACAACATACTGCAGTATATGGACATCTGTCATGTACAACATGCTGCAGTATATGGACATCTGTCATGTACAACATGCTGCAGTATATGGACATCTGTCATGTGTACAGCATGCTGCAGTATATGGACATCTGTCACGTACAACATGCTGCAGTATCATGTACAAACATCTGTCATGTACAACATGCTGCAATATATGGACATCTGTCATGTACAACATGCTGCAGTATATGGACATCTGTCATGTACTACATGCTGCAGTATATGTATATGACATCTGTCATGTACAACGTGCTGTAGTATTTGACATCATGTACAACATGTCATGTACAACATGCTGCAGTATATGGACATCTGTCATGTACAACATGCTGCAGTATATGGACATCTGTCATGTACAACATGCTGCAGTATATGACATCTGTCATGTACAACGTGATGCAGTGTATAGACATCTGTCATGTACAACATGCTGCAGTATATGACATCTGTCATGTACAACATGCTGCAGTATATGGACATCTGTCATGTACAACATGCTGCAGTATATGGACATCTGTCACGTACAACATGCTGCAGTATCATGTACAAACATCTGTCATGTACAACATGCTGCAGTATATGGACATCTGTCATGTACAACATGCTGCAGTATATGGACATCTGTCATGTACAACATGCTGCAGTATATGACATCTATCATGTACAACGTGCTGTAGTATTTGACATCTGTCATGTACAACATGCTGCAGTATATGGACATCTGTCATGTACAACATGCTGCAGTATATGGACATCTGTCATGTACAACATGCTGCAGTATATGACATCTGTCATGTACAACGTGCTGCAGTATGTATGGACATCTGTCATGTACAACATGCTGCAGTATATGACATCTGTCATGTACAACGTGCTGCAGTATATGGACATCTGTCATGTACAAACATGCTGCAGTATATGGACATCTGTCATGTACAACATGATGCAGTATATGACGTATATGGACATCATGTACAACATACTGCAGTATATGGACATCTGTCATGTACAACATGCTGCAGTATATGGACATCTGTCATGTACAACATGCTGCAGTATATGACATCTGTCATGTACAACATGCTGCAGTATATGGACATCTGTCATGTACAACATGCTGCAGTATATGGACATATGTCATGTACAACATGATGCAGTATCATGTACAAACACCTGTCATGTACAACATACTGCAGTATATAGACATCTGTCATGTACAACATGCTGCAGTATATGGACATCTGTCATGTACAACATGCTGCAGTATATGACATCTGTCACGTACAACATGTTGCAGTATCATGTACAAACATCTGTCATGTACAACATGATGCAGTATATGGACATCTGTCATGTACAACATGCTGCAGTATATGGACATCTGTCATGTACAACATGCTGCAGTATATGACATCTATCATGTACAACGTGCTGTAGTATTTGACATCTGTCATGTACAACATGCTGCAGTATATGGACATCTGTCATGTACAACATGCTGCAGTATATTGACATCTGTCAGTACAACATGCTGCAGTATATGGACATCTGTCATATACAACATGATGCAGTATATGGACATCTGTCATGTACAACATGATGCAGTATATGGACATCTGTCATGTACAACGTGCTGCAGTGTATGGACATCTGTCATGTACAACATGCTGCAGTATATGGACATCTGTCATGTACAACGTGCTGTAGTATTTGACACCTGTCATGTACAACATGCTGCAGTATATTGACATCTGTCATGTACAACATGATGCAGTATATGGACATCTGTCATGTACAAACACCTGTCATGTACAACATGATGCAGTAGTGTACAAACACCTGTCATGTACAACATACTGCAGTATATGGACATCTGTCATGTACAACATGCTGCAGTATATGGACATCTGTCATGTACAACATGCTGCAGTATATGACATCTGTCATGTACAACATGATGCAGTATCATGTACAAACATCTGTCATGTACAACATACTGCAGTATATGGACATCTGTCATGTACAACATGCTGCAGTATATGGACATCTGTCATGTACAACATGCTGCAGTATATGACATCTGTCATGTACAACATGATGCAGTATATGGACATCTGTCATGTACAACATGATGCAGTATATGGACATCTATCATGTACAACGTGCTGTAGTATTTGACATATGTCATGTACAACATGATGCAGTATATGGACATCTGTCATGTACAACATGATGCAGTATCATGTACAAACACCTGTCATGTACAACATACTGCAGTATATGGACATCTGTCATGTACAACATGCTGCAGTATATGGACACATGTCATGTACAACATGCAGTATATGACATCTGTCATGTACAACATGATGCAGTATCATGTACAAACATCTGTCATGTACAACATACTGCAGTATATGGACATCTGTCATGTACAACATGCTGCAGTATATGGACATCTGTCATGTACAACATGCTGCAGTATATGACATCTGTCATGTACAACATGCTGCAGTATATGGACATCTGTCACGTACAACATGCTGCAGTATCATGTACAAACATCTGTCATGTACAACATGCTGCAATATATGGACATCTGTCATGTACAACATGCTGCAGTATATGGACATCTGTCATGTACTACATGCTGCAGTATATGACATCTGTCATGTACAACGTGCTGTAGTATTTGACATCTGTCATGTACAACATGCTGCAGTATATGGACATCTGTCATGTACAACATGCTGCAGTATATGGACATCTGTCAGTACAACATGCTGCAGTATATGGACATCTGTCATGTACAACGTGCTGCAGTGTATAGACATCTGTCATGTACAACATGCTGCAGTATATGACATCTGTCATGTACAACATGCTGCAGTATATGGACATCTGTCATGTACAACATGATGCAGGATATGGATATCTGTCATGTACAACATGATGCAGTATATGACGTCTATCATGTACAACATACTGCTGTATATGGACATCTGTCATGTACAACATGATGCAGTATATGGACACGTCATGTACAACATGCTGCAGTATATTGACATCTGTTAAGTACAAACACCTGTCATGTACAACATACTGCAGTATATGGACATCTGTCATGTACAACATGCTGCAGTATATGGACATCTGTCATGTACAACATACTGCAGTATATGGACATCTGTCATGTACAACATGCTGCAGTATATGGACATCTGTCATGTACAACATGATGCAGTATATGACATCTGTCATGTACAACATGATGCAGTATATGGACATCTGTCATGTACAACATGCTGCAGTATATGACATCTGTCATGTACAACATGATGCAGTATATGGACATCTGTCATGTACAACATGCTGCTGTATATGACATCTGTCATGTACAACATGATGCAGTATATGGACATCTGTCATGTAAAACGTGCTGCAGTATATGGACATCTGTCATGTACAACATGCTGCAGTATATGAACAAGGTTATAGTTGGGATTACACCCGTCACCCGCGTGTATAAAAAGAACGTACTTGATAGCACATGAAGACCTACCTTCCATTTCCACAGCAGTGTCTGTTGTCGATGGTACCACAGCATATGTCGGGGCAGTACAAGGCCTTGTAGCCCCAACGATAACACAACTTAGAGGCATACGCTACACAACAGAGGCACATATGATTATTGTTAGGATGCGGTGACCAGACACCTCTCACAATGAGCACAATGTTGATTCGAGGATTTCAGCTGGTATACATTTTTGTCTAACGAACTGTCGTGTTTGAAGATTTAAGTGAATCTAAAATGAACGGTTGTAGGCACGAGTCGCAGGCTCAAAGTTAAATCGTCAAAGATAGGGGGTTTATATCCATAACAAAACATGCATTAATTCCAATGTTATAATAGGTCGTGTACAGCTTAAAACAAATGACGTCACTGTATTGTAACCGCATTCCGCGAAATTAAACGACTGTATGACGTCATCGTTGGAATAATTAAAGAAATTGATACATTCGAACGCACATTTATGTACGGATTTCTTTATCTATTATCACTGAAGGATATGTCATCCATTAAATTGTAAAAGTATTTCAAGGGGATAAATTCGTTAAACTACTCTTCTTTTAACAAGTTCTCCAAGCACAAAACAGTGTACACTAACTACCTGCGTGTGTGTGTGTGCGTGCGTGCGTGCGTGTGCGTGCGCGCGTGCGTGCGTGCGTGCGTGCGTGCGTGCGTGCGTGCGTGCGTGCGTGCGTGCGTGTGTGTGTGTGTGTGTGTTTCCTGGATCCGCCTATGTGTTCACAGTACAAAGGGATATAGTACTAAGAAAGGTAAGACTTTATAGATGACAACTTCTTTATTATATTATGATGAGACGTTTCGGTATAGGTACTTATACCGTTATACCATTGTCAAGTACTGTATACTTACAGACAGTGATCCAAGGTACAGCAATCCATGGACCTTTCAGCAGTAACATCTCGACACTGATTCGCCAATATATGGGTTGTTCTGTCCTTGAAGGGCATTAGATCGTGACGGGGTATCTACAAAATAGCCTTGTCAATGCACACCAGCAAAGTCCTGATCTATGACACTGCACAAGACTATCTAAGATTCCTCTGTTTCTTCTACGTTATGAAGGCACTTTATGCATGACGATCATGCACTCATGCCTTTAGTGTGATGGTAGTACGAAATATTGGCAGAAAGAAACGGGCAACTGTTTTGAATGATTTTTTTTCTGTATATATCTGAAGAGCTCGGATTTCGTTACTGTGCACATAACACTCTCGGGTATGGCTCGGTGACTACTGTGCAGGCAGGGTAATTTAGGCGTCTGAGCACAGAGGGGTCTACACAATATCTGCATGCACACCCGACATCTATACCAAGACACAGCCAGTAAACCTCATGTCACGGCGACTTGGAAACAATGGACGCTGGGTCAGACAAACCGGTGGCTGACAGCATCAGCAGCCTTCAGTGAAGCATAGTCACACATTGTTACCAAACGATCCTCATTTAGGTCGTCTCATGCTGGGCCTCTTCTAAGCCAGAATACATGGCATGGCATTTGGAATACCTCCCATTTACAGTCTGCTTCCTTATATTACAGCGACCTGTTGTGTAACTGTTTAACTGTGGAGTGCTATAGATGTAAGGATTCACCGGTCGTACAAGCATTCCCTGGTCGTATTCTCTGATAGTGTAAGGATTCCCTAGTCGTGTAAGGATTGCCCCGGTCGTGTAAGGATTCCCCGATCGTGTAAGGATTCCCCTGGTCGTGTAAGGATTCCCGATCGTGTAAGGATTCCCCTGGTCGTGTAAGGATTCCCCGATCGTGTAAGAATTCCCCCGGTCGTGTAAGGATGCCCCGGCTGTTTAAGGATACCATGGGCGTGTAAGGATTCCCCCTGTCGTGTAAGGATGGCATGGTCTTGTAAGAATTCCCCGGTCTTGAAAGGATTCCTCCGTGGTGTAAGGATTCCCCGGCTGTGTAAGGATACCATGGTCGTGTAAGGATTCCCCCGTCGTGTAAGGATGGCATGGTCTTGTAAGGATTCCCCGGTCTTGAAAGGATTCCTGGTTGTATACGGATATTCTGGTCATGTTTAAAAGTGTGGACGCAAACCTCTAAACAGTGCATAACGTTTGAGTGTTAAAATCACTCAATACTTTTTGTCATATACGTGGAGTGAGTGACTTTCGTTTTACGCCGCTTGTAGCAATATTCCAGCAATATCACAGCGGGGGACACCTGAAATGAACTTCACACATTGTACCCATGTGGGGAATCGAACCCGGGTCTTCGGCGTGACAAGCGAGCGCTTTGCCCCACCGACCTCATACACGTGGATCTCAACTAGACGGCCTTTATCTAATAAGCACCATGGCCGAAATAACCAACCCTTTTGTCAGTTTCATGCGCCCATGACCCAGCTAGGACTTGCTGGTGTGGAATACGGCCATTTGTTTGTTTTTGCTGCAGGTACACATTGCTTGGGTCTGTACCAAATGGGTGTATGTTTTTTATGCCTCTCTTTAGTTAAGCTGTCACGTCGTCAAAATGTATACTGTTCAACGCAAACAACGTATCTAAATCACTCCCATTATCACATTCAACACCAAAATATCAACTTTCGAAGGTGTCTTCATTGTCGATGCACAATCCGCCCAGTAGAATCGTATCCATGTAATTCACAGACACACAAAAAAATGGTAGTTTTATATATGTTTTAATCATTTACAACGTAATTATCGTTATGATGATATGGACATTATATTTAAAAAATTGATGAATCGTGTAAAGGAATCGGAAAATAAAGCCACGTGTCGCAAGAATTTTTTCCTGCGTATCAAGGCAAAAACGAAAGTTGAAAACGTTTGCTTTCGCTCTATTTACAGTTTCACAATTCAATGAATGAAAACAGACAGACGTGTCACCATAAAAAAACAAAGCAGGAATTATAATTTCAAATATATTTCATAGAAAAATAAAGTCCTTCATATGTCAAAATAAACTCTCAAGAACAGTCTAAGACTCTAATGACAATGATAAGAGCTTTGATTATTGTGCTCTTAAACTATTACAGTATGATAAATATACACATGAACTTTGAGTTCTATAAACATCACAAAATAATGCACACAAATAGGATCACAGATGGGTGATTTTGTGCTTAAATTTCCGTCATGTTTCTGGTTAGAGTCCGTTCTATGATGCTGACACATGCCATGCATCATAATGCATCTCCCATCCTCACATGCATCTCATGTGGTTGTCATGCATACTTTAGAAAGACATATAGAAAAATGTTTTATCATTCAATATACATATTTACATTCATGAATGATATGTTCACTTGACAATGAATGTGTTTCCACACAACACACATCAGTCAATATTCTTGCATATTTCACTATACATATTTTCATTTAAACATATAGTTGCATAAACTCACACGATCACTGGGTCAAACATGAATATGTAACGAAAGTAATAGAATTACTTCAAGCTGGTTCCGTTCCTTATCATCATTAGCCTTATATAATCTTATACAACTATATAAACGTGTTGGATTTTAAACTGTTTGAGAGCCTTCTAGAAGTTGTATGTAATGGGAATGACAAGTCTTTATGGATGATCAACTTCTTTGTTGTAAAATAGCGACGTTTCGGTACAGATACTTATACCGTTTTTGCTTGAAAACGGTATAAGTATCTATACTGAAACGTCGCTATTTTACAATACACAAGTAGATCATCCATAAACGTGTCATTCCTATGTGGTTAATTTTGACAAGGGAATATGAACGTGTGTTGAAGTTCCCATTCGGAATGCTGCCTTGGCCACTACGATGTTTACATTTCGGATATTAATTCCTGATTTGGTGGTTCCAGTGTGACGTATCAATTTATCGCTAATATATATATATATATATATAGCCTCCTCTAATAAGAAATCTAAGAAATACGAATGTGGTATATGCAACGCTGGTAAAATGACCGGGTTAGTATATGCTTGAAAAACAAATTTTAAAAAACTAATTTAGGGGTTATGTGCATTTTAACCCATTATACAAACTATATAGATCTTACATATCTGAATAAATGCTAACTAGTTAAACATGCAAACCCTGCAAAAACAGGCAATACCGTCTTTACTGTTCTTCCATGTCACTAATTCGATACATCTCCAAGTTTCATGGTTTAAGGTAGTGTCACATCCCACTCATTGAATATGTTTCAGAAGTTATACGTGACGTGACTTCCGAATTATTCACCTCTTGTCTATTATATGATATTGTTTGTATGAATTGATTCGTGAACACAACATATCTGTTCGTAATCTTCATGTGGAAATATGGTGATGTTGGATTACATATCAGTCGTACAGATAATAGTCAGATATTAGTCTTTCCGATTAAACACCGGTATTTGAATACAGCTTCGGTTCCATATATGTGCATATGTATACATATGAAATGTTGAAATACTATCATATCATATCAAAACATATCACTGTCAATCAGGAAGTTGAACGTTTAGCCCTCGTCAGTTGAAACAGAATACCCGTATGCAGCACACGTTGCTTAATATAGCTGCTTACAGTCACCTAACAGCCAATCATCCGACGGATTGTAACCACGGGATCAAAACTTAGGGATGATGTTTATACCATTTCGGATTTTATTTAAAAAACGCACTTTGCACTTTTTGGCATTACTGTCTGTAAAATCCCTTATCGACCATTTCCTTTTTCATTTTATCGGAGTATAGATCACGAATAGCTATATTCGTTATGAATCATCGTCACATTTCGTGTTTGTAGTTCACCTTAGGGGGACTATTCAGTTTTTAAGGCGAGTGAAATACTTTTTTTTATCACTTTATTTCTTTTTGATGGGTACATAATTGTTGCATTTGTGGTACATAAATATACAAAGTATGAACACGAGTGGTAGATAATCCGTAGGCTAGAAGAATACATTGTTATTGTAATTTATGTGAAGAGGTTATGGCAAGATGACCAAAAGGTGAAGAATTTACCATAGTTGCAGTGCGAAAAGGCAGTACATTTGTCAATTTCATACAGGTTGTGTAGGTAATTCTTTAATCCAACAAACTGCGGATGCGAATTAAAACATCTCTTTGCATATATATAGTATTTTGTTGCGATGATAATCAGGTTTAATACATCATTTCGTTTTTCTTTATATCCAAAGATGATATGTTTTGCATCCAGAATTAATCTTGTGCCTGTATCTTGTTCAATCCAGGCTTTCAGTTGTTGCCACAACGTTTTCACATGTACACACTCACAAAATATGTGGATAATTGATTCGATTGTAACATTACAAAATGTACAAGAAGCAGATTGTGTCAGTTTATAGTTAAATAAATCTTTGTTTGTTGTAATGATTCTTTGGACAATTTTATATTGAAGCCATCTGAATTGTGTATTACAAGTTGTTCTGAAAGGTACATAGTTAAAAACTTTCCAGAGTTGTTCTGATATATCTACGTTGATATCCCTTTCCCATTTAAGTTGGCTGTTTAGCTTTTCTTTTAATGTATGTTTCCTTAACAAGACAGAGTAGAAAATCTTGCATCCTTTACGTTCTTTGTAAAGAATACGTATATTATTAGGAATAAATGGCTCCTCTACTTTACACAGAGTTAGTTTTTCGAAAGTAAGTATGATTTGATGGAGTTGATGATAATAGCACTAATGTTCTGCGCAGTCATGAGAGTTTTTGAGCCTGTATTGTTTCAAGAATTAAAGGTACATTTAGCGTCGTCATTGTCTTATCAACTTGTTTTAGTTTGTCTTTATAATTTCTTTCAACCATTCAGCCTGGTTGTGTTGAAACTGAATTCCGAGTAAAGTAAAGGGTCTTTGGGACCAATCTAGTTTGAAGGTCTTACAGTATTGAATGCTTGAGTATTGCATAGAATCAATCCATATTAATTTAGTTTTTTCTATGTTTATTTTAAGGCCAGAAAATTCAGCATATTTATTAAGTATACCCAAGGTTGCTTGAAAGCATTTTTCCATTCCATCGTTGTGTCGTCTGCAAATTGCGTTAATAAATATTCGATCTCAGGAAATTTTATACCCTTTACATTTTTATTTTCCCTCAACATTTGTGCCAAAATATCTGTGCAGATAAGGAAAAGATATGGTGAAAGTGGGTCGCCTTGTCTACATCCTCTCGAAATATTAAACATTCTCTGGAAAAACCATTTACTAGAACACTTGACTTTATATCATTGTAAAAAGTCTTAATCCAATGTGTAATAGAGGGTCCAAAATTAAAAAATCTAGACAATTCTCAATAAATTTCCATTCAACAGAGTCAAAAGCTTTTTCAAAGTCGATTAGTATAAGTAAACCTGGTATATTCATTTGTTCGGTGGAATACTTAGTGTATGTTTCGTTAAACAATGTTTTCTGTACCAAAACACACACGTACGCTTGATAATCCCTGCATGAAATATGTTTCTGTCGTCGAAACACCAGTTCTTATCTCCCGCTAAAATTATCTAAATATTGCAAGTTTCCTTGGAATGCCCACATTAATATATACCTTCATATATAAATATATTGTCATCCGGTCAGTGATTTGTCAGTCGGACTGCAACAACAGTCAATATAAAACTCGCTATCAAAGGGGCGCTACTCTAACCCTAGTTTAGGAGACGTTACTTTTGTTAGAGTCCGCCTGCCCTGTCATAATGTAAGGAAGCACAGAGTGAGATGTGCACACAGCGGCAAAATGAAGCAAGGTATAACAATACGGTACACTGCGGCCAGAGTCAACTATTTTAACTTGGGTAAAAAGTCGTAAATACGTAACGGCAGATGAGGAGCCCGATTGTTTGCGTAAACAGGACTAACTATTTAGATGTCGTAAAAGCCCATGCTTACAATACTTGTCACACAAACATATAATAGACAAGGAAACTGATCCTGTTTGGCTTGTGTCCTCAATAAATTATTTCGTTGTGCATAATCCCGAAGTTGCCCAAACTTCTTTAAGCAGCTTTGTTCCTGAAAGGCACTGCTTTTCAGCAGCTCAGGCTATTGTTTTGATAATGCGATTATTTCTGACTTGATCACCGACTGACAAGGGCGACGCCCTAGTAGTCCCTACTTGACCTTTCAAATTTGAATTTACCTGCATATGACCCAGCAGATGCCATATTTATCCGTTGGCTATACCCTGCCGAGACATCTACCCATGATATAATTACGTCATTTATGATGTTTGTTTTACAATGATGTGTGATGATGTTTATTTTTGATACAATACGGACTGTGGAATATGCAGAAAACGACATCTGTGAGATTGTGAGTGAGTAAGGTTTTACGCCGCTTTTAGCAATAGTCCATCAACATCACAGCGGGGAACATAAGAAATGGGCTCAACACCTTGTACCCATGTTGGGAATCGAACCAGGGTCTTCCACGTGACGAACGAACACTTTAACCACAACTCTACCCTATCAGTTATAGGGTAGACTGATGGGAAACTTAACGTCTTACGTATTTTATTTTCTTAATCGAGATCCAAAGAAGTTTAATATATTTACACATGTTATCTATTGAAAAATCGTTTTTGCGAATGTCAAAAGTTTTTTTAAATCAACCCAACGGCAGACTTTGCAATAGTGGGAGAGTATGATTTTACACTTCTTTATAACAACACCAGATATCAGCTTTACGCATCGTATCCCTAAAGGGATTCGAACCCGGTTATTCAGCGTGACGATCGATCGCCTTAATCACCAGGCCACCCCGCTCCCTGGACATTACTATGCGTCTCACAATGTACCATAACGATGTATATCGTCTTAAGTTAGGAAGATATTCAATGTTACGATTGTGTTTGATACCACGTAGCATACACACACACACACACACACACACACACACACACACACACACACACACACACACACACACACACACACACACACACACACACACACACACACACACACACACGCACACACGCACACACTCACACACACACACACACACATATGCATTATACACTCGAAGTAAATATTGATACGTCTACAAAGAGGCCACATTACTTGTTGATACGACAGCAAGCTGATTGGTGGTCATTAAGCGGCCATGCTGTGCCTGTCTCCTTCTACAGCAGCAGATGCATGTCACAATGATGGCAATGAGGCCCACGGTCCCGAACCCGCTTCCTGTGTATATTCCGGTATACGAGTACCTGCAATGGAGATTGAACATTCTGTGTGTCACGAGAACATACATAATACGTACGTGTCTCTCCCCGATTATTTACATGCTGGCGAGATGTCACTGGTTAACGACTTAGTGCGGAGAAAAAACCTAACGACGATGATAATGATAAAATATTATTAAATAATAGTATACGATATAATAGCAACAATATTTTTTACGGTAATAGATTATTAATAGGAATAATTTACAAAGTAAATTTGTAGATTGTCCGTATCCAAATGATAGAAATATAAAACACGCCATGTATATGTTTGACTCCTGCCACTTTCTATCTTAAATTTGTCATACATTTAAAGCAAACTGCCATTGACGGTTGCAGACTCCGTACGACTGTAGTGTATCAGCTTCTCATATCACCACACAACATCGTCTTGTTTCACACATTTTTAATTTCCCCAAGAGAAACAGTAGAGGTACATAGCTGGTTTGAATATGGCCGCCGAATGACGTCACATAGCACTCGGTTACAAGTATACTCATGCCAATAATGGTTGTCACCCCCCTCCCCACCCTAACCCCAACCCCCTCTCCGATAAAAAAAATTGAAGGGGGTGACAACCATTATTGGCATGAGTATATTTATATTCTGTAAGAATTTATCTCTAACCCAGACCGTGCACGTGAATAACATGAATAACCTCAATCCAAAGGTTAACATATCAATACATTACAACGATACCGAGTTGCACACGCACGTACGCATGCACGTACACACACGCACGTACACACACACACACACAAATACTAAACACAAAAATAACACATATACCAAAAAACATGCAAACCACACACATACGCACTCAAACTCATACTAATACACATATACATACACACACAAACGGCACACAGAGACACTTACACACTCACACACTCACACAAGCACCCACCCATACACACACAAATGCACACACACGTGTGACCTACCGTGTACAGCAGTATCGGCTGTAGCTTGTCCCGCAACACGAGTCGGAGCAGTAGAGTTGTCTAACGCTGCTACCGTAACTTCTCTTGTAACAGACCTCGTAAGCACATGCTGAATAAAGAAATGTTGATTGTTACCGATGATCATACATAAGGATGGAGCATGATGCTAAGGAAATACACGTCAAAATGTCAAGCATTTTACATGTTATAACCAATATTTGATTTATATATCATTTTTATTAGATATATCGTTAAAACGTATATATTTATATTTCCTTCTTTATGCAAACGTGCACTGGACTATATAACATGCCCGTCGTGATAAAACTATTATTGCTAAAAGCGGCGTAAAACTAAACTCACTCACTACATAACATGATAATTGCCGTGGCGTGTGAGGTTAAGCATGTGTTTCTCACTGCGTAACGAATACTGTGGACAAGAGCTCGACCTTCCACTCCAGTTGATGATTATGCAATGTCGTGATGTATACGATTAACTGAACGCCACCTCCATGTGAGTAGCTGGGGTCACGCACGTATTGTGAGTGAGTGAGTGTGTGTGTGTGTGTGTGTGTGTGTGTGTGTGTGTGAATAACCACAACAATAACATAATAACAGAGATTTGCTTCTACAGTTAAAGTCCTTCCAAACATATCCTCACAAATTTGATTTATGATTATTTATTTGCCTATTGAGTAGCAACAGACAAATACGATCACCATTGTTTCTTCGATCTCATAATAGTCAACACGCAATTATCCTACTTTGATATATAAATTACTTTGGGTTTTTAAATAATTTCTTTATTTTTGTTGCATTTGTACATAGTTGCACATGTATATAAATTGTCTATATCAACAAAGGGTGACAAGATGACCAGAATTTAGTAAATTGGTGATTAATAAGATGTCCGTACATTTTTTGCTGTGTATTTCGTGAAGTAATAAAAGCATGTGAGTTCTTTCTGAATCATTTAAAAAATGTATTGGTTTTTCATGTGTTCTATTTTTTAAAATAAATTGTTTGCATACAATTATTAAAAGATTTATTGGCCCAAAATTTGGTAGCAGAGAGCAAAGAAGTATATCTTTCTTGTTAAGTTTAATGGATAAATCGGCTTCCTGGTTGACCCATTTTTCAAATTGTGTCCAGATGGAACTCAAATGGTTGCAATACCAAAACAGATGATATAAATTAACTTAAAAATATTAAAAATGCGATGTTCATAACATTTACAGTCCTACATATACTGTGCATCCAACCCACCCCGCCCCACCACATCCCCATCGTGGGGCATTGGTCTGCCCACGGTCGGGAGAGGGCTAGTCGCGTCACACGAGCTGCTAAAGAACTGGCCTGTCAATGTAAGGTATACCTGTAGGCTAGCGCTATAGAACCAAAATATGTCTGAACTGGAACGAAAAGACAAACACACATATGTAAGACGTAATCGTGAAGGCGTCATAATCCACCGCACGGCATACGAGCAATGACTTTACGGTATGAATTATATTCTCCTTCAGGTCCTGCAACGCACGAACAAAACAGATGACATAATACATTACTAAAATACTTCTGACCGCGATATTAATTCAAACCTGTTCTGGTTTCTTTACTTACGGAGTACATGTGTACATTCCCTCAAACGTATTTTTCTTGATTATTTGAGGCAACTTTGTCAACTCTGTGACATTTAATTTTGTAATCAACACGATGGGATTCAAAATAAAATTAGATCCTCAATTTCCTTCCGTAAGAGGAAAAGTGAATCGGATGGCAATCAGTCAATGTCTTTTGGTAGATTGTGTGTCTTCGTTAACCGAGTGAACGTTCCTCATGACATCAATCACTGGATTGTCTTGTCTAGATTCTCAGTGAAACGTTAAACAAACAAAACATGGGTGGAGAATGAAAGCGTGACCTTGTCAACTTCCTGCTATGCGTCAGATCTCATGAAAGTGGCAATGACAATACCTCAGTCGGTCAAAAACACAATAGTTTGTACAACTGAAGTATAAGTAACTGGACATGTCGGTGTCAGCTTTCTAACTTCCTTCTGTCATTGTATGTGAATGAGCGTGGTTCTACGCCAGTCTTAACGATAATTAAGGTATATCACGATGGGTGACACAAAAAATAGGCTTCACACATTGCACTCATGTGAGAAAAACGAACCCGGATCTTCCTCGTGACGAGCTGATACTTGAATATGATGTTTGAACAAGTTTCAAATAGTTTCAGGTTTTAGCATTAGGGACCGTTCAAAATTTAATTTGATTTTAATGGGGGTCCACCCATTCTGTTCTGGGGTGGTAGGGGAACATAAATTTTGTACACACACATGTACTAGGGGTCAGCAATTTTGTACATATAAATGTTTAAAAATTATGCTTACAAATTATGGGACGATGGGGGGTCATGACAAGCAGGATGGGTCATTTACTTTGTACATAAATTTAGGGGTGGGATGGGGTGATGTATTCACATTGCACATTGCTTCTCCATAAAAATCAGTATCACCCTCACTAGCCACGAATTATGAACGGTCCGTTAGGACTAGAAATATGGTCTGGGTCACGGGCAGATATGTACTGTATGTACAAGAAATATTGTTTGGTGTCAGCTTGGGGCAGTGTTGCTTACATTCAGTGAACAGCCACCTGTCTTCGAGTTTCCAGTCCAGTTACATGATCACAAATGGGGACATGAAGGTACAAGGACCAGCACACGAATCAATGTATCTAGATTCCCTACAGCATTACAGTTGTGTCTATATACTATGTATACTCACAGGCTGTGATTAATGGTAGAATAATCCACAAAGTCTTCAGCGAAATCATTCTGAGCAGTGGCAAAATGTCGACAATTCACCCTTAGGTTGAGTAGATCCCGGATGTAGAGGTATAACCGACCCGCTAACCTGTGACCTATGACCGGGTGAGAACACAGTGGAGCATAACGCCCCTATACAGACACAATGCGGACGATATTCATCCCAGTTCGTCGCTGATATTTCGAAATCCCTTCCGTCCTCAACGCATGAGAGGTTCTAAGTAAACAGCGGGCCTCGCGTGCGTCACTCCTTCATGGACATGACAGTGCACAATATTCGACAACCTATATAATCCTTGAGGCATGATCTTCTGGCCCGACATACATACCGTCTATATAACGTTCTGTGTAAATAAACTAGTCACGCGTCTACCCACACTCAAAGTGTTGTTAACCAATGAATAATATCACAGAATATGGCTTACAAGGACGTTCGGAAAGAGCGGTTAGTGAGGTGTCACGTCACTGCTGGCAGAGTTGCATCAGTTATGTGGAATGACACGGGTCTCAGCCGTGATGAGGAAAGTTGATTCACTATTCTCATTCAAGGGTAATAGCCTGTTCCTGATGCTAATATTAGTCAATTTGTATTGCACAAAGCGCAGCCAGGGTATAAAAATTCAGTCGAATGCTTGATCGGACATTTAGGACTTGAGTGAAGTTCTAAAGTTGGAAAGTCTGGAGAAGTACGTAGTTTAAGGGGCAGACAGGTCCACTGAATTCAGGACATTTTGATACGTACTAGTAATTAGGAGAAATAATTTGACGAGAATTCCCAAAACACAGAACCTGCATGGCTCAAACACAGCTTTAGGACGGTATGCAATGATGAAGGGGTCGTTGTCGGTAGGGGTAGTACAGATGTGTACCCTGGCCATAATCGGAATACAGAAACGTACCCCAGGACGATTCCATTCCCACTGTGTCGTTTTCTTGATCGGAACCATCACACTGTTGTATTAGATACATTTAATTGCATAATGTAAGTAACGAGAGTACACAGTAACGGATATTTCGCGAAGCATAACACCACCGGAATCAGTTGAACGGGAACATGTTCGGATTTGGGTTGCGGAATATGGACTTGTCCGCCTTTTAGGGTACCGGGTACGTTTCTGTATTTTTACTTTGTTTAGGGTACATTTCTATATACAGAAACGAACCTGCGGTATGTATGTAGTACCTTTGCCGACAACGACCTCTTCGGCGTCTGTAACAGACATTCAGAGAGTACAGTTAGTGGGTATCACGTTGATTCTGGCTCTATTGCATTAGCTATTGTGCGTTGACACGGATCTCAGCCATGATGGGGAAAGTGTGGCCATGAGCCTGTTATTAACACGTATACCGAGGAAATAATGAGACGCCTATTTCTCAAGTATTGTGTGACTAGATTTTCTGGTCTTGATCTCTTGATTGCTATGTTAACAGGCCGCCACCGCATGGACATGAGCACTGTTGTGCCTCTACCTGCAACAACGCTAGTCTTTTTATGCACATTGTGAGTGTTAGTTGCTACCGGTTGGGCAAAACATGTTTACCCCTTTCGCAAACACCCGGTGTCATGAATGATCTTCAGTGATTCATTCATTTGATTTTGTCCCGTGAAGATCCAGGTTAGAACTGATCTTCAGTAACCCATGCTTGTCGTAAGGCGACTAACTTGATAGGGTGGTCAGGCTCGCTGACTTGGTTGACACATGTCATCGTGTCCCAATTGCGTAGATTTGATGCTCATGCTGATGATCACTGGGTTGCCTTTAACCCTTAATGGAATCTATTTCGGCGAATAATGGCGACTAGGGATCCTATGGCGCAGACATTCTGTACTTAGCAGTATTCCCCAATATGACCATTTCCCGTAAATTAGTAATCGAGCCAAACCCGGAATCGTTTGGGAGCTATTTTTCTGTGAATACTTCTTCATTTATATCTACACAGTCCAGGGTTATTTTCAAACCATGCATTATTTAATGATATAATTAACTTAATGAATCTGTTTATGCAGTTATGGAGCCGTGAAGATCCGGGTTAGAATTGATCTTCAGTAACCCATGCTTGTCGTATCCCTAACGGGATCGGGTGGTCACGCTCGCTGACTTGAGACATGTTATCGTATCCCAATTGCGTAGATCGATGCTCATTATGTTGATCACTGGATTGTCTGGTCCAGGCTCGATTATTTACAGACCGTCACCATATAGCTGGAATGTTGCTGAGTGCGGCATAAAACTAAACTCACTCACTCACTTACTTATATAGTTATAAATAAGAGAAGCAAGTGCATCCTTCGGAGGTTGTGACGTAGTACGCATGTTGTGTGCATATAGACGGAGACGACGTGCGACAATTGGACCTGCACAGACTCGATCAGACGTGCTTATTTATAACCTATCAGGAATGTTCCACGAAACCTGCGACATTGGGGATACTTCGTGGTAAGTAGCTGTGCCACGAGATAGTGCACACCTTTATATTGGCGCTGCGACAGTGAAACTGAACATGGGTACAATGTGTGAAGCCCATTTCTGGTGTCCCCCGCCTTGATGTTGCTGGAATATTGCTAAAAGCGCCGTAAAACCAAACTCAGTCAGACAGTAAGTCCTTGTTGACAGATTGTCAATTTTACCGTAACTCGGCGCTGCCGTTGGCCGATTTTGCTGGTACAACTAGTATTGTAATTCAGTGAGCCTACGCTCATTCTCCGGTATTGCGTATGAAAACAGGCAACCCGACTTCGACAGCCACGGACCTTTGCCGGCTTTGGAAATGTCATGTTGAATTTAATTAGTGTCTGACTATTTATTGACTACTCTTGTACTCTTTGTGCTATATTTTTAATGCGAAGGTGCTTTGCACTTTCTTTGACAATTCTTGCTTGTTGGTAATTTGTAAATTTGGTCTCTGACCAAGTTGGCAAAACAAAAGTGCTCTGTAATTTTGTCATTTGAAAGTTTGTAATTTGTAATTTGGCCTCTGACTAGTTTTGAAACAATAGTGCTCTGCATTATTATTTCAGACATCTGTATCAGATAGATTATTAGTTTTAAATTGTTATCTGAATTCAAATACACTCATGTAGTCTTTCACTATATTGTCCTGAATAGTGCTCTGCATTATTCCTTCTGTCTCCTTTGACATACTAATACCAATTCCTACATATCAAGGTACCTATTGAGGTGCTCGGCACTTGGTATTTTGTACATATAGTCTCTGACTATATTTTGTTGTTGAAGTGCTACGCACTGTGACAACTAGGGAAAAGTTTCCAGTTTATTACTCTTTGGGGAGTACTTTGCACTTGAATAATTTCCATGTAACATCCTTTGGTGTTCCGCACTGTAGGATAGTGACATAGTCTCTGACTATATTTTTAAGGAGTGCTTTGCACTTCTTGGTTTCAATTGTCATTTTGTAGCGCTCAGCTGCTCTGCATTTGATCAACCCTAACACGGTCTTTCACTATATTTAATTGGTGCTTTACGCCAACTTTATCTGATTATTGTGCCTATTTGCCTCTGAACGTTTTCCCTCCAAACTGCGAATACAATTACGGAGATGCTGGTTTTGTCAACTATGCCACTTATGAGGAACTTGTGGGGGTCGAAGAAATAGACGCCCGCTTTGCAGGTGAATTCATCCAACTTTGAATGAAGCGTGGAGATTTGAGCTACATTGACTTTAAATACAATCTTCACGGAATTCCGGAGGTAGCCCTCAACAACTTAGATAACTCACCTTATGCCATAACTAATACAATGGTAAAACAGGAAACGCGTACGTTTGGACAGTCTCCACGTCATGTGGCCAACTGTTTTCATCTGAAGATAAAGGCAACACAATGGCAGACTTCATAGACTGCACTTTAGGTTCAGAGGGGCGTACAACTTCCACAATGGATCTAGGGACCAGTGACTGGCCTAGGGACTATTACATTGATGACAGCATCGATTATGTAGTCAAGTGGAGCGAAGTCGACATGCAATATACAGTGGCCCGCATCCCTGCTGGAGACGAGGTAGCTGACGTTTCTCTACCGTCCGTCCTCAACCAACAATGGTGGGACAGAGGCCCCAAGGAACAAACCAGTGCTTATCTTATATGCGACAGGTGCAAGGGGAAGAAACTTCAATCTCTTTGTGGGCTACACACCATTCAATGTGGAAGAGATGAGAAACTTCCTCTGCTCATCCCGTAAATCTAAGGAAACAGGGAGACAAGCAGCAATACAGGAAGTAAAGTATTTTTTACACCCAGTTCAACAGCCCATACCCATGGCCGAATAGAATCAACCATTACGGGAGGTGGTCATTAATAAAACAAGGAAAGATGCCAGCTATTGATTGCCGGTTAGGATAGAGTATGTGGAAGTGGCTGCAGTAGTGATTCCGGTGCGACTGCGACCATCATATCGGAAAAAAGTCTACAACACCTTACAGCCGATTCCACCATCATTGAGAAGACATTAGGAACGCTGGCAAAGACCTTAACCACGATAGGGAAGCTGGTAGGCCCAGGAGGCATCAAAGTGGGACGGAAACAGTTTCAGGACAAGGTGTATGTGGCACCTATCAACGACAAGATATTGTTGGGCCTTGATTTCATGCGGTTACACAAGATATGTATTGAAATGGATGGGGATTGGCTACGTCTTGATGATGAGATGTTTCCCCTAACATACTCGCCTAAGGAACCGGCAGTGTGTAGTACGCAGGTGGCTATAAAGTTCGCAACATGGTTGCCACCAAGAACGGTTGTGTTGTCTCAATCCACGATCACCAACCCTCAAATGGAAAACTTCTTGATAGAGCCTGCTCCCAACTTGAACATCATGATCCAAAGAACCTTAGATTCACAATCAGCAACAAAAGTCTGCTTAATAAATAGAAGTGATAATAGCCAAGGGATTTATCATTGGCAAGGCCACTCCTGCAACTATAAAGGAGGATGGACCCCAAAAAGGACATATTGAAGTTGCAAAGTTTGTCAGAAGGACAAATGGTGAGGTTAGGCACATTCCTGATCACCTTCATGATTTGCTGACCAGGTCATCAGAGAACCCTCACGGAGGACCAAGCCATTCTGCAGGAGGAACTCTTGATTGAGTACAAGATGTGTTTGCAATTTACGGCACTCGAGCACTATATTGACACAGGGGACGTTGACAACCTTGAAGCAGATTACCCCATCGACATCCGAATGGGCCGCTCAGGTCGCTCAACTGCTGTACAAGCTGACAGGCAAGAGGAAAACATTCACATGGGGCGAGGAAGAGGAGTCTGCATTCAAGGAAATGAAGGTCCCCCTTAACAACAACACTGGTTCTGGCTATTGCCAACATGGAAGATGCTTTTGTCCTTGACACGGATGCAAGCAACACAGCCATCGGAGCCGAACTCATCCAGATTCAGAATGGATCAGAAAAGGTCATACCGTATGGAAGCCTGGCACTGACTTCGGAGCAGTTGAA